GGTGGTAGCAGTCTCTCTGTGCTGGTCTGTTTGCTGGGTATTTTGGTTTATTTAAACTTGGTAACTTGAACTTAACGTTGGTAAAGATACTGTTAGCATTTTCGCTAACAGCTTCTTGCATTTGGATAAGCTGTTACGTTTTGGTTTAGAGTTAATCTTTTTTGTGGTGTAGATCTCCCTTTTATTACATTTAGAGGGTTGTGGGTTTTCGGTTTAGTTTAAAATATCACCTCGAGTTTGGTTTAACCACCCAGTTTAGAGTTTGGACCTTTGGAGATCCTTATTTTGGTCCAGAACCCAGTAATCTTTGCCCAGTGGGACATCCCTACTTATTTGTACTTTTGTTTTAATTTCCCACAGGCAGAATTAGTTTTATTATTCCCAACCTGTGGGTGGCAAGATTTATGTTTTTTTGTAGTAGTAAATTAACCTGATCATCATTTTAACTTTTAAATCCCGTGTTATTGTCCCTTCCTTTTTGCACACGAGCCAAACTCCCCAGGAAGGGTTGTAGCACCACTCGCCTCACGCTCATAAGTGACCAAAACAAAGCAGCATGGAGATGGTGTCTCCATGCTGCTCTCCCAAGTTCTACACGTCACAAGAACATAACCAACCGCAACACAATAAAAGCGGTGTTATACAAAATGGAAGGCCTGTAGTGTTTATTCTCTTACAGTAACAATTTATCACTTTTTTGAGGAATTTATTAGATTTTTTGTTTTTTATTAACTGTGCAATAGAAAAATAAGCATTAGACTAATTGTCTAAATAGTCATTAGAATAGTCGACTATTCAATAAAATAATCGTCAGAATAATCTTTTTAAAAATAATCGTTTACCCCCAGCCCTAACACACACACACACACCAACACGCACACAATACATATACCAAGTAGTGTTTCTATGGTTACATTGTGATTTCTTAGTAAATATTGGATTTAGTAAGAGATAAACTTTATTATCTTTATCTTAGTGAATCTATAATTAATTCAACACAGGGCTGGGCGATATGGGCTAAAATCAATATCACGATATATTGAGGATTTCACCCCGATAATGATAAATGGACGATAACTACAGGTATGAGCAAAAACAAAAGTTGTCCACTAGATGGGGCTGTCACATGTATTACACTGAGTCACAGTTTTACGTGCCTCAAGGTGGTACAGCTTCCTAAATTTTAACCATGCCTCGCTCTCTGCTACACTTCCAACATGTCAACAGTTTGTCAGCTGCTCCACCAGAGAAAACAAGACATTGGATTTGTGTTATGCAAATGTAAAGAATGCATACATGTCCAAAACAAGACCTCCTCTGGGACAATCAGATCACAATCTTGTTTTTCTCTGCTCAGAATACAAACCACTTGTTCAGAGGCAACCTGTGACAAGAAGAACTGTGAGAAAATGGTCACATGATGCTGAAGAAGCCCTGCAGGGTTGTTTTGAGACCACAGATTGGATGACTCTCTGCCAAGTAGGGCTGCACGATATTAGGAAAACCTGCAATATTCGATAACAGTGCTTAATATTGCAATATCGATATTACTTGCGATAAATGAACAAATACTAAATTATGCAGTGTTAATGTCGTCTGGCGTGTGATGTCTGCTCTGGGTTCAAAGCAAACTAAAACTAATGCATGAATTTAATTACAACATAACATTTTTATTGCAAAAATATGCAGCTGCACCTGCTACTGTATTAGCAGCAAAACAACAAACTGCATGCATGCAGTTTCTCAGTGACTTTAAAACATCGCCTCCACCATAAAACTTTTTCTGATGCTTCAAATACAGAAAAACATCCCTTACCAGGGTTTTTACAATAAATAAAAAAATCAGAAAATAAGTTTAAATGTTAAATAATAGTTAACATCACTTAAATGCAACAGCAAATTATCTCATTGCTACTGAACATTTTCTCCACTTATGTGGTTATGATATAAGGCTGTTGCTGCTATTGGGAAGTGAACTGTGCTGGGCCAAACTAGGAGAACATTAAGATTTTTTGAGGGAAAGAGAAAAACAATTGTCTACCTTTCAGAAGAGGAACTGGCAAAACATGGAAAACATGTGAAAACATTTGGTTTTAACCCTAAATTGAACAAGTTTACCTAGATCTTAAAAAGCAGCTCAGATGATGAAACTGCAACTATGATTCTGATAACAAGCTAACAAATTGAACTAGCTCCGTTAAGACAACCAGCTAGCAGAGCTTCTGACTGACAGTTTATGTGCAGCAGCAAATCAACTATCCTGATTAACAAGGTTATAAAAGCTCATAAATGAAAAATCACTTTGATGTGTGGGGGAAATTTCCAGGCCCTCTTTAGCAGGGTGGGACTGGGAGGAGAGTGCTGTAGCCTTTTAGCTGGAAGCTAACCAGAGCCTGGGGCTAACACTAGCGACATGGGAGGTGGGTTGGTTCACCGGCACGTGTCGGAGTCAGCCCGGTAAAAATGATTAATGACACCGAGCAGAGTCACGTTCACGTTTGAAAGCAGAAACTAAATAAAGCTTTGATTGATTGATTGATTGAGAAACATCAGCACAAAGTGCGTTCGTTGCTCTGAGCCAGCATGACGAACAAGGGAACAGCGCCGCTAACTCTGTTCAGGTGTTGCTTTCCAAAAGGGTCTATGTAGGGGGCGGGCGTATTACGTGAACGGACCCATCTGATTGGCCGCATATCAGAAGGACTACATTTGATTGGTCAAATAATACTTCCGCATAAAAAACAGAGCTGGTTTACAAAATGCTGATGTGTGACACGGATGGAAATGTTTGAACCAAACATTTATCGCTGTTTTTGCCGTGTTTTGCGATGGGCCTATCACACGTCCTGTTATCGCGATGACGATAATTTTTCGATATATTGTGCAGCCCTAATTCTGAGCTACTACAGCAATCAATTTCCCTCTGGAATTAATAAAGTATTTTGAATTGAATTGAATTAAAGGGACATGAGTGTTGCCAACCTACACAAATCTTTTCAATTTTTTATTATCAAATTTATTGACATGGGGGAAAATGATCACGATAAGAGTCAGAAATTTCGATAACGATGAATTTTCGACTTATTGCCCAACTCTCATTCAACAGGTAAACTAGTAGCAGCACATTCCATGTCAAAGAAAGTAAAATGTTATTACCAGGAGAGTGAGAATGTTTAAGTGGTTAGCAGCAGTGTTTGCAGAAAGCAAGATGTTTAAACTCACAGAGGCTGCAAGTTTCCTGTTCTATAAGTAAAGCACTGGGAATCAGCTTATCAGCGCTAAACGTTCTTTTGCCACTGCCATGAGGAGCAGTTGGAGAAACACATTTCAAAGGCTAAACCGAGTCCAGCTACCAAACCAAGCAGAATACTGACGTAACACCGGTGCACAAAGGGGTGGGTTGGTTTCAACCAACAGGAGAGGGAGGGAGAAAGGGGTAAACAGCAAGATCATCACAGGGACCGGACTGATGTTTCTGAGCAAAACTGTGGGAAAAGTGTGGCTGTTAAAAGTCCTGACGCTGCGCACGTGAGGGTGTCTCTCTTTCTGTTTCGACGCTGCTCAACAATTTTTATTTATTATTAAGCCCCTTTTTTTACTCAGTAACACATATGATTGAAAATGTAGCAAAGTTCTTTAAAAAATATGCAAGTAAAAGGACAGACTGAAATACACAAAAAAGCTACTCAATTACAGTAACGCGTGTAAATTTCATTCATTACTTTGCACACCTGCTAGATGGTTTGCTGTAACAAAACGTAAAAGTAAAGCAGCAGAATGACATCAGCACTTTCATCCCTAAATTATAGGACTGACTGAAAGAGGCAAAAAAATCTACAGTAATCTTAATTAGTTAAAAAAAAAAAGATTAAAAAATTTACAAATTTAGATTCATCCAGATACTAAAAACTCCCATTTTATGAACCATCAGACCTATATAGATGTCGCACAGGCCTTTTTGTCAGTAGGTTAGCAGGTAAACTGGTGACCTTTTACCTACTTTTGCATTCCTGATAACGATATTCATGAAGTCATCTTGCAGTTCTTATCAAATCCAGCGTGGATAACCGTTGCACTTTAAATACTGAATCGTGGTGGGTGATTTGTCATGTAGTAATAAACATTTACTGCTTGGGACAAACATGACCTCCCATTAGGCTGGCGCTGGACTGGGAGAACATCTTCGAGTCAGACTCTGTGCTGCTCTTTGAGCCATTCTGTAGACACGCGCTGCAGAGGCAACCTGCTGAATACGCTCAGATCGATTACACCAGATGTGTCATCAGCCCAGGTTGAATAACCTAGCGGCCTGATTCAGGTGATATTTAAATCATCTCACCTGCAAAAAGGTTTAAGGGTCTTATTGAGAGTCTAAAGCCACACAGACCCTAGAAATGACCTTACAGTAACTATTTCTCTCCTTCTGAGCCTCAGATCAGTGAACTCCTTTAAAAAGCAACTCTAAACCATTTCTTCAGACCAGCTTTTGCTTGAACTCCTGTGGATTAGCTCTGCACTGCACATTTAGTTCTCTCTTGTTTTGATTGTAAAGCACAACATGATCTATTTCTTGCATTTTATTTTTAAGCTTGAAAAACTGCTCGTTATCGTAAAAGAATACATACCTGTGTAGGTAATTTGGCTCTTATTGCTGCTCTGTGCCTGAGGTGGTGTCTGCGTCTGAGGTGGTGTCTGCATCTGAGGTGGAGTCTGTGGTGCAACGAGGGTGAAAAGAGGCTGTGTCGTGGAGGTGAATGACTGACTTGGTCCTGGTGATCCAAGAGGAGAAGCTGCCTGAGCAGGGGTGGGAGGACTGATAGAGGGCTGGGGAGGCTCCACCTGAGGCTGCCTGAGGCCCTGAGTTTGTGGAGGGGGGGATGGCTGCGGCCTTGGGGAGGAGCTGGGTACCTGGGATACAGGAGACTGCTGAAAGGTGGGAGGCTGAAAGGTCTTGTCTGGGGTGGAGGAGCTACGGGTGATAGGAGGGCCCAAAAGAGCATCGAGGTGGGGGTTACTGCTTAGGATGGAAGATGTAGGTGCAGGTGTGGTGGTGGTAGCTGGAGGAGCCGCGGGGGTGATCAGCTGGGTCAAGGGAGCAATCTCTTGGGTGGGGGGGCCTCCAGTGAAGGGACCTGGATCAAAGAGTCCACTAAACTCCATGTCTTGGTTGTTGATGAGATTAAGCATGTCTGCAGAGAAAATGTTATCTAAATTAGAAAAATATTTCTCAGTGTATACAACCGATTCCCTACATTCAAATCTAGATTATGCATTATTTATTCTTACTGGGTTTAAATATACAAGATTTCAGTTCAGACAGATCAGAGATTACACTCAAAGGCTGGTCTAAAGGTAAAAGGAGAACAGAAAACCTCACTCAGGTCTGCAGCAAATGAAGCTGCAACTGGTCAAATGTCAAGCCCAAGTGGATAAACATCAAGTTAGAATCCAACATCCTGGTAAACATTTAACTTAGTTCAGATTTTATCCCTGGAAAAAACAGACACGGAGTCTAAAGTGGACAAAATACCAAATAAATAAAACCAATAGTTTTATTTATTTAGCGGTTTTTATTTTGTTACGAATTGTTTACATGTTTGTTCCTGCACTCTTATGAATGTTAAAGCCAAACAATAGAAAATTACATGAAAATTATAAACACTACACCTTAGTATGAAAATCAAAAGAAAATTCATCAAATTAACATTCAAGCATTTCTGCAGCAGCAGAAAATGTAAAAGATATGAAAATAATCATAAAAATCATATTATTTTTTTAATATATTTCCCAAGAATATGCCTTCAGTGGGAATTGCTGGGAGAAAGTAATTATCAGAAGCTTTGAAAATATGGCTGATTATCAGCTTTTATCAGATAAGAGACGCGCGTGTGTGTGTGTGTGTGTGCTTGCGCGCGCGTGCGTGTTATGTACGTCTGCTGTGTAAGGCAGGAGGCTGCATTTGTAAACCGGTGTTGTGTATGAGGTGATCGCTCTCAGCCAATCAGAGCACAGCTCTCAAACTCAGACCAAGACAGCGAGAGGTTACTATCGAGCAACATCACCGAAAGGTTATTCTCGGTCAGGTGTACAAAACTGGCCAGCGGGATGTGTTTAGCTAAAATACCACTTTTCACATTACACGTTGTTGTTTAGGATATGACTAAACACACACTAAGATTCTTTACAAAGTATTATTAATAATAAATATCTGTTAAAGTCCACTCTCCTGACAGCAGCACTGCTTGCTCATCAACAATTTTAATAAGATAATGTTTTTAAAACAGAAATAAACCAAAACATGGACGTTTAAAGCACATAAAAGCAACTTATTATGAATTTGGGACAAATATAACGCAACTGGGAATTCGGTCAATTGAGGTAGCTGAACCGAGAGGAATGAACGACAGTAACCTCCGAGCGAGCATGCTGGGGGCGGGGCGGACACGTTAACCTCAAAGCTAATTCGCTCTGAATTATAGTAATAATAATAACTATTTTACAGTTCGGTTAGAACTACGGCGTTTGCACTGTATAATAACAAATAAAGCCAACAGGAGGACTAGTGGCTGCTTCAGTTAGCTCCTAAACAAGCGGACTAGCTAAATGGCTAATGATAGCAAGTGTAAAAATGCTCCGAGTTGATGATTCTGTGTTCAACAAGGGCTTGCATGACCCAGAAAACGTAAATATATATGCCATGCAAGAGAAGTACCAGCAGCATTATTACTTTAGCCACGTATTTCAAGAGCTACAATTATTTCTTCTTACCATCAATATCGCTTAAAAGGGCCGTATCTATATCACTCGGATCATGAAGCGATAGTGTTGGATCCAGGTGATCCAACGAAGAATCGTCAAAAGACAAGCGATTCATCTTCACTCGTGTGTCTGCTTTTCCAGACTTCACTTGCAGGTTGATCACACAGAAAAGGGAAAAAGTCCTCAACTTTCCTCGTCCCTACATTAGATAAAACCTTGAGGTCCAGGTCTTCCTGAAAGACATGTAAATACGCTTTAACTTTCAACCAATACGTTAACTAACATCTAAACTCCATATTGAGCTTTGGGAAACTTGTCAAACCGAGCCAAACACTGAAGCTCATTCAGCACTTCAGTACTAACGTGCTGCCGTAAGGCAGAAGCTCCAGAGAACTGCCCGGCCCCATCAATGATTGACACATAAGCCAGCCAATCAGTAGCTTGGAAGTGGATTCCCACGTCCTCTTTACACATGATTGTTTTGGTTATTCAGGAAACCGCTGGAGGCAAAAGGAAATCCCTAATCCATCAATTATTGGGCTCTTTTCTTGAATTAATATTATTTTTAATCATTCGCATACTATCATATCAACCTTCACACACACGTATTTACCTAAATGAACATTATGAAGTGAAACTGCAAGGATATGTTTTTATGGGCTTGCCTTCCTAACAGCCAACGAGAGTAAAGTAGGCGGGACCTGCCAACAGTATGTTTGTTTGTTTGACTCGAAGAATAAGCTCCTCCTGTAGAACCAGTAGAATCGTCCAACCAGAGGCTGAGAAACCGAGTGGGGTGATCTGACATCATAGCACTGCGTTCGGTGATTACATCATGTGTTTCTGTCGCAAAAGTGGACAAGTGGAAGCAGCACAGTTATACTGGAGAAACTTGTATTAGCAGAAAAATAAACAAAATATCAATAAATAATTAACACAATATTAATAAAGCCTCCATGCATTGTGTTGGGGTGGGTTGAAAAGCTCACATGACTACAAATGCCCGTTGTACTGAGAGACTGAAGCAGGGTTGCATCAGCGTGAGCATTAAGAAGCTTCAATAATAACAGAGTTATGAGGTAGAGGTCACACAATGCTAGTGTTTTATTGGGCCTTTACACACGTGCATGAGGTCAAACACAGATCTGACCATACATCAGTGATGGCAGGCAGCAGACAGACATGACATTTTCCAAGAACAGGAATCAGGCTTCAAGTTTTCCATGTCCAAACCTTGTCTGAACACCCTGCCATTCAGTACTTTCAGAAAACCAAAACCTTTGTTAAGTAATAGCAAAACAACACGGTCACAGACTCGTAGGAGAGACAGGAAATACAGCCAGATGTTAAATTATCTCAATTTAGTATCTGTAATTGTGCTTTATGACTTATAAGAGCTTTAAAATCATAAAACGGGCATATTAACAACCATATTAAACATTATGTAACCGTATATAACGTTAGCGTTAAGGTAAAGCTCAATAATAACACATTTCCTGAACTAAAATACATATTTATTACGATTACATAAACACACATTCATTTGATGACATTTTGCATCTATATTTCCCTCTAATGGAAGGTCCATACTGACAACTGGTCCACATTTTCAATTCAGGTTTCATAAATGCTTATGGACATTTAGGTCGGATCCACTATTAAAATGAACAGAAATGTTTTTGGGTTCTACGTGTGATTTGGTGGACACTAAAGACAAATTGTGAGGTGGTGCTCACTCCTCACCCCTTCCACGTGGACCTCAAGGAATAAACCATCAACCCTGCTCAATGGTCAACTTTCCTGGTGGGGTCACCTCTGAGGACAGTGGGAGGGTTAAGTTAGAGGTATAATGCAGAAGAGAAGAAGAGGAGGAGGAAAATATAATTTCTATAGCGCCTCTCAAGATAAAAATCACGAGGCGCTTCACAAAAACAAAAAATGTAAAAAATATAAAAAAAAGAATTTAGAAAATGTTTAAAAATATATTTTAATGAGCAAAAAAATAGACAATTGTGATTAAAAAAATGTTAAGAATGAGAGAGTGAATAGGAAAGAGGGAAATCAGTGGATCCTGAGGAAGGTGGAATAGGTGGGGAGAGCAGAATAAAGAGAGAGGGTGAAGAAGGTCATACAAAAGCCACTTTAAACAAGTGAGTTTTCAGCTGCTTTTTAAAGGAAAGTGGGAGTGGATCTACTAAACCACTCTATAACCGTGGATCACTATAATGTGTATGTTTAGTCCTTTAGAGGGATAGTTTGATCTTTTGAAGTGTGTGAACATTTAATATTGTATCTGTTGTCTTTGATCAGCCCCGGTTTGGAGAAATGGAGATTACTTCTGATTGAAATGATAGGCAAATGGCTAGTCAGAATAATTTGAGACCAAATTTGGAGTTGGAATCCAACTGTGGGCCACAAAACTTAATTCCTTGAAATTTTCTGTAAAAAAAAATCAATTCCTAATTTATTATTTTCACTATTATGCATGTGAAAAATAAAAACAAAAATTCAAATATGAATGGGATCTGTTTATGTTTTTACTATACCAATGCGTGCAAACTTGCAAACCTTTTCATTGTAATTTTGTGGATCATAAATCTAAAAGCTTTAGGAACCATTGGAATTGATTTTACATTACACTGTTATTTGGGGGTGAAAAATTAGCGACTGAGCTAGCTAGCTGTAGCACTGTAGTTAGCTAAGTTTTAGCATTTGTATCAAAGTTGTGAACGTCTTACGATTGGAGTCCTTAAGGATTGCTGTAATCCATTTTGCAACTAGCCGTTAGCTCGTCTGATCCGAACTCATCTTTGGTTTTCCAAATCCAAGTTGTTCAAAACTCGATTTACAACAGGTAAGACATAAATCGCTAATAATGTTTTAAAACAGCCCAACTTAAAAAAAATCTGACCCATTATCTTATGCGGTTTTAATTATATTTGAAATCATATTAATTGTTAAAGTCCTATTTTTTGCTGATAAATCGGATATTCTTGAAAATAATTGCAATTATAAGCTTGACAATCAACCCAAGTTCATCTCAAACAAGTAATGCTGTTACTCAGAAAGAACATTTCTGTACAAAGTGAATTCTTCCTTATGAAGGTTTCTCTTCCCTTTCAAAAATAGCAAACTTGTAAACAAAGGAAAAAAAATACAGATCTGGCATTCCTTCAAAATGCCCAGAAAAAACAAATACGACAGTTAACATAAAATACTACCTGGTCATTAAAGCCTTAGTATTTTTTGGAATGGCTAAAAGTGCTTGTAGTTGTTAGAGAGCGTCCTGCTCTCAGGTCATTTTTGTTGCTTTATGGAATATTCTACAGGCATGTCACTTCTTCTGTGGTTGAAAAAAGATGTCTTAGCACAATACGGAGTTTGTTGTTGCGGTTTTATGCTTCCCTTTGATTAGAGGATCACTGTTGATGCTTATTTCCTCAAAAGAACAGCACTGGTTAACAAAATAAAACTCTTTATAGTGATTTTGGCAAACTGGGTAATAAGTTATGTATCAGCCATGGCCTCAGCGCTAGTACATAGTACAGATTAGAACAGGAAAGGCATAAATAAGCAGTTAAGATGAATGTAGTAAAAATAACACAATCGAATGATGTGCTTCCATACATATCTAATGCATGGACCTGCAGTTTCATTTTGCAGTAATATACCACATTCTTAAACCGCGACTTACGTCATCTTCATTTGTGTTACAAATGAGCTGCGAGTTATACATCCCACATCCAGATTAATACATCCACTCAGAGTAAAATGCAACGCGACCGAGAGTGCAGTGAACATATTTGACCTCTGTGGGTTTGTGCCACATCGGCAAGAAAAGAACAAGGAGATGGTGATAGCTTGCTACGCCACTTCCTGTCGGCGATGAAAAAGGATTAAGAAGGGCTTTTGAGGAAGGGGGTTGTTTACGAGACCCGAAGATGTCCAGGTGTCCTCTGTGGACGGTCTCTACAAGGCAAAGAGGGCATCCTCCGTCCGTTCGGCCTTCTTATGGGAGCCGCCAGGAGCACGAGCAGGGTGAGGAGGGTTAGCTCCGGGAGGAGACGGGAGAGTGTCCACGGCCTTAGCTCGCTCCTCCAGGAACTTATCAAACTCTGAAAGAAACAATTCATTTGCTTGGCATTTCAATAAAGACTGGAGGCGTTGGTAGCATGCGTTTGTTGCATTAACTATGATGCAAGTACCTTCACTGGTCACGCCCTCCTCAGAGGCCTCTCCCTTCTATCCAAAAGAAAGAAAAAGGAAGATTTTCTTAAATGGACAAAAATATTTGATTCCTCTGATGAGTCACACACAGTGGCTCACAAACCTTGTTGAGCCTCACATTTTCACAATTATTGTTAGCACTGAGTTAGCATGTAAACGTCAGACGTGTGGTTATCGGCAGCATCAGTTACTGGTGGAATTAATAAAGTTACAGAGAAAATGTAAAAGGAAAATATAAAATATGTGGAGTCATGTGAAACGAATGGATGAGATGTGCTGTTAAAGAAAGCCAAACAAAAGGAAGAGAAAAGAGAGAAAGAAGGGTAAATTAACAGAAATAAAGGTATAATTGCTCACCACATCAGCACAGAGCCACTCCTCTATGTCATCCATGACAGAGGACTGCGATACGGGAATCTACAGAGCGAAGCCACGGACAAACCAAAGCCACATAAACACACACAACCCCCCCAAAAAGAGGCAACACACACACATAAATAACAAGAATAAGAATCACCTCATGGAGGAAGCTCATGGACAAAGATGATAAAAAATAATAACGGCAACTAACTCGGCCTCTCTCAACTCGGTCTTCGTGTGGCTCAACAGCTGACGACTAACGACACTAATAATCATTCCACATCAGTAGTTAAAGCCATACTATGCAACTTTTTCATATTTTTAAATCATTTTCTTGAGCCAGTATGTGCTAAAATGACCCTTCACAAGGTAATGACATGTCATTCAGACCCCACCATTGCCTTCTGCGGCCAGAATACCGCACTTGCAACTTTTGAGTGCTAGTCCGGTCCCTGTTGGACTTGGTTAAGTGCTGACACGCCTGGCGCTGGAGTCTGCTTCCACGTTTCCTGCATGTTTTTGATCGTGAACACAGCTAATTTGTAGACTTGGGCGGTATCCAAGTTTTACAGTCCAACTTCCTCCACATCTTATCAAAGTGTACGGTATTACCGGGACTAATTTAAAAATGATGACGAAAGCCTCAAGTGGAATTACCAAACTGCTGGTTTGGACCTTCACCATTCAGAAATGGAATAACAAACACTTTTACTGAAACAATAACATCAAAACATTAACAACTTTTAAAAAAAATGCAGCTTATAAAAAGATATTTCACCAGAAAAAACAGCATGTTTACCTTAACTGGATTCAGCATAGGAAATTGTGGACCGACTGATAAAAACACGCTTCGATGAGCTTGTGGCACAAACACATGGGCACCTTGGGGCTAGTCGCAACATCTGGGGAAGGCTGGCAGCATTTTTCCACCAGAAAAGTGCGTTGTCGTCTCTTTTAAAGTGACCGTGTGTATTTTCCCTGGCGATAGGGGGCAGTACATAACTAAATCATTGCAAGCAAGTATTATTTTTGCGTTCATCTAAGACCTTACTAACAGATGGCAATTAGGGTAAAAAATCCCTGGGAGTGCAACCTCCAGCAAAATAACAAGAACATCAGATTTCCTTTCATCACTGGCAACGAGTGAAGAGTAAATGTGTAAAACAACAACGTTTATTCATGGTGAAAGTTTTGTAACCATTTGTTACAAATCAGTAATGTATTCCGTCCTCACGGGCTTCTATAGAAGAAAACATGGTATCCAATATGGCGTCGTCCGCTCCCATGTATTGCAGACCCGATTTTTATGGTTATGTTATGAAACCGCCAATATTTTTCAACAACCGGGCATCTTTGAATTCATTTACCACAACATTTCAATGAATATTTCCAGAGATTAATGGTAAAAACTACACATAGTCACTTTAATAACAGGGCAGGATTATTTCAGCTCCGGCTCCTTCCTGTGCCGACGGGCCTGCATCTTTCGCTGTTACCTCACAAATTACCTCATCAGTCTTTACCGGCTCTCCTTTTGCGTTCGCTTCGAACCCGAAATACTCCCAAACTGCGGAAGCCGTCTTCTTTTTAGACACCAAGTCAGCTGGTGCGCGAGCTGCCATTTTTCTTTCGGCGCGTCTCCGCGCCGTCACGTGATGACATCACATTCATAAGCTTTATGGAACATCTCTAAAAGTTGGACAAAACATTTTAAACTATTTAAGTAAAACTGAATATTCAACCATGCATTCGTTTTATACATAAATGACTTTCAACTATCTTTTTTATTTATTTATTTATTTTTGAATGCTCATCTCCTACGTGCACTGTTTGTTTGTTTTTTTCAAGAAGGTATTGGAACTGACACCGTTGCTATTTTTTAACACTGGCTGAAAGTGTAATACCGCCCAAGCCTACTGATTTGTTTGATTTAGCGATGAACCGCTTCTGTAGAAACTAATGAAGGCCGAGGAGACACTATGCTAAAAGCAAGCCAAAACTCCCTTTAATCCATAAATTGCTTAAACATTATCAAGAGACTGATTGGAAACGTTAAGAGCACAGGGACTGTCAAGAGGCACGACAAACACACCAAATGGAGTGCGAAGTTCGCTGTATGATGATGACGATGGCCTTTTTGGTTCAGTGTGTGTGTTAGCACACAACAATCCCAGGGTGTGAGGTTTGCTATATTTGTAGAAACTATTACATGGAGAAGCAAATGTTAGCCAACAAAAGCACTAGTTTCCTCGTGAGGTCAGAGTTTGTGCATGAAGGACAGAAAATCAAAGGACAGGCTGGGCAGGAGCCGTTCACCAGGGAGGAAATAAATCATGCAGCTTAATGATAAAGCAGAACATCTTACAAAGCACAATAATAAATCTGTCTCTTAAAAAAACATGTCAAATCGACATAGAAACAATCAGAATTTTCCCTTTCACGGTTACAATTATTAAATGGAATTATTTCCTTGTTAGTGCTACAGTTAGACTGTGGGTGTGTCATTAATAACTGGTGTATTATGTGATCCACAGACTGGAAGACGACAGGTAAAAGCCCACCATCATGCAAAAAAACAACAACAATCAGCTCATTCTGTTTTGTGCTGGAAGCAGAACAAAGAGCCCAGAAAAGGTTTTCTTTGTTAGCGATTTTCTTTTATGACGCTCCAAAAGTTTTTAACAAGTGACTGGACTCCATGAAGGTCTGCCCAGCTTGGCTTGGATGGTTTTCGCAACCGAAGCCTGTAGTTGTGAAGATCACGACCATGTTTTCCACATACTGCTGTTTAACGATTACACTTTCAACATTTGTGCTGCTTTGGAACATTTCCAGCAAAATGTACGATTTCCAAATGACTGATCTTTTAATGAGCTGAGGAGCATTTTGCTACTCCATCACAATTCCCTGTGATTTTATGTTTTTAACGGAGCTGATGGAAGTTTTATGTGACTTGTTGCATCTATGAAAGGGAAGCTGGTGTTAATGTGAGGGTTAGAACCAAGTCTGGTGTTTAGTTCATCTTCTAGAGGAGTAGAATAGTGGCGGGCAACAAGACCGAACACTTATATAACAGTGATCATCTGCATCACTAACGAAAAACACGACGATGAATGAAAGACGCACCGATTGCTGTGTTCGAGGCGGATTCTGATTTGAGATTTTTGTAAACTCAAGAGCTGTCTATTTAGATTCTTGACAGATTTTAGATCCAACTGTAAACATTCACAAAATATTTTTGTAATCTCTTGCTCGGGTTTGTTCAAAGCGTTGTAAGTTTTATTTTGACGAGCTTCTCAGCTCAAGTGAAAATTGACTGATTCAGGTCCCCTTCTCAGCAATCGGTGCATCACTATTCCCTTCATGTTCAGTGGATAAACTTTGGATAAAACACTGAATTATTTGCTTTAATATTTATTCTACTTCCATAAAGCAGGCAGGTCAATTAAAGGAAACTTATGAGTGTCTTTCTTTTGCCCAACACCAGAGAGCACTTGTACTAAAGCACGAAGGTGAATGTTCACAGGGTAGAAACCGTGTTTGAGGATTTAAGAACAGAGCGGTGAGATGAAGCCATCAAAAACAAACATGCACAGCTCATGGGGAGTTTGACAATGGAGGTGGGTGGGGTGAGGCAGGAGGACACACTGTGGGTAGAGTCCTCACCATTCCTTGGGTAATAAGCCAGCTGTCTATGGGCAGCTCCTGATCTGCTGGGTTATCATCCCCCTCTACCCTCAGCTGAATCAACAACAGAATAAGACCTTACACAAGAGAAGAAAGGCCCCACCACAGCAGAGCACACAGTCCAGAGAGAGGAGACAGAGGAGGAGTCAAATGTGCAAGACGGTCATCATTAACAGAGAATAAATAAAAGAGAGAATATGGCAAAAAAGAAGTCATTCCATTAAAAAGTGAAAATGTGGAAAAGAAAATGAGACGTTGATTCTGTCAAAATAAAAGCAAAAAACTCAAATTTAAATTAATCTTAGGTCCATTTTTTGAACCAGTCAGTGTGTGCATGTGTGTGTGTGTTCCAGATTTCAGAACTATTTGTGTACTAACCGATAACCTCCACACATATTGCAACGTTTGCTCAGAGAATAAACTGAACGACCTGTGACCTCTGCGACCTCCGAGTCTGGGTTTTGTGTGAAAACTGATTGTGAATATTTGCTTTTCCACCCAAACTCAGACAGAGCTAAAGTAGCACTGACACGCTGCACAAGCTGCAAAATTAACCTTTCTTTCTAATTGAAACTTTAAATTCGCGGCCATGCCTGCAGGTTACAAACGCATTAGCTGCGTGGATGACGGGGGTTAGAGAGACTTGTCCCTGAAGTAAATCTGAACCAGGTTGCAGGTTTCAGTGCACTCACCCCACTGGCATTCTGCTGTCTGACATCCAACGCAGAGGCTAGGCCGCCCAGAGCGTGGGGGTCTTCATATTTTACACTGCACACAAAAACATAAAACCACACTGAGGAGCTAGCGCTAACTTTTATAACCTACAGGACAGGGGGAGAGAGACAATAGTTCAAATGCAAAACTACGATTCAAAACTGGTTTAAAAGAGTCTAAAGTGGGGTTTCAGTTTAAAGAGTGAATTAAATGGCTGCAGTAAGAAGTGAAAAGAAAGCGGCCTACCTTTTCCGCTGTTCAGCCAGTGAGCTGCTCCTGGTCTGAGCGAACATGTCGAAGTCATCCTTCTGGGTCGACAGGGAGGACAGAGTGCCGCTCACCCTGTCTGAACTTACCTCTGAGGCCAGACAGCATCCATTCAGGAGAAAAGCAAAGAAAGGAATTATATAAGGACAAGGTGTAAAAATAAGTGACTAGATAAAGACAACAGAGACCAACAGGTGATCCTGTACACTACAACGAAAGCTCCTGTTGAACTAAAACCTGAAAAGAGCAACAGAGAGAAGGGGAATGGGGTTTCAGTCGCATTTAGATTAAATCTTAAGACTCCAAATCCTGGATGGCGGAAAACTTTCTCCAGCTCAATTAACGAGGACTAAACGGAGGTTTTGGTCATCGGTCCTGAGGCCCAGAGAGAGACACTTTCATCGAAATTACAATCTTTGTCTTTTAATCCCTCTGAACACGTGAAGAACCTGGGTGTGACTTTTGACTCTGAGCGGACTTTTATCCCGCACATTAAAAACATCACAAAAATAGGTTTTTATCATCTAAAGAGCATCGCCAGAGTCCACCACATGCTCTCTCGGGCCAGTACGAAGACGCTGATGCATGCTTTTATCACCAGTAGAATAGACTACTGTAATTCCATCTTTCAGTTCTTTTTAAAACACAGAAAAGGTTTTATTTACCTGCAACGTTTCGTTTGCGGCTGCAGACACCATCAGGCTGACGCCGATGGCGGCGTCAATTCCTTCGTTTATCCGCGGGCAGCAGTTTGCAGCCGCAAACGAAACGTTGCAGGTAAATAAAACCTTTTCTGTGTTTTACAAAGAACTGAAAGATGGAATTTGAAACTCAACACAGCAAGAACACACCAAAGACTACTGTAATGTCCTGCTGGTCTTCCCAAAAAGAGCATCTCAGGTTTATAACGTCTACAAAATTCTGCAGCACGTGTCCTGATGAAGACCAGGAGGCGGGAGCACATGACACTAGTTTTAGAGTCATTGCATTGGCTCCCCGCATGTTTCAGGATCCATTTTAAGGTTCTTTTAATGGTTTTTAAGTGTCTTAACGGTCTTGGGCCTTCTTATCTCTTAGAATTGCTTTTGCCATATGAACCCTCACAGCCTCTGCGCTCCTCTGGCAGGCGTCTCCTGGTCATCCCTAAAGTCAGGACACACACTCACTGCGAGGCATCCTTCCAGTTTTACGGCCTTCGCCTCAGGAATGAGCTGCCGGAGGACCTCAGAGACGCAGAGAACGTTCATGTTTTTAAGACCAGGCTCAAGACCCGCCTATTTAGGTTAGCTTTTATCTAATTATTTATTATGGTTTTATTACTCGTTTTACATGATTTTATGTTAGCATTGTTTCATTATTTAATTATATTTTTTATTTTATTGTCCATATGATTTTTTTATCATTTATTTTTTTATCATTTATCTTTTATTCTTATATTTTTACTCATTTTAATCCCTTGTTTCCTCTGTAGGGGCCCTCTGCCCCGAGGGCAGTGGTCAACTGTTGCTCCTTGGGCGCTCTATAGGTAGTGTTTGAGTGGAGGTGGGCATCAATGCCCGCCCAAGTGGTGCTCGCTGCAGAACCACAAAGGCGGGGCTGCACCAGAGTCAGCCCCGCCCATTCCAGAGTCAGCCCATTTCCTTCCAGTAGTCAGACTTGATAGCATTCTGGAACCATAGAGGGTGTTATAGCTAATATCATCTAAAATGCAAGATTGAAGCTGGAGTTGAGAAGTTAATTGAACCGTTTTTGTAAAGGTTCCATATAAATAAAAATCTAAATTTTGGAACTTTTTACCATGTTATATTGTCATTTCCTCATAAGAAACACGCCAAAGCCATTTTTGGCCTCATTCACACATTTTCCTCCCATCTCAGCTTCAATTTGGTCCTCTCCCCCTGAAGTGGGTCTGGTCTTGGTTCTCAAATCTGGATATTCTGTGAATTTTCTGAAATAACTTCTACTGAGACACCGCTAGAAAAACCATACATCCCATACACTGGATGGCACAATAACATGTGATGCCACTTGCTCGTTATCAGATGTAGTGGCGAAGTGGTTATGGAGTCAGATTTGCGTGTAGTTTTGCGCAGGTTCGCCTCCCGGTAGTGGCGCAAACTTTTTCTTCTTTTCTAGCTACGCTTGCCAGTACTATGTTTTTAACCATTTATTGGTATACAGTTTAAAATATAATGACTAATGTGTTTGTTTGTTTTTTATTTATTCGTTTATTTAGCCAGTGTGAGTCCATTTGTGAGCAGAGTTTCAACTAAAATGCTGTTTAGGGACGACCAAATTCAAAGAACTTTTAGAGACATAAATATTTTGCAGAAAATAAACATTACAACTAAAATATAAACAAATTAAATGTTTCAGGCTGGATAAATAGATTGCTGCCGACCCCACCGAGTCGAACCAGCATCAGCTGAGGGGAAAGCAAAACTTAAAATTGACGCTTTGGCCACTGGACTACCAGAACACACTAAAAATTGTCCTTAAATGCTGTTTTACCCCTGGTTCTGTTGGAGCGGCTGTGGACAGATATTAGCTAAAAGAAACCTTTTCATTTCGGGATATATTCAGGCTTTGTCATGTAGCAAGTTATATTTATCTTGCTTAATTGGAGCATAGAACATAACATTAACATTTGTAAAGTAGTAACAGCCGTAATTCATGTGGGTCAGGTTAGATTGCGATAAAATAAAAAATAAAAAAACAGAAGAAGTCAGTGGGCTAGGCTGAGTTTGCGTGAATGGACGGGGCTGACTCTGGTGCAGCTCCACCTTCGTGGTTCTGCAGCGAGCACCCTCTCCCTCTGGGCGCCCTGACTTGGTTGCTGTGGTTGACCTGATGCTGCCAGGGCAGACGGCTCCTCTGGCGTTTCCTTGCCTTACCTTAAATGGCTCATCTGAACTCGGCAAAATATAAAACTATCCTTTTTACTGATGTTATTGGATGTGTGTGTGTGTGTGTGTGTGTGTGTGTGTGTGTGTGTGTGTGTGTGTGTGTGTGTGTGTGTGTGTGTGTGTGTGTGTGTGTGTGTGTGTGTGTGTGTGTGTGTGACTGTTAATGATTTTTAAACTGTGATGGGAATTTTAGGTCATTTTCATTCTGTAAAGCACTTTGAGCCACACTTTTGCTTGAAAAGCGCTTTATAAATAAAATCTGATTGATTGAAAATTAGGCTTGTTTAACATTCTGCTGCAGGTCTGCAGAGGCTGGTCAGGAGGGCTGCTACGGTCCTGATGAGAACACAGAGGTGGAAATGTTCACCAGCCGGCGCAGTCGCACAGACAAACACTCCAGTCCGATAAAGCAACATGAGAATGAAGCATACTAAAAACCACAACCCAGACAGCAACAGTTTTGTCCTCACCCACACTCGCCAGAGCAGTGGACAGAGCAGCAGTGGGAGGATTACAAGCCGGGGAGGCCGTGGGCCCGGCTGTGGAGCTGGGCGGAAGGCTGGATGTGATCCTGGGTGTGACCACAGCAGGAGATCCTGGTCCCAGATCGATCAGGTTGTCCTCTGTGGCGTCGGATAACAGCTGAGAGGAGACAAAACGTGATGGTGTAACTTTAGGGGGGACTGGGACTCGCAGCATTTATGGATGTGAGTAAAGTAACAGATATTAAAAAGTACAGAACCATGCATTTAAGTCTAACTAAAAATGAGCAATATGGCAACGTTTTCCCACTCTGGTCAACTCAAATACTGGGATGCTGGGGTCATACTTGCCTCGGTCTGCAGGCAGCATCACAAACAAACAAAAACACAAAAATAAACATTAACAAATTGTAAAAACAGGAAGTTGTTACAGATGACCCACCCCCGCTGGTTAGGATGCTTTCATTATCCACATTTTAAACACTTTTTAAATGTTATTGTTTGTTGTCTTTTCAGTAGAAAATCCAATTGAACAAACTGCTACACACGTTTTGTACAATGAAAAACTAAAAACATAAAAGCAGCTATTCTAAGAGTAACTGAGGCATTTGATTTAGGTTGGTTAGATTTGAAGCATCTGTTGACGGCCCTTACCCCGCCGTTCTTCGCAGCCCTTCCAGACCTGTACCTCTCATACCTGTGAGCAACACAGAACACACGTTTTCAGCTTCAGATGTTCACACGGCTTCACAAAACCCGATGAAAGGCATCAAAGCAACGACAGATTGCTCAGGATGAAAGAGTTAACAGTGATGTTGTTTTTCTCCTGAATGAAATGAGTCATTTTAAGAAGTACTGATAGCTGCAGCAAAGCCTGTTTGATCCAGATCACCTCTCGTATCGAAGGAAGACATTGTTGAGGTCGTCGTTGGCGTGCAGCAGTTCCTCCGTCACCTCCTCGTTGGAAACGCGAGAAATCAGCTCGACCACCCTCTGCTGCATGGCCCGGCACGTTCGGTTCAGCTCCTGGGCAGATTGATGCACCAACAGACCGATCAACAGGAAGAAGAAACGAGCAGAGCAGACACAAACACAGAAACACGAGTCTGCCAACTACCAAACAAACCCTCTGTCAGCAGTGCGGAGTAAAGCTGCTCAGATGGGGCTTGGAAACAGAAACCCACGCTGCACATTTACTGTATTTACAGGTGCTGGCCAGTAAATTAGAATATCATCAAAAGGTTGAAAATATTTCAGTAATTCCATTCAAAACGTGAAACTTGTACATTATATTCATGCAATGCACACAGACCAATGTATTTCCAATGTTCATTACATTTAAATTAGATATTCATAAGTGACAACTAATGAAAACTCCAAATTTGGTATCTCAAAAAATTAGAATATTCTGAAAAGGCTGAATATAGAAGACACCTGCTGCCACTCTAATCAGCTGATTTACTCAAAACACCTGCAAAGGCCTTTAAAAGGTCCCTCAGTCTTGTTTTGAAGGCACCACAATCATGGGGAAGACTTCTGACTTAACAGCTGTCCAAAAGACAATCATTGACACCTTGCACAAGGAGGGCAAGACACAAAAGGTGATTGCTAAAGAAGCTGGCTGTTCGCAGAGCTCTGTGTCCAAGCACATTAACAGACAGGCGAAGGGACGGAAAAAATGTGGTAGAAAAAAGTGTACAAGCTCTAGGGATAACCGCACCCTGCAGAGAATTGTGACGACAAACCCATTCAAAAATGTGGGGGAGATCCACAAAGAGTGGACTGCAGCTGGAGTCAGCGCTTCAAGAACCACCACGAGGAGACTCATGAAAGACATGGGATTCAGGTGTCGCATTCCGTGTGTCAAGCCACTCTTGAACAAGAAACAGCGCAAGAAGCGTCTCGCCTGGGCCAAGGACAAAAAGGACTGGACTGATGCTGAGTGGTCCAAAGTTATGTTTTCTGATGAAAGCAAGTTCTGCATTTCCTTTGGAAATCAAGGACCCAGAGTCTGGAGGAAGAGCGGAGAAGCACAGAATCCACGTTGCATGAGGTCCAGTGTAAAGTTTCCACCGTCAGTGATGGTGTGGGGTGCCATGTCATCTGCCGGTGTTGGCCCACTCTGTTTCCTGAGGTCCAGGGTCAATGCAGCCGTCTACCAGGAAGTTTTAGAGCACTTCATGCTTCCTGCTGCTGACCAACTTTATGGGGATGCAGACTTCACCTTTCAACAGGACTTGGCACCTGCACACAGTGCCAAAACCACCAGCACCTGGTTCAAGGACCATGGTATCCCTGTCCTTGATTGGCCAGCAAACTCGCCTGACCTTAACCCCATAGAAAATCTATGGGGTATTGTGAAGCGGAGGATGCAATACGCTAGACCCAACAATGCAGAGGAGCTGAAGACGACTATCAGAGCAACCTGGGCTCTCATAACACCTGAGCAGTGCCACAGACTGATCGAGTCCATGCCACGCCGCATTACTGCAGTTATTGAGGCAAAAGGAGCCCCGACTAAGTATTGAGTGCTATACATGCACATTCTTTTCATGTTCATTCTTTTCAGTTGGCCAACATTAGAGAAACAAACATTTTTTCATTGGCCTTTAGAATATTCTAATTTTCTGAGATACCAGATTTGATGTTTTCATTGGTTGTCACCTATAAATATCAAAATTAAACGTAATAAACATCAGAAATACATTGGTCTGTGTGCATTGCATGAATATAATGTACAAGTTTCACGTTTTGAATGGAATTACTGAAATATTTTCAACCTTTTGATGATATTCTAATTTACTGGCCAGCACCTGTAGACGATCCTCTTATGTTCTGCTTCAGATGGAAAAAGGAGGAAGCAAAAAAAGTGCATCCCATAATAATTACAGCTGGCAGAGGGTGGTGTGCACCAGGCCAGATCCTGGAAGCTGACATGGATACCTGAGCGGATTTGTCCAGAGGAGATTAAACGCTTCTCCTTCACCTCCTGACAGGTTTTAGGAGCAAAAACTGGTAACACTGCTCCCCCTGGTGGATGAAAAGCACTACAACAGGACGTCTTTGGCTCCGTAGGTGACGTTAAAGGGCAAATGCAGCACGGATTTCTTTTTCAAGGTTGTATTTTTCATCTTAGATCATCTCACAAAAAGTGAAGGATTTTCTTATCAATATATATATATATCTTATATATATCATATCAAATATCCTTCAAAATAAAACTCAAAACACAGAAAAGTCAGATAAAGACAAATACACCTGCTAACAGTCAGTCATGTCAAACACAGCCTAAGAGCGCTGAATGTGTTTATATGAAAGCTGAAGGTGGACCTGGAGCAGCTCCAGGTCCGAGACATCCTCCTGACCGGGGACCATCTCCGTTAGCATCTCTGACATGACTTTGATATTTCCTCTCACGATGTCCAGCTCACTCCGCAGACGGGCAATCTGAAAGCACAAGCAGGATCACTCTGTTCACCAACGCCTCACTTGGATTAAAATCCACGAATGAAACGGCTCCAGTGGCATTGCAGGAAGTGCCTCTCACCTGTTCAGGTGTTGCTGTGATGGGGTTGGGGACGTTTGTGGAGGCTGGAGCAGCAGGGCCGGTTTTAGGCATCCCAGCAGCAGGAGAAACGGGAGCCAGGTACTTTAACATGGCTGGATCCACTTCCGGTGTACCCTGTGAATAAAATCATGTAGTAACACTTAACGTGCACTTAAATAAAGATCTGACGGCGTTCCTGCTTACTCTCCGAGGCGTGTGAATGGGAGACAAAGCATCCAGGTCTGCCATGGGGAACTCGATGCCTTTTCTCTTCAGCTCCTCATAAATGTGGACCACACCGGTCAGATCAGGACTGCTCCTGAACGCATCCGCCCAGGACTGTCACAACAAACAAAGACATGCTCTGGATTCTCTCTTCACAATAACAATAATAATAAATATCTAAAAGCCACATCAGTGGAGCGAGTCACAAAAGCCAAACTTTTGGGTGAAAAATCTAAAAATCTCTCTTTTCTCTCACACCATTTACTCTCTTTTCTGAGAATTCAAAAAAATCTATTAGCATTTTGGTATAAAAGCTGTTTGTTTCTGAAATTTTCATTCGAATGCGTCCAGTGGTTTGTGACAGTTAGCTAACAGAGGACCAACATTACTGTCTGACGTTTAGTGGCAGGTGGTAAAAACCGGGAGCAGAGGCCTGATTACTTGTATGAGAGACAGGACTTTGTCTTGCACGATTGCTGGTGGATTAGTCTTTGGGGAGATGATTTTAACCAGAACGCCATCAATGAAGTCTTTGCTGGCCACCTGAACGTGAAACCTGTGGCCGCAGTTCTTCACACAGGCCTCCAGCACCTACAGGAAGCCACAGCGTCGTTATTCTCTGCAGAAACATCCTAAAAAGCTTCTGTCAGCAAACTGCAAGAAGATTGGAGGCTTCTTGGCTTGCCAACAGACACTCGGCCATCTTCTCACCGTTAGCGCCAGCATGACCTCTCTGTAATTCCTGTTGCCGCACAGTCTCTTCTTCAGTGCCCGCATGGCGTCTTTTGGCCTGGAAAGAAACAGCAGAGAAGTTGGGGCTTCATTAGGAGCCCACGCGGGGAGCGAGCGCAACATCGCCGACTTTGTTGGAATAAACTCTCTTCCTGTGCCACAGGAACAGATGCCAGTCAGTCTGTCAGCGTAACTGTTTGACACAGAAAGTGAAGAGCTGTCACGCCATCTGGATCTGCCTTTTCTTCTCCGCTCCTTTCTGCGCGACTACAGAATGTTTCTCCCAAGGCGAGATCAAAGCTGTCCACGCATCAAGAGTTCGGGCTGGCTCTATGCCCGACGCTCCCCTTCTCCTCAGAGAAGACGAGGCATAAAAAAGACTTCATCAGCTCTTTTATACAGTCCAGGTTACTTATTAAGGCTAATAAAACCAGTAAAGATGGACGGTGACGGACATTTCGTGCAAAGAAAACTGAACATGAACGTGTGGAAACATTCTTTGGAGCATCTGTTTTGCTCTCGCACCATCTGTCGTCACGCCGTTTAAAAAGCTGATCAGCAGAAGTGTGTGCTAAGGCAACACAATCTCCTGAATCAGGAGCTCCAGAGGTCACCAGTTGGTTCCGTTTTATTTTGTCTAAACTGAACATCTCGTCTTAAAGATGTTCTGCGTTTCCGAGGTGGCGGAGAAGGTTGCGTGTCGCGTGTGAAGACGGAGGAGGGAGGAATGTGAAACTAGAGAAAGCGATAGAAAACCTTTTCACACCTTTATTTATTATTAAGGGTGACATTTACTGGATCTGAAGTCACCTTTATCCAAACGTTCGATGTGTTAACTGACACCTTTGTTCTCAAACTTACTTCAGGATTGAATTAAATCCTTTTGGCCTCTGAGTAGAAATAGCAGCTATGAAGAAGTGACGATCGGGTTTAGCAGAGCCCTGTAGGCTGGACGTTGCTTCGTGTAGGAGGCTGATCCAAGACTTAAACGTATTCATTCATTCATTTGGAATTTCGGATGGAGAACAAAAGCGTTTGTGTGAGATGGACAGTAGTTAGTGTATTATCTGGTGTCAGTCTGACACGAGCCAGTCTCATGACAAGCTGTAACGAGAACGGCCCTCTGAGGTTGAATATCCGCAGTGATCCGACACGAAGGAGATTGAAAATATTCCAAACATGAATTATTTCCTGCTCACCCTTCGTCCGTTTCATTGATGATGTCACAGATCTCCATGTTGAGGCTCCAGTCCTCACTCTGCAGACCGCCATCGGTGGCTCGCTCTGGAGGAAAACACACAACAACAAAAAAACAAGCAGAGCCATAAATATATTGTTTTATGATCATAAAGTGATGCAGTGTACACCATCAACAAACAAAATGTTGGTTTTAAATCAAATAATTACAGTATCTTCCCAGTTGGATGTGCCCGGAAAACCTCACCAGGGAGGTGTCCAGGAGGCATCCTAATCAGATGCCCGAGTGACCTTAACTGGCTCCTCTCGACGTGGAGGAGCAGCAGATCTACTACGAGCCCCTCCTGGGTGACCGAGCTCCTCACCCCCCCACACGAGACCCGCTGCCCCCACACCCAGAGCCCCCAGGCCCCCACCCAGACCTACTCACGGGAGATGCAGCCGCCAGGCAGCAACCCATGGCCACCGCCGAGACCCTCCAAGGGGCCCCACTCACAGCCGCCAGCAGTCCACCCCCAAGGCAACCCAAGCACTTCCAGAGGGGGGCAGCAGCCCCCCAGCCCCAGTGAACCCACCTCCAGGGAACGTCTGGATACTCCAAACTCAGACCCTCCGCCCCATCACCCACATCAACCCGCAGGACAATATCAATGACCCCCTATCATCGCCATATAATGGAACCGATCAAAGGAGCCCAGTGAGATTGGTTTGAAGCGGAAGCAGAAGCTATCTCAAGTGTAATATGATCTAACAAAAGATTTCTATACTGGTTAATGCAAAGAGTATCTCTATTTTTCCAATTCATGAGGATAGTTTTCTTAGCGATGCATATGGCAGTCAGAACCACGCGCACCACATTATAACCATTTGTTACAAATCGGTAAATGCATTTCATCCTCACCGGCTCCCATAGAAGGAAACATGGCGTCTAATATGGCATCTTCCAGAGCATCTCTTGTACTTCCTAAACAAGTGATGTTTTATAGCGGATAAAATAAATAAATGTCATAAATACAGAAAGAAAGAACTCTATAGTGTTCTCCTTTTTTCTTAATGCATTTCGTATCGTTAATGCATTCGTATTCATGTATCGGATTGGGACTCAGTATTGGCAGATTCTGAAAATTAAAAGACTCAAAATCAGATCGAGAGCAAAAAAAAACATGATCGGAACATCCATAGTCTCTGGGCTTCAACCTCGTGCTTTGAACTTTAGTAAGTTGACAGAATAAAGCAGGAATGTGAGGACTGTGTAAAAAGACGTATAAACTCGATGTGATGTGGCTGTGTACTCAGCCATAACCTGTAATAATGGTCAGAAACAGAAGCCACACAACACTAGTCTAAGTTTCACATTCCACACCATTGTTTAAGGCTAATTTTAGCTACAGACAGGAAATAACAAAGAATCTTACACCTTCATAAATGTAAACAAAGGATTTATTTTAAAAAAAGTTTTACTTTCTAATCATCTGAAGACAAGCCATGTACAAGAGAGGGATGTTGTTTTATATTTAAATGAAATTACTGCCATAATATTCTCTTAAACTCCATTGATTTTGAGTCTCGAGTGTAGATCTAGAAGAATTAAACCCTCTCCTTCAGTCACATCTCATGTAAGCTCCTCAAGTGGATTGTTGTGTCACAGCAGGACAGTGACGAAAGGAGAGAGGAAGACAGAATCAAACAAACTGTAAAATGTGCAAGAATGGCCCCAAGTAATTAAAGCTGTGCAGACAAGTTAAAAGCAATAATTCATTATGGTGTGGCGTCACCTCCCTTCTAGATCCTGGTACACTGACACAACGGTGGTGATCACGTGGCTTTAATAGTGCCAAGCTGCACCAAGCACTTGCCAACAAAAGCTGCAAAGTCCCTCTCTGAGCCATCTCTCTTCATTATGGTCTTTCAAGCCTCATCCTTCCATTATTTAACTTGTCAGCACCACCGGTCAGCACCTGTGTTTTCTATAGTATTTAGTGACTTCCCTTCATCTACTTGTTTCAGTAAGTTAAACTCTTGTTAGTCATATTATGAAGCGTCTCCTTTCTTTAAGCCAGGTGAAATGATGACTTGTCCTCTCCGTTGAAGAGTACAAATTACTATCAGGGCAACAGAAATCTGATTAAATAAAGCCTCAGCCTGGAGAGGATGAACTGCAGAGATCTAGAGACAACTCTAGGAAATGCTGAAGACGAGCAATAACACTGTTACTGAAAGAAAAGTGAAAATAAAGTCAATTCAAAGCCTTTCTGATTATGGTTCATGTAAAAAAAAATAGGTCGTTTCCATCATTTGCATAAATGATCGATCAGACACTGGTAACCACTGGCCTAATCTAAGGTTGTGCTAACTGATGAAGTCACAACAAATGAATGTGTTAGACTCACACATGCTTTGTTTCATATCTGCTGGACAAGAACGTGAAGGTTTCTAGCTCAGGACAACAAGGCTGACCAAGGAATCTGGCCATCTATCGTTCAGGGACTGACAGCAACATTAGCGTAATCTCAGAGCCACACTTTTTATTTAAAAACACACACCCTGGAAAGTTTTAAGACAAACAAACGCATAGAGCTTTTGTGAGTGACTGTTAGCGGCGGACGAAAGTTATCTAGAGGTGCTAGCTAACACATTAGCTGGGAGCTCATTCCACGCAGATGACGTTTGCTAGAAAAGATGCCAGCCAGCTCGCTTTTTCCGCTCGTACGAAGAGTACGTTTAAAAATATGCTCTAAAGAGAAAGCGCCACATAATTTGGCAAAACATTGACGAAAGGCGTACCTATGCATTGGCCAACAGGAGTGCTGTAAGGATTTCCAAGTAAAAAGTCCATTTTGACAACAAACGATCCGCTTGGGAATGACAGGGGCTGAGGCCCAGAGGCCGCGGCGGTACCTGTAGGCCCCGCCTACACAAAGAGCCTATTGGACGAAAAACGCAAAGCTTCAATTCAATTGGTTAAAATTATTGTCAGTCATAATTTGTATCCTAAAGCTCTGGTCAACAAAGTTTTCCAAGCTGTATTAGAACAAAACGCGTTTTTCTCTACGAAATCTCATTTTGCTCCTTCTTTTTTTTAAATAATCCTTTCACCGGTTTAAAGTTAAACAATATGCCAAAGCGTTAAAATTATGAAAATCAATTATTTTCGTAAATAAAACGACAAGAGAATCGTAATATTTTAGCGAGTACTGGTCTTTTAAAACATGTTAACTGAAATTAAATGTACATAAAGTCATTGTTGATAACTAAGTTTAGTTTTAAGTTGTGTTAATGTCGCAATCAAACCTACATAATAGTGGAACAGGTTGATGTTTTATTTTAACACTTTGTCTTAGACGTACCTGAACGCATCTGAAACGCTACTTGTTGCTAAGTAACAAGTAACAAGGCGTACTGTCCGTGTAATCCGTTGGTCTAAACGTTTATTTACCCACTATACCTATTAAAAAGAGCGGTGACTACGTTTTTTAGTTGTCAGTGGTGAGTATTATTGTTAAAATATTCGATTCTCACACAAGCTGGGGAAGCGCGGAGGGGAAAATGAAGGATCAGTACCTCGTTATTACGTATTAACAAGAAACTTTCTTGTAATAACGTGTTTAATATCTCGTAAGACGTTTCCGTATACGCTACTGTTAGAGCCAGTCCTTTAAACATCGTCCAATATTTATGATAATTTTAACTGAACAAATTTAACTTAACACAATAACTTAGGGTGTAAATTAAAGCCCAGTGTGTGTTTATTTCCAAACAGGATAAACGTGATGAATTCACAGCCCACTCTGATGAACACGCGAATGCTGATGGATGCAACAAGGGATGAAGCCCTAAACATCAACAAACTTTGTGGAGGCAAACAAACTGTTGACATGAGTGATATCAGTCAGTTACACTTGAACCTGAAAAGTGAGAACAGATCATTTGAATCGACTAATCGATCAATGCGAGGTGTTTGTGTCTGGTTATGTGTGAGCTGATTTGTTTACAGACATCCTGAAGATTGACATTCTACACGACTTCACATCTCTGGTCAAACTTGACCTGTTTCACAACCTGATAGAGAAGATCGAGGGCCTGGACAGCCTCTATAATCTCACCTGGCTCAGTGAGGAATCTTGTCATGAATGTGTGTACACTGGTAAGAATCTGATCAGTGGAATGCTCACGTTTAGATTCTTTCTTTTAGATCTGTCCTACAATAAAATCACAAAAATTGAAGGCCTGGATGGTTTGAAAAAGCTTGAAGTGCTGAATTTATCCAACAACAATATCTCTCGCTTGGAGAACATGGATGCACTACAGAACCTGAGTCACTTCCTCGTTGCAAACAACCTCATCAAAGACCTGGACAATGTAAGATTTCCCTTCCTGAGTGAAGACTAAAATAGATTATTTTGTAAAAGTTGTAGTTTGGAGTAAAATATTGCACTACCACAACTTATGCATTTTAAAGGTACTCTATCTTACGAGGATGAAGAAGTTGTACGAACTCTACATGGTTGGAAATCCTGTCAGTGATGGAGAAGAATACACTTTGTTCTCTGTAGCCTTTCTGCCAAAGCTAAGATACCTTGACGACACTTTGATTAACATAGAGATTGTAAGTACAAATGATTGTAGCACATCTTTTTGTTAACTCCTTATCCTTCCTTACATGTTTTTGATCCCCTTGAGGAAACGTTTTCTCTTCTTTTGACCCCTTCTTATATTATTAAGGAACAGTAGGATTCAGCTTGTATTGAGTCCGAAGGAACATCATTTTAGTTAAAAGTGTGGAACACTGAAAAAACATTTTTTTAATTATTATTTCTGATTATAATCAGTCACTGTATGTTTTTCATGCAGGCTGAACATGAAAATAGTCTCCTGCATTAGAAAATAGATGGAGAAAATCTAGGATTTGTAAAGGCTAATAGATCGACGTCACACTGACTTGACTCACTACAGGGAAGAGTGTTGTAGTTTTAGCATCCAGGAAGCCAACAATCCGACTAGTAGAAGCTAACCATTAGCATTAGCAACACGGCCATACAGGAAAAACTCCTCCAGGCTTGCGTGGAGATAATACATCCACATTGCAAGTGGTAGAGTTGAGTTGTTATTATCCAATCCAAGGCGAGAAAACCAAATATCAGGAAATAAGACTCCAAAACCTGGCATGTTGTGCCACTTTCTGCTGCAGCAGACTTGTCGGTGCTGGTCCGTGTTTTTGGGCTCTTGGCATTCATTCCTACCAGAGACCACTACGCGTATTGATCAAACAAGTTTCCCACACCTTTAAAAGCACGCGTATATCAATATTCTTTTATTGCCGAGTTACTTATCCTCAAATGTGTTTCTACAGAGAGAAGAGGCATCCATGAAATACCAGCAGCAGCTCCATGAACTTGCAAAACGGAAAAATCAGAAGCAGCAAAGAACTGAAGCTGAGGTCAAAATAAAAAATATGTACAACATTTAATGAGGTTTTTTGCAGTTCAAGTTATTCTTGTTTTGTTTTGTTTTCATAGAATGCCTTTGTGGAGGATATTGATGGTTCGAGTTTGTTTAACAGCCTGTTTAAAGACAATCCAGAAGTATTGAGACCACACTGCCTCCCAGAAGTTGCTCCACTGCTTCAAACATATCTTTGATGCTTTATTTTTAGTTAATGTTTTTATTTAACACTCAGTAAACCACGATCAAATCGTCTATTGAGTCCTTGACTGTGCACTTACATTAGAGGTCCAAATGAAGGAGCTGTGTTTGCACTTGTTTGAAGTGGGCTTGGCTGAGCACAGGTGCAGACAGACAGAGCTGAGGTCCTTTTACAGTGGCCAGAATGAGGTGGAGACATTCTACAAGCAGAAGACATCTCAGATACTCGCAGAGTTTGATGAACAGCGCACACAGGCAAGTAGATTCTGCTTTTAAGAAGACATCATTGAGGGAAAGCAGTGCACCACCAATGTGTTTATAGATGGTGTGCTGCTGACCTCTACTCGGGATGTTGTGGATTAGTGGGCAGAGTACTTCGAAGACCTCCTTTATCCCAACGGCACGTTTTCCAGTGAGGAAGCGGAGTCCGGGGACTTTGGGTTGGGCTCTCCATTCTCCGGTGGTGAGGTCACTGAGGTGGTCAAAAAGCTTCTCGGTGGCAAGGCTCCGGGGGTGGATGGGATCCACCCAGAGTTCATTAAGGCGCTGGGTGTTGAAAGGGTTACGTTGGCTGACACGTCTCTGCAATATCGCATGGACATCGGGGTCAGTTCCACTGGACTGGCAGCCCGGGATGGTGGTCCCCCTATTTAAATGGGGGACTACAGGGTGTGTTCCAACTACAGAGGGATCACACTTCTGTGCCTCCCTGGTAAGGTCTATTCAGGGGTTCTGGAGAGGAGGGTCAGATGGATTGTCGAACCTCGGATTCAGGAGGAACAATGTGGTTTTCACCCTGGCCGTGGAACACTGGACCAGCTCTATATACCTTAGGGGGATCCTGTAGGGTGAGCGGGAGTTCACACAACCAATCTACATGTGTTTTGTGGATTTGGAGAAGACGTTCGACCACGTCCTTTGAGAGGCACTTTGGGGGTGTACTTCAGGAGCATGGGGTACCAAGCCCTCTGATATGGGCTGTTAGGTCAGTCAGCGTCTTTGAGTTGTTGTGAAAAGCGCTTAATGAAATGCATGCATTATTATTATTATTATTATTATTATTATTATTATTATTATTATTATGTCCCTGTATGACTGGTGTTAAAGCTTGGTCCATATTGCCGGCAGTAAGTCGGGCTTGTTTCTGGTGAGCGTTGGACTCCGCCAAGGCTGCCCTTTGTCACCGATTTTGTTCATAATTTTTATGGAGCTTCAAGGTGCAGCCAAGGTGTTGAAGGGAACCGTTTTTGTGGCTTAAGGACTGAGGCTCTGCTTTTTGCATGATGTGGTCTTGTTGGCTTCAACCGGTTTTCACTGGAGCGGTTTGCAGCCAAGTGTGAAGCAGCTGAGAGGAGAATCAGCTCCTCTAAATCTAAGATCGTGGTCTTGAGTCAGAAAAGGGTAGAATGCCTTTTCCAGGTCAGGGATGAGGTCTGCTCCAAGTGGAGGAGTTAAAGTATCTCGGGGTCTTGTTCATGAGTGAGGGAAACTTGGCTCTCGAGATCAATAGGTGGATCGGTGCTGTGTCTGCAGTGATGCAGGCATTGTACCGGTTTGTCGCGGTGGAGAGAGCTGAGCCAGAAGGCTCTTGATTTACCAGTCAATCTACGTTCGACCCTCACCTATGGTCACGAGCTTCTGGTAGTGACCAAAAGAATGAGATTGCGGATACAAGCGGCCAAAATGCGTTTTCTTCGCAGGGTGGATGGGCTCTCACTTAGAGATAGGATGAGAAGCTCGGTCATCCGGGAGGGGCTCGGAGTAGACCCGCTGCTCCTCCACATTGAGAGGAGCCACATGTGATGGCTCGGGCACCTAGTTAGGATGCCTCCTGGACGCCTCCCTGGTGAGGTTTTCCAGGCACGTCCAACCAGGACAAGTCTCTCGGTTGGCCAGGGAACGCCTCAGGATTCCCCCGGAGGAGATGGCCTCCCTGCTTAGGCTACTGCCCCCACAATTCAACCCCGAATAAGCAGCAGAAAATGGATGGATCAATGGATCTTTGGATTATACACCATCTCTGCAGTCAGTTATCACATTTGGTGATGATCTTTCCAGTTATTGTGCTTATTTTGTGAATTTTGCATATCTTAGATGGCAGCAGAATCGAAAAATTTGGAAGACATAAACCTGCGTGAAGTCAAGATCAGAAGCTTCAGCGATGCAGTCGTCCCACAGCTTCATAACAGTCTCCTGAAAGTTGCGTTTGAGCTGCTTGGCAATCGTGAGGTAAACTTGTGTGGATGTGTGTGTGAAAAGAAAAAAAAGAAAAGAGTGAATCACATAATTCTGTGATTTAGTTTAACGTTCAGGTTTTCTTTTTGTTTGTTTGTTTCTTTTCAGGAAAACATCAAAACGTTTGACGACGCAATCTCAGCCATGGTTGATGACTTTGTGAGGACCTCAGAGAAGACATATCCTTCATCTGACTGTGTCAACTTGATGGTTTCAAACAACCACAGCAAAAACACAACTTTTGTTTCTGATTTCTTTGACACAAACACACATTCGCCCAGTTAAGAGATCTAGAGGAACTATATCATCAGAATGTAAATAAAATAGTCATTGAGACTCTGGAGAAAGTAGCCAACCATAATGAAGAGGGAGCCATCCCGGAAGATGTGATGAGGGTCAGTGTCACTTCTGCACTGCCAGTTTTTACTTCACGCTGATGCTCTTTTTGCAAAGTAAATAAATAAATAAATGCAAGGCCTTGGTGGTGAAATCAAAAGAAACAAAACAAAAGGAAACTGAATATATTTGCTGGAATTACTCTCAGATGATGTCTTGTCTGTCATGAGAAAACTGAATCAGGTTTTTGTTTTGGTTGTCTTTTGCGAATAGCTGTTTGCAGACCAAGATTCAGTGAAGGAGGCCCTAGCAACCAGCCACAAAGCCCGACAGCTTAAGATGGATAATCGGGAGAACCAGCTGGTTAGACGAGTCAGAGCCTGGAAGTCAGCCGTCATTGCAGAGGTAGGAAACTCAAATGACTGTAAAACAAACCCTCCCACACATCCCCTCATCTTCCTGGTGTTTTTGTTGCATTCTGTTTTTTTTTTTTTTTTTTCAGATTAAAGAAAATGAACTTCGGCAGAACCACATGCACATGTCGGACATCAACAGATATGTACAATATCAGGAAGCAACTGGAGGACATTTTAGAGTATCAATATAATTTTTGCAAGACACTATATGTCATGTTTTTATGCAAAAAAGTAACTGTGAGAATGAGAGAAGGTTAAGAGATGGAGAAGGTGATCTTCATGATTTGTGAATGAAATTTTACTGTTTCCATGTAAAAAACGCTCTTTACTTCTCTGTATTCGCATTACAAATGGTGTGTTTTGTTTAGAAAAAATGTAAGTATAGATTGCTGGTAAGTTAGTTAATTTGTTTGTTTTAGGAATTTTTGTCATGTAAAACTCCAGTTTAGTCTTTAAACCCTTTCAATAAAATGTGACCAAAAGTTGGATTTAGTCTGTTGTTATTGGAAAAAAGAAAAGAAATTGGATGTATATGGGTGACAGTGGAGCTAGACCTCTGTGTAAGTCGCTTTGGATAAAAACATCTGCTATAAACATAACATGTATGCTAATTACTGACTGGGTGTTTTTCTACATTAATTTTAGGGAAAAAACGTGTAAAATCAGAGAAATAACAGTGCAACTAAGGAATGCCATATATGGTATTATGGTGTTCATTCATTCATTCATTCATTCATTCATTCATTCATTCATTCATTCAAATGATTGTTTCAGCGATGAATCCCGATTATAAACCAGCTGATTATAAACAGTTGCAGTAAAAACTACAACTCCCAGAACTCATCACGGTACATCATCCAATAAAAATCTAGCTCAGGCCAAGACCCAGTTTTTAGCCAATGAGATTCCAGGAAGCTGGATTTCTAAGGACGCGTCACAGCTTCCGTCAGTTCATGGAAAGGTAACGTTGGAGGAAACTTGAGTGTTGGGGATTCAAATTCTTTTTTCAAAAAATTTCACAAGGGAGACCGATCACGACCGGCTTCCTTCCCTTCGTCAGCGGTGTGTTTTCAGTCTCAAGAGTTCATGACGGTCCCCGAAGACGACTCCATAGCTCTTATCATGCCTATCCGAGCAGAGTGCCTCTGTACCAGCCCATCCTCGGCCTGTCTTGTTCCCCCTGCCCCGATCAACGCTCAGCAGCCCGGGCTGGCTACTTCGCTGCTGTACAGCGGCTCGCAGTTTCGGGGTTACCAGAGGAGCAAAGGCAACTCTTACGACGTGGAGGTTGTTTTGCAGGTAGGATTTTCCCTCTGAAGTCGTGTTGTGTAAGTAAACAAACTAGACTCGCACCTTTTATCTCCAACTTGCTGCAGCTTGTTAGCTAAAATTCCAGTAAATTACTGTTTATATGGAGTTTATAGCTTAAGCTGTACTTTTAATAATGTACTTAGTATTTTGTGCTACTCCAGTGAAATATATGAAGACTTTTAGTTTAGCGCCTGAGAGTCTTGACCTAAGTATGCTTAAATCTGTTTGTCCTGGACAGCATGTGACTACGGATGACTCATATTTGTGTGGATACTTGAAGATCAAAGGCCTCACAGAGGTAAGCCCAGGCTGCAGCCTGATCCTATGTAGCAAGGCTGAACTTTGTTCTTTAAGCAAGGAGAACAAACAAATTGCTGCTTGCTTGTTGCAGGTTGAGTTAAGAAAAGGCTAGTTTGGGAACACCGGCGTGAGGCCAGTGTTGTCATTGTGCCACATAAATGTTTTCATGGTGCAACGGGTGTCTTAATCAAGATGCAGTCTGTGAGTACATTAGATTGTTGTGTCAGTGTTTTAGAAATGAAAGAGATGAAGCAGCACAGACAGCGCAAAGTCACCCTAAAAAAACGCATTGCATCTAATAAATTTGTAAATAACATTTATATTTTTGCTGTTCACTCCAGAAAGTGGAACTCCTATGTTTGTTACAGAGTGAAACGCTTCAAGCCTTTATTTCTCAACGTTTCAGTACAGCTTACAGAAAATGATAACCCAAAGTTTGGTGTCTCACAAGTTTAGAATATTACATTAGATCAATTAGTTTGTTGCATGAAATTCAGCATCGAGCAGCATGGCAGACAAAGGGATGACTTACAACAGTCTGTCTACAGGCAGAGCCGCTCTACGTTGACCCCACCGTGATCCACCAGGCTCCTTAGCATAGAGGACTATCAGGTGCAGCCGTGTCCACCACCAGATGCAGTCACCTGCGTCCTCCAGGATACCATCTACCCTCCTCCCCTCTGGAAGGAGGCCATGCTGCATCCGAGCAGTAGCATTGAGACTGAGGAGCAGCTTTCACCCAGATGCATTCAGACTCTTCAACGGTTGAGACTATTTAGAGCAGGGGTGGCGAACCCTGGTCATGGAGAGCTACTGTCCAGCATGTCTTAGTTGTTTCCCTGCTCCAACAGTTGATTCACCTGTTCAGTGGCTCATCAGGCTCTGTGGAAGTCAGTTAATAGCCTGCTGATTAAAACCAGGTGTGTTAAAGCAGGAAAACCTCTAAAACGTGCTGGCTAGCAGCTCTATAGAGTTTCCTACCCCTGATTCAGAGGCTCAGGAAACCTTTGCAGGTGTTCGGTGTTAATTAGCTGATTAGGGTGTGACAACATGAGCTTCAATGTTTATCTTTTTAACAAAATGCAAATTTACTGAAATACTACATTTTGACTTTTTGTTTGTCAGCCGTAATCCTCAAACTTACAAGAAATAAAGGTTTTAAATATTTCGCTGTGTGAGATGCATCTAGATAAAATGAGTTTCACTTCCTGGAAAAAGTGACAAAAAACCCAGAACTTTATAAAAAAGAACTTTATAGAAATAGTTCTGCGCCCGCTCATGTCGATCGTCAGGAAATCTTTTTTTTTTAATTATCTTGGTTTACTTTTTGTATTTTTGTTCTGTGTGTGTGCTTTAGGAGTATCCCACGCTCACAACGTTTTTTGTCGGTGAAATTATCAGCCGCAAGAGGCCTTTTCTAACGCGGAAGTGGGACGCCGATGAAGACGTGGACAGGAAGCACTGGGTACGCTCTGCCGCTCCTTACTTCAGTTGCAGGGAGATCTGTTGCATGAGTATTCACTGGAGGATTACACACGCCTAACCAACACTTTGAGTTCATTAAATCTATTTTATTTTTCCTCAAAAAATGTTTGGATGCATCTAGTTTGATATCCAATACCAATATGTGTCATTTTAACAGAGGGCTTCTTATACACAAATCTTTTCCAGGGGAAGTTTCAGGCTTTTTACAAGTACGCCAAAAACTTCAACTCCGATCATTTTGACTTCAAAGCGCTGGAAGATAGCGATTATATCTTCATGAGGTGGAAGGTCAGTAGGTCATCCGTCCTCTCGTTGTTTCCTCTTTCCAGGTTGATCTCTAATCTCGCCTCTTGTCGCCCTCTCAGGAGCAGTTTTTAGTTCCAGACCACACAATCAAAGACATCAGCGGCGCCTCGTTTGCGGGTTTCTACTACATTTGCTTTCAGAAGTCCACAGCCACCATTGAGGGCTACTATTACCACAGGAGCTCAGAGTGGTAATCACCTGCTTTCAGACCAGATTTTACTCGCATTGGGGAATAAAATGTAAACGACCTCCTTTATTCTGCTCCTGCAGGTACCAGTCACTAAGTCTAAACCATATTCAGGAGCACAGCATGCCTATTTACGAATTCCGGTGATCTGAAACAACTCTGCTGGACGGAGGAGACGCTGGGCTGCATTTGAATGAGCGGCGGAAGAAAACCACGTTGGAGATGACGCGTTTGGCTCAGTGGGGGAGAAGAGGGGGGCTAAGGGGCCAAATTACCGAGCTGCAGAACCAAAAACGGACACGATGAGGAGATTTAAGTGAGATTTGTGCGGTTCAGACAGAGCTGATGTCAGATAATCATCGCCTGCTCTGGTTTTGGCTTGCAGAGCTTTGCCTTACACCCCAGAAAACGGTTTGTGGGAGGAAAAGTGGTTTTTCAGTAATATTAAATACAATATTTTGAGGGAATATGTTTGATCCCTCTCGGTCACTTCTGTTTCTTACTACAGGATAACAGAACCCATCAGCGACCGGCATGAATGTGAGACGGCTGATTTAGTTTGGACACACACACACACACACACACACACACACACACACGTTGTTTTTATGTTTTCTCTTTATGCCAGAGATTACTAGCTGAACTGCTAGCCCTCTGTAGTGCACCATAATTCTGAGTCATGATGAGTAAAATAACGGGATTTCCATGTGCGTAAGGAACTCGACACATGAAGAGCAGAGTTTTAAATTCTCTATTTTGTGTGAATTTAAAAAATAATATTTTTTTTGTGGGTTTATAACGTCCTGAGGAGGACAAAATATTAAAAACGTCTTTTGACTAATGAAAGGAAGAGGCAAGAACAAATCTGTTGATGTTTTCTTTTTAAGGACAAAATGTTTAATATGAAAAGTAACATATTTTTATGGTTGGGGAGTGAAAATGCTGGAAATGTCAAAAATAGTGTTTCTGAACAAGTTTGATGTGGAGGTTTGTGTACATTATTTATGTTCTCACAGCTGGAATATTTAAACATGTGGGACAAGATGCTGTGATGCAGGAAAATATGTTAATTCCCATACACTGGGAATATTTATTTGAATCATTTAAAAGGAAGCAGAATGCCATAAAATGAGTGAATGTTCATTTATTGGAGAATAATTCTAATTTAAAGATGTTATGTCCCACAAAGATGTGAGAAATAAAGTACTCGTCTGTCAGCTCCTCTGTTCTAATCTATAAAGCTCAGTTTGAAAAGTTACGCTTTGCATGTGATTCATTTAGTTTTTCCTTGAGAGAAAAGTACTTTTTATTTATCTAAACGTTAACTTTTCTGGATGAGCTTTAATCCTTTATGGCCAACATCCAGGCAATCAGGTTCTGTTTTCTTTGTCTTTTTATTTTAGATAAAAGTGAACAGAATAGGGTTTTTTAGGTTTATGTTTCATTAAAACTTGAATGGGCTATCAAATGTTGGCTACAACATCAAAGAGAAAAAAATGATGGGAAGAAAATAGGCTACAGAAAAAGATGTTTTCTTGCTATTACAGCAGTCACCACTAGGTGTCAGTAGCTGCAATGCAATGTGGTTTTATTTCCCTACCCAGGCTTACAGCTCTGGTTTACAACATGAGTTAAAATAATCATTTCACACACTTTATTTACATCTTCTGTTGTTTCCATCCCTAGACCTGACAAGTCAAATGCAGAGTTCACTGAGTTTGTGAAAACTAATTGCTGCTTTATTTTTGTTCAAGGGCACATTTGAGACATGGGAGAACAAACGTTAAAAAATCAGACTAAATAAATGAACATTTAAAATCATTTAATGGTTAACAAAGGTGGATGAGCTCAAAGGTCAGAGGTCACGAGCCTCACCAACCTGTTCCTTAGCCACGTTGTCCCAGCTTTGAGGCTGCCCAGTCCTCTGCCTGAAGGGTAGAGGGTGAATAGTTCATGGGATAAATGAATGAGCTCTTTCTGTGTTTTTTTTTTTTTTTTGCTCTGGTTCTATAAATGTTCCCTAAGTCATACTGCTGTTCTTTTGAGCAGATCTCTCAGTATTTTACAGTTCATTCTGGCCAGCCTCAAAGCAGTTTCCATACCAGACCCTCGTGGATGATAGGACACTGCTCTCCGCACCCCAGTGAAAAAAAAAAACAGCAACAAAGAGGCCAGAACCATGTGGGCACTTCATAACATAGCAGGGCTATTCAATTCCAGGCCTCGAGGGCCGGTATCCAGGAAGTTTTTGTGGTTTCTCTGGCCTACGCACTAGATTCAGTGGTTGAATCACCTGCGCAGCAGCTTATCAGGCTCTACAGAATACTGTTGATCACCTGCTGATTGAAAACAGGTGTGTTGAAGCAGGGTTAAAACTAAAATGTGCTGTATATCGGCCCTCAATGCCCAGAATTGAATAGCCTTGACGTAGAGCCAATAATGAATTTTTAATGGTGCTAGTTCTTGTAAGGTCAGAGGTCATTTGCCAGCCCAAGAATTTAGCTGTTTTCACTAATCTCATGGCTTTGCCTTCAATTTCAAGAAGTGAAGGGGTCTAAATCCTCCCTCTGGACTCCACCATCTTCACCTTTTTTCATTTAGTGTTAGTTTGTCTAATCAGTAAACTCCTTTGGCTTTCTCATTTATACAGACTCATTGTTGTTGGAGATGAAGCCAACAGCAGCAGGGTCATCTACAAGTTTGACAATCTAGCGGGACAATCACTTGAGAGCAGTGTAAACAGAAAGGACTCAGAACACATCCCTGTGGGGCGCCTGTGGCGTTAAACGTAAGGCTGAAGTTTAGAAAGGACAGAGTGACACCTGACACTGCATCAAACTTCCTATCATTATCTACACTTTTCCTTTAGTGCTATGCACCAGAACCAGGCTTCATCTGCAATCTTAATTTTTTTTTAAGACTCAACTAAAAGCTGGCGTGTTAGCTGCCCACTGGGATTAATGATCTACTTAATGAAAGATTAAGGGATACCTTCTGTCTGGTGGACGTGCCTCAGCTACACTTGGGGGGAAAAAAAGGGGAATTTTTAAAAGGAAAGAGTCAGTAGTTTGTCTAATGACTTCCTTATCGGGCTTTAACAATAAAACTGACAGTAGGGGATTTTAGTCTTCCTCACTAAGCTTCACTCTCTGGCTGCGACGAGTGGAAAATATACAGATTTCTTCAACCCGAATGACAAGAGACTCCTTTTTCAAACATTTGGTTGGTTGAGAAGATAATTGTGTCTCTTCCTTCCTTTACTGAGTTTTACTCCTTTGTCTAAATCATTGATTTTGTTGCTTTTTACTGACATGTTTTAAAGCTCAATGCAAGTATTTACCCTCACGGAGTAAGAACTGTGATGATAAACAGTCATAGTGTGTTTAAAACACATGGTTTTTTTTACATTGCAGAACTAAAAAAGAAAGAAAAAGCACATAAAGTGGAAACATGCAAACATAGTCATTGGAATAGCGACGCCTCTGCCTGTTTGTGTTTGGATCATCACAGAAAGTCTTGTTCACTGGGAGATGGCAGATTTCTTATCGGTGACTCGCTGTCTGAGTCCGACAGCCACGCCCGTCCTCTCTGGAGGAAATATAAATGCACCTGCAGATCGTCTCCGTCACAGTCAGCACATCTGGTCCTGTCGTCATGGAGACCAAGCGTTATCCCCTCAGTGTGTGTTTGGCTGGAGTGCTTCACAAGGGAACGAGTAAAGTGAGGACAAAATGGGTTTTTCATGCTGAATTTCTTTTCTCTACTTTTGCTTCAAATGTGTGCTCTGCTCCTCCAGATGTACATTACATCTGTGCTGTGGTCAGACCAGACTGAGGTCGTGGTTTATAGAAGTTTCTTGGATTTCAAAAATATGCACGTGAGTTTTAAATCTTGTTGCTAGTATTTCTGCTTTTGCTTTTTCTACAAATCACTTTTAGTTTTAATATTTTTCTACTAATCTCACAGAAGCTGTTGAAGAAAGTATTTCCCTCTGCAAGTAAACTGAACAAATCGGACAGAATCCTCCCCAGATTTAGAGGTAATTGTGTTTGTCGTCACTGGGCATCCAGACACTCATCTGGGATCAAACTAAGTGTCTCTGTGGTCATGTTTAGGTATCAAACTGAAGCAGAAGAAGGGATCAAACAAATATCTGGTGCGCCTGACGTATTTGCAGAAATATTGCAATGAGCTCCTGAGCTGTGGTCCGCGGGTCTCTCAGTCTGCAGAACTTGTGCGGTTCTTCCAGGCCAAAGAGCTGGAGCTGCAGCCAGAGTTCACCAAGAACAGGTTAAACCAGCATTCACCTCTAATATTCACAATTAGCTAGCCTCTCAAATGTGCGTTACTTTAACTTTACCCTATTTAATCCCATCAAATTCACACATTAGCTTATTTTACAGATTATTTGAATGATCAACAATGATCAGATTATTATCACTCGGTGCAATAAAACATCTATTAGGCAACTTGTGTTATATACAGAGTGAATGTAGGATTTCTGGGTCTTTTTATGACCTCTATGACCTCTGGGTCAAGCTGTGGGTTGTTGTCGGCAATCTACTTACACAATAATTAGACGAAGCATCTCCAGCTGCTTCCACAGGTGTGGATGTAACTAGAGCTTTAAACTTCAACAACAACTTTTTTTCTGCTCAGATGTCCCAAGTCTGCAGGAAAAGTCATGGAATTTCATGTCAGATTAAAAAAAATCCTTTCTAGAGAGAAAGATTATAAAATGTGACTGCAACAGGAGAGTGGACACATTTTGTGCTGTTATAGTAAATGGTAAATGGTAAATGGCCTGTATTTGATATAGCGCCTTCTAGAGTCCTGGAACCCCCCAAGGCGCTTTACAACACAATCAGTCATTCACCCATTCACACACACATACACACACTGGTGGGGATGAGCTACGATGTAGCCACAGCTGCCCTGGGGCACACTGACAGAGGCGAGGCTGCCGGGCACTGGCGCCACCGGTCCCTCCGACCACCACCAGCAGGCAGTAGGGTTAAGTGTCTTGCCCAAGGACACGGCGACAGCGACAAACTGAGTGGGGCTTGAATCTACAACTTTCCGGTTACGGGGCGAGCATTTAACTTCTGTGCAACTGTCGCCCCATGGGCAAGATCTGAGAAGAGTCTTAGTCTACAAATTCAGTTTATTGATTTGTATAGCGCTAGATCATGACAAGAGTCGTCTCAAGGCACTTCACAAAGTAAACGTTCCAGTTGAGTTTAGTTCATTATGCCAGTTAGTTTGTTTCCTATAAGGAACTGAGCAGATCGAATCGAGTCGCTGACTGGTGTCAGTGATTTTACAGCAGTCCTCATATTAAGCAAGCATGTAGCGACAGTGGAGAGGAAAACTCCCTTTAAACAGGAAGAAACCTCCAACAGAATCTGGCTCAATAAATTTAAGAATAAATAATAAAACAAAGGTCAAAGTTGAATCAATGCCTTTCAAACTGGGCGTGATGTCTGATGGCTCTGATGTGCATTTCCACTCAGCATCATGATCATGCCCTCTGATGACGAGATCAGGAGCAATGGAGGACACATCACCAGCGGGAACGTGACCCAGCCTTTTATCACAGAGACGTACAGATGTGTAGCTCCGTACGAGACCAAAGACACCAAGAACAAACCTTTGAAGGTGGCCGCTGATGATAAGTTAGACGTGCTCATCAAAGACAAAGGAGGTGAGTGAACACACCTCCACCGGCGTCTCTTTAGTCCCACATTTGCCTCATTTCCACTAGTACCTGCTTTGACTGCCATTAATCTAATCTGTGCGATTGGATTGTCCTTCCATTAGCACCAATTATGAGCTCTAGCCCAACCTTTCTCTATTAACACAGTTTAACTCAACACAATCTGCTCAGGGTGGTGGCTTGTAGAAACAGAAGACAAGCGGATGGCCTGGTTCCCTGCTCCCTACTTGGAAAAGGTAGAGGATGTTGATGAAGACGAGATGGATGAGATACCAAACAGAGGTAGTCACACAGCTACAACTTTCATAGCAGAGGTTAATGCTTGGCTTTTTCAGGGAAAGTAGTAAATATCATGTCTCCTCCAGGGGAGCTCTACATAACTGTCAAGGGCTACAAGTCCACCAAGGTGGATGAGGTATCTGTGAACATCGGAGCGGTGGTCGAGGTTCTGCAGAAGTCTGAGAACGGCTGGTGGCTCGTCAGGTACTATTTGGCTTTGACACACAACCCCTGGATGTTCGTCTACAACTGGTTCACTTTTGGGCTTAACTTGATCCAAGATGGCTGCTTCAGCTATTCAGCCTCAGAAAATGCAAACATGTCTTTAAATCATTCAGGTTTACCGATACTCCGCTCAAAGTAGCTGAGAGTAACTCACAAACACACTGTTCTCTGCTAATTTAGAAAACCATACACAATAAAGGCTACACAACCAATCAGCTTTAATAATGGGTTTTGTTTTCTAAATTTGACTAAAGCATCCACAACATCACTTTTCAGCAGCAGATGACGTTCGTTTGGAACTCAGACGTAAGAGGCGGTGTGTGTTTCTTCAACGCCTTTTGTTATGAATACCTCATCAGGATGACGTAGCGCTAGCTGATGAAAGACACGTTTTACTTTCCTTTGGCAGCACGCCTGAAAATTCCTGCAGCCTTCAAATAAAGCTCACTGTGTGTTGTTGACACCACCGTCTTTACTTCTGCACCGCTGCAGTTATCAGGGGGGAAAAAACTCGTATTTACTGCTATAAAAACTAAAAATCAGCGATTAATGGGAATCTTGTGCTGAGATTTGTTGAAGTTGAGTCAACAAGCACATTTGTTTTCAGATGAAAGCAGCCTGACCCGGCAAAGCTTTTGTGCTCAGTGGTTATTGAAGTTTAAAAAAAAAGACAAATTTAAGGCGACGGACATTTTTACTGCAAAATATAAGCATTTTTATAAACATGAGGCAGTTATAAACCATCTCTAACTCACCTCAATCATTTTTACAGATACAACAGGAAAACTGGTTACATCCCGACCATGTACCTGAAGCCCTACAGGTACCCTCACATCCGCATGACCCCCCCGCAACATAGTCCAAACAGCCCAACCTCCCTCCTCATCCCAGCCTCCAACTTGACACATAGTTGTTCCCATGGTAACCTGCAGCGGCTTCCTCCTGTCTCGTCCTCCTCGTTCAGCTCAGACCAATCAGACAGCGTCCGCAGGTCCCGGTCTCTGAACAGGTTGTCAGATCAACCGGATCCACAACCTGCACGGCGTCCCACCCCCACTGTAATCCCCCCCAAACCCACCCCCGCTGTGCGAGTCCTTCCTCCCACCATCACAGTGCAGGTGGACGATGAAGGGGAGGATCAGGGCAGCAGGATGCAGACAGGAGGCTCCAACGGCAGCTTTGAAGATGACAGCTTCAGTGATGATGAGTCTGGCTCTTTCTATGGCAGCTCTTCCTCCTTCAACCTCAGCTACAGCTACAACGATGATCGGCTGAGACTCAGCCGCACGCCTCCCCCCACAGCTAACACCCTCCTCACCCCAACAGGCCCCTCAGAGGGGAAGCTGCTCCCCAGTGTGTCTGAACCCAACCTCTTCAATAGGCCCACATCACCTAAAGTCCCCCCAAGACCCAGAGCCCAGGAGATCCTGACCCGCTGCACCACTCTCACACGCAAGAACTTAGCCAAAACCAGCTAGTCTCGCAGACCGACAGAGGTCACCAGTTGATGAAACGAGTCACTTCCTTTTGTAGCACAGGATCCTTTCTTGGAACATTTAAAGTGTGAAACTTTGATTTTATCATGTAATTAGAATAACTGGTGAAAATGTCACATCAGTGACGCTGCATCAAGTGTTCTTGTGAGGAAAATTGGTTCTTCTAAAGTCTAGAATCCAAAATCTGTACATGTGATGTTGTGCTGAGAACAATTTAAAAATAAACATAGTTTGGGAACGTGTGTGTGTGTGTGTGTGTGTGTGTGTGTGTGTGTGTGTGTGTGTGTGTGTGTGTGTGTGTGTGTGTGTGTGTGTGTGTGCGTGTGTGTGTGTGTGTGTGTGTGTGTTACGAGAGAAAAACATCTTATTGAACAGACTGGTTTTCTGGAAATGGATCAGTCTCCAGGAAATGATTCATTTCCCCAAACTTAAATTTCAAAGCTTTCCACATTCCTGTCAAATAAATAAAATGCTGCATCTTTCAACCTGAAATCCGGATTATAACCTGGATGCTTGAGCACCTTCACCATCTTTTAATCTGGCTAAAGACCAGTTCTGCAAATTTCTTTCTGATACAAGCGACTCACCATTATGAAACAAATTTCACAGGCTGAGCATCCACCATCAGGAACACAAACTTTCATCTGAAGTTGCTTGTAGAATGTAGAACTGCAAAATCTTTAAAATAGTTTGTATTCTTAAAACCAATTTCAACAACAAATCATACTGCCTTAAATGTAAGACTATAATTGGAACTGCCAGAGGGGGGCCAGAGAGCAGGGGCGGTTCTAGTCGGGAAGACTAAGAGAAAGGAAGACGAAGACGAAGTATTAAAAGGACAACTTGAGAGTGCTGCACAACAGGATTGCAGGTTGTTCCAATGGGGCTCTAAAAGACAAGGGAGAGTCAGCCTCCGAATGGCTGGGAATTGTTTACAGGTCTGGAGGGTGAATGGTCTAATGGGGGGGGGGGGGTCTTTAGTTTGAGATTTGGATGAGCAGGTGAGCGATAAACGGGCGGCCAGGAGACGTGCAGGGTGGCGTGGTGCTAGAGATGGGATCCCAAATAGTACTGCTTGTAGGAAACTTTTGTTAACATTCACCGGTGATCGCATGACAGTAACCTTCCCTTCAATGTGCAGACGTAACAACTCCGACAATGACTGAGCTTGTAAAACGAAGCACGCAAAACACAGCTCTGAGGGAATCTACAAATGTGTAAATACAAGTCACACGCGTGACGTCAGAGCATTTTTGTTGCAGCTATACATTGCAGAATTTATAATCCTGATTATTTATGTCCAGGGCCTGATAACTAAGACTTCAACGTATTTATTTCCTCAAATAGTTATATTTAATGAAGTGCGTTTGTGTCTAAAGCAGCTTAATTCCTATATTGTTGTGATAACTCACTAGAATCTGAAATACTTACAGCCATGTTTGTAATGTTTTCTTGATGTTGCCCCATAGACATGAATATAATCCAATTTATTTTTTATCTAAACCTGAAAACAGGAATATTCCGATTTGAAATGAATAAAAATGTTACTCATACCAAAAAAGAACAAACTTCTCATTTTCCTCTCCTGATAATAACGTTTTACTTCCTTTGACATGGATTGTGCTACTACTAGTTCACCTGTTGAATTAATCATAGATTCACTAAGATAGCAGATCAGTTCCTGCTGACCGTCCCTCGCTCCAGGTCTAGAACATGTGGGGTGAGGGCATTTTCTGTTCTAGCCCCGTCCCTCTGGAACAAGTTACCCCTTAACATTAAGCTGTTTCCATCATTGACTGCTTTTAAGAGTTGCTTGAAGACTCATTTTTATCATTTGGCGTACACCTAATCTGTTCGATGAATAGTTTGATCTGCTTATTTTATTGACCTTGTTTTACTGGTGTCTTGTTTTCTATTTTATTTGTGCTGTTCAGCACTTTGGGTCCCCCTTGAGGATGATGGAATGTGCTATACAAATAAAAGTCTGATCCTCTGGAGGTTTCTTCCTGTTAAGAGGGAGTTTTCCTCCCCACTGTCGCTGCATGCTTGCTTAGTATGAGGACTGTAGTAAAGACTTAGACCAGGGGTGTCAAATATCCGGCCCGCGGGCCGAATCCGGCCCGCAAGCGGTTTAAATCCAGCCCGCGAGATGGTTGTGTAAACTTTATTTTCATACTTAACAATGTAGAGTGAAAATAAACGTATCTTTGTGAGCAAGTTTCCTCTGTAATGAGTATAAATAAAACAAAGCTGCGCTCAAGGCTCACACAAGAACTTGAATCAAACAAAGAAAACAATCTGAAGTTTTTTTTTAATTTACTGGTCCGGCCCACTTGGGACTAGATTTCCCTCAGTGTGGCCCCTGAGCTAAAATGAGTTTGACACCCCTGACTTAGACACTAGTCAGTGACTTGACGCAACTTATATAGGAAATGTTTTACTGATTGGCTTAATGAACTGACCTGTATTGGAAAATTTACTGTGTGAAGTGCCTTGAGACGACTCTTGTCGTGATTTGGCGCTTTATAAATAAACTTGAATTGAACAAACAGAAAACTTTTTTAGCTAAATATTCAGACAAACAAAGGTTAGGATTATTACATGACTCTTAGTATATGAATCGTCTTAAAGACGTTTTGATTGAATGAACAACCAACGAGGAAACAACTGAGTTTTTGGTCATCTTGTAAGGAAATCCCAGGCATCTTTATAGAAGTTTTTTTATTTAGAAGGGTTTAGTGACGGTATCAAAACAGTTACAAGAGGAAACTGTTCAAAATGATGCAAGAAGACAAATATCAGTTCTTCTTCCAGTCAGTCCCTTTGCTGGTTAACTTTCTTGTATTAAAAAAAATCATTTCCTGTTAAAAATCCGTCAGGAGGAACTGATCTGTGACGAGAAAAGTCTTTGGTATTTACAGTGAAACCTGTTCTCTAAATCCCTGTTTCCTGCTGCCCAATCGGAGCCCTGCACAGCTGGCAGAGGAAAACTTCTGGAGGTTTCTTGGTAGAAGTGAAACATCAGTGTCCATCATCCTGTCAGCTCACAGTTTGACTCCGAGGAGGAAGAGGAGGAGGAGAAACAGAGAGATTTTTCATCCCTTCCTCCGTTTGATCGGTCACATCTTCATCTTCTGAGCTCTCCTCGCTCTCTGAGTGATTCCCGTTGGTTCTGCTTTCCACCTGCCTGCGCTTGGAGGCTTTCTGAGCAGCACTCACTTCAACAACCTCCTCCTCCTCCTCCTCCTCCCTGCAGCAGTCCGGATCTTCATCCTGCCCACCATCGCTGTCATTGCCTCGTCTCTCATCACTGCTGCCTTTTGCTTTGTCCTTATCCACAAAAAACAGTGGCTGAGTCTGGGTCAGAGGAGTCGTGTCCATTTCTTCATCCTGATCCACGCTGGAGGAAATATAACAAAATAAAGATTGTTTAAATACAGGGTATCTGCAGATTTAAGGGAGCCAAATTTAAGACTTTTTAAGACCTTTTTTAAGGCCACTTTGACCAAATTTAAGCTATTTTAAAAATTAAATTTAAGCGATAATTTCCAGCTATTGCCTGGAGCCGGTGCTAACCACGTCGCGAACGTGGGATTAGCCATCCAGTTACTATTAACTTTTCCCTTCCCCATGGCGCAAGCTCCCACTAGCTTAACCAGCTAATGTGCTCATCTAAAAAAAATAGCCCCCTTTCACAACCAACTGACTGCGTACAGTTCCGTTTACGCCAAAATCATACACAAAAAATGCTGAACACTAACTAGAAATTCACGAAATTTTCATAGAAATAAAAGAATCTTGTTTATTGGGTCTTTGGTAATTTAAGACCTTTGGAAACTGGATTTAAGGATAATTTGTCATTTTTAAGGACTTTTAAGGCCTTAAATTAGGAAAAGCTAATTTAAGACTTTTTAAGACTTTTTAAGGACCCGCGGATACCCTGAAATAACTCGAGTGTTTCTGTGCCATTTAGCTGCTGAACCTGTAAAACAAAGCAGTAGAGGATGCAGCTCTATGACCTAGATCACGATGAGAAGGTACCAAGTGTGCAGGTTCTGTGTGGGACCGAGGACTCGACAGCATCAGTTTAACAGCAGGAAGTCCACACACATACACCCTACCCATAAACAGCTGTTCCATTCCCTTTCAAATACCAATGAACTGACTCAATAAGGAGGTTTAAACGAGTCAAATGCAATTTTGAATCCAATGTTGCTGCCTCACCTGGACGCTGCTCCAGCCACTCTCATCTTCTGCCACATGTAACTGAGGAACATGGACGCCTGCAGCAGACGGTCGATCCGCTCCATGTGTCTCTCTGTGGGTGAAGGAAAGAGGAACTTTACGTTCTAACAAAGCTTAAAATCTACTTATACAAAACACAACATGGCTCCACACAAAAGAAAAGAGAAAATTCTCAAAATAAATTTAACAAAGCAAAACTTGGAACCATAGCTACAGTTGAGTTACTGATTTTATCTAAAGAAACGCGTCCTTATGGGAGCATTCCTGAGGATCGGCAGAAGGAAATGTGACAAATATTTACAACCTTGTTTGTTTACATGAAACCACGCCGACATGTCTCGTCTAAACAGTGAACACCGGCAGAAAGTATATTTAGCACTGGGATGACCTCCTGCTGACCTGTGTATGGGATCAGACCCTCCAGGTGGGTCCGGGCTCCCTGGAACTGCAGCAGCTCCTCAGGAGGCAGGTGGGTGAGAAGCACCTGCAGGACACTCTGGGCGTCCAGGCAGTTCCTGGCGTTGGTGTTCCACACCACGCAGTAGCGCAGGAGCGCCTCTAAGCAGGACATCCAGAAATGATTTAATAACACCAAAGTTTAATCAAATGAAATTCCTTTCATAATTCTTGTGATTGTGTAGTGGTTTCTGAAGAAGAGCTGTCACACTACCTTTTTGATCGACTCGCAGTTTCAGCAGCGTGCTCTCCAGCAAGTCCCGACTGTGCTCCGACTGACGGATCGCTACAAGCAACAAAAAAAATCAGCTCTTTCGCTTTTTTCATACAACGTTTGATAAGAGAGTCCAACTGACTCCGATTCTGCCGACGGATCATGTTCAGGGTTAGGGTAAAAGTCATATGTAATATTATGGTGTTTTTCTGAATATTAGCATCTTCAAATGACGTTTTTCTTCACCCCCTCCAAACTGTATCAGGTGAACTTGGAACAAATTCCTCACAAATTGTGCAGAAATGATTCAGGGTTCATGCTGAGCAACAGCTATTGTCTGAAAAGGGTCGTGCTTGTGTTCCTGAAGCGACTCTGACAGGTCGTTTCTGCATCAGCGCTCAGGTGACTCGAGAAACGACGAGGGAGGAACGCAAAGCAGACGGGCGGGAAAATGAGACTGGCTCTGTGATTTTAGCTCCAGAACAAGAATTATAAAGAAGCTGAACTGATCTTGTACCTTTGATAACAGTGAGAACAGTGTGGGGCTGGTCCAGAGAGATGGCCAGACCCAGAGCCTTTACGTATTTCTTCTCATGGAGCAGGTTAGACAGCTCCTGCTGCCTTTACACACGCACAGAGAAACGCACACACACACACACACACACAAGTTCCACTTAAAGGTCGGTCAGATAAAAACAGCACGAATTCTCAGAACTAGAAACAACAGCAACCCTGAAAGGGAAAAACTTCGGCTTGTTTTTTCACAAAAAATAAATCCTCTACTTCTTTTTGCCAAATTATAAATCATTTAAAATTATACTTATTTAAAGAGTTAATAAAAGAAAGTAAGAATTTTTTTATTTTATTTTGCAGAAAACCTCAAATTTCCTCCTGATAAAGAACACAAACTTTAACCTTTATTTCTGGCTGAAAATACAAAGTAGCTGCAATGGTTTCCGTGGAAACAACAATTACCACAAATTCTCCACTCCCTGTATGTTTTGCAGATAAAAGTGGGAGAGCTTTAAGGAGGAAATGGCACATAAATATAAGTAGTTACGGATAACTGCAGCCAGCTTCCTGCACAAGACCGAAGTCTAACGTACTTGAGAATCTGATCCTCCTGCTTGGCCTGCTCCTCCGCCAGCTCCACCTCCGTCACATCCTGGCACGCACAAACACACAGCAGTTATAGTGTCTGAAGCATCCAAGCCAATGAAGTAATAAATAAAGATCAGCTGCTGATATTTTACTGTCTGTATCCGCGGTACCCACCTCCCACACAATGATGTTAGAGTCGGCTGAGCCCGTCACAATCTTGTCGTCCTTGTGGCTGCCGTGGAGACCCCACACTTTGTCCTGGTGAGCATCCAGTGTCTTCACACACTCGTTGGTCTTTATGGTCCACAGTTTTACTAAACCGTCGGAGCCACTGAGGAGTGAAGGATCACAGACGTCGACAGAGACTCATGTGGGTCAAACGTTCTCTAGTTAAATAAATATGTATGTGATTTAGGTGAATCCAAGTTTTTGGAAACTGCCATTTAATCTAAATCCCTGAACAAACTCGTGTTTGTGCGTGTGTGTGTGTGTGTGTGTGCGCATTTACCTGGTCAGCAGTTGAGAGCCACGACTCACAAAGATGACTTTAAGAACAGAGGCATCGTGGCCTTCGAATGTCTGAAGGAGAATGAAAGAAGAAGAACATAACTAACTACATAACTAAATAGCTAACTATATAAGATTATAACTAAATACCAAACACAACTAACTACAAAACCAATTATATGTCGGTGGCAATCCCCGTACCCGCAGGTGGTGCCCGACGGTTAGGGATGTTCTTCAAGCTGAAGAGAGAGTCCTACCAGGTCTTTTTGGCCTGTGGGACTCCACAAGCAGCCGATGGATAACGGCAGGCCAAGCGGAATGCGGCCCGGGGGCTCACAGAGGCAAAAACCTGGACAAGGGAGGAGTTCGGCGAGACCATGGAGAAAGACTTCCATACGGCTCCAAGAAGATTCTGGTCTTCCATCCGGTGCCTCGGGAGGTGAAAGACATCCTCAATCCCACCGACACGTCTTCCAGTGAGGAAGCGGAGTCTGGGGACTTTGGGTTGGGCTCTCCAATCTCTAGTGGTGAGGTCACTGAGGTGGTGAAAAAGCTCCTTGGTGGCAAGGCTCCGGATCTGCCCGGAGTTTCTTAAGACACAGAAACAGCCCCACAACATCCAGAGCCTTAAGAAACTCTGGGCGGATCTCATCCACCCTCAGAGCCTTGCCCCAGAGGAGCTTTTAGACCACCTCAGCTCTGCAATATCGTGTGAACATCGGGGGCAGTTCCACTGGACTGGCAGACACGGGTGGTGGTCTCCCTATTTAAAAGGGGGGCCCGCAGGATGTGTTCCATCTACAAGGGGATCACACTCCTGAGCCTCCCTAGTAAGGTCTATTCAGGGGTTTTGGAGAGGAGGGTCCAACAGATTGTTGAACCTCAGATTCAGGAGGAGCAATGTGGTTTTCGTCCCGGCCGTGGAACACTGGACCAGCTCTATACCCTTAGGGGGATCCTGGAGGGTGCGTGGCCATTTGCCCAACCAGTCTACATGTGTTTTGTGGACTTGGAGAAAGCATTTGACTGCATCCCTCAGGAGGCCCTGTGGGGGGTACTCCGGGAGTATGGGGTACCAGGCCCTCTGATATGGGCTGTTAGGTCCCTGTATGACCGGTGTCAGAGCTTGGTCCGCATTGCCGGCAGTAAGTCGGGCTCGTTCCCAGTGAGAGTTGGACTCCGCCAAGGCTGCCCTTTGTCACCGACTCTGTTCATAACCTTTATGGACAGGATTTCTATGTGCAGCAAAGGTGTGGAGGGGATCTGTTTTGGTGGCCTCAAGATTGAGTCTCTGCTTTTTGCAGATGATGTGGTCCTGTTGGCGTCATCAGAATGTGATCTCTGGCTCCCATTGAAGCGGTTTGCAGCAGAGTGTGAAGCAGCTGGGATGACAATCGGCTCCTCCAAATCCAAGACCATTGTCTTGAGTCTGACTAGAGTAGAGTGCCTTCTCCTGGACAAGGATGAGGACCTGCCTCAAGCGAATGAGTTTAAGTATCTTGAGGTCTTGCTCATGAGGGAGGGAAAGATGAAGCATGAGATCGACAAGTGCATGTGTGCTGCGTCTGCAGTACTAAGGGCGTTGTACCGATCTGTCTAGGTGAAGAGAGAGCTGGGCCAGAAGGCAAAGCTCTCAATTTACCGGCTGATCTACGTTCCTACCCTCACCTGTGGTCACGGGCTTTGAGTAGTGACATAAAAAAAAAAAGATCGCGGATACAAGCGGCCAAAATTAGTTTTCTTCTTAGGGTGGCTGGGCTCTCCCTTAGAGATAGGGTGAGAAGCTCGGTCATCCGGGAGGGGCTCTGAGTAGACCCGCTGCTCCTCTACGTTGAGAGGAGCCAGCTGAGGTGGCTCGAGCATCTGATTAGGATGCCTCGTGGACGGGCAGTCTAAGGCACACCTGTACATTATTCATGCTGTCTAATCAGCCCCTCGGTATGCCACACCTGTGAGGTGGGATGGATTATCTTGGTAAAAGTGCTCACTAACACATGTAGACAGATTTCAGAACAGGTCATGTGCATGCAGGAAAAGTTGGAGATGTTTGAGTTCAGCTCATGAAAATAGGGAGCAAAAACAAAAGTGTTGCATTTTTATTTTTGTTCAGTGTAACTAACTGCATAACTAATTACTAAGGCAGTGGTTCTCAAACTACTTTCCAGCACCCCCATGGGGGTCCCCACACTTTGTCTGTGCTGAGTTTGTGAGGTTAGCAAGATTTATTTGTAAAAATTACAATTATAAAACCCCAATAACACATTCTACAGCATAATCAAAACTCCATATAAGATGCATAACTCTGTATGTCTGTAGAAAGTTTGTAAACAATCACATTTAACGTGTGTATGCAGGTAGGAGTTGGTATTGGGCATTCTGGCTTGTCTTGGAGAAAGAGAGGGGGTTCTCAAGGAAAAGGTTTGGGAACCAGTGATGTAGGGAACAATATTATAAAACTAGCATTTAAAGACAAAGTTCTGTGGAAAGGTTATGAGATCAACAATATCTAATATATAGGGTTGTCACGGTAACCGGTGTAGCGGTAAACCCCGGTAAAAAAGTTGACAATAATAACAACCGTCTTGTTTTTTAAAAACTATATTATCTCGGTGGATTACCGTGGCTGCGGTGTAGGCGCGGTGACCCTTACCAGCCACCGTATCATCTGCTGAAGTTGCCGGGGGCACATGCGCGCTTTGTTGTTTACAACCAAAACTTTCTTGAAGCTAAAGCTGAAATAATGGCCAAAGGAGGAGACGGCAGTGCTCAGGACATTTATTATCCCTCAAAGAAGGCAAAGTGGGAAGTACGGGCATGTTTTTGGATATTTGAAGAATGCCGAGGGACAGTTGATAGAAGGCAGCTATCCTGTTTGCAGCACGTGCAGAAAAAGTGTCTGTGAAAGGCAGCAACGCTTCAAATCTCATGACACATCTGCGTGACCATCACCCACAACTCTACAGTCAACGCAAGGCAAGTTAACGTTAGCGTTTTAGCTAAAATGCGTGATCCGAGGATTTGGGTTGAGGGAGAATGCAACGAGTCGCTATATGAAGCAGCCGCAGCGCCGCTACCTGCATATAAACCGTGTCGCGGACACCCCCATATTGAAATGACGCTATGCATTACGGGGCTCCCAGGGGCAGATAAGAGTTGGTCTCTCTCCGAGAATAATTATGAATTTAACAATGATTACTGCCTGATGACATTTTCCCACATCTGCAAAGCTCACTGGAAGAACACAAACCGAGGACAATATTTTCCTGAAATAGGGTTTATTACTCAAGTAAGGGTAAAAAAGTATCTGATTAGAAGGCTACTTGAGTACTGAGTATCATCTGATCTAATATTTTTAAAATGATGACATCAAATAGACATAAAATAAGAAGTTATGGGCAAATATTGGTATTTTAAAGACTAAAGGGGAAAAATGTAATCAAATAAACAACATAATTACAAAATAACAAATTTTAGGCTAAATTTAGACACAAACTGAGGACAATATTTCCTGATATACAGGGTTTATTTAGCCTGGTGAACTAGACCAAATTCTTGCTTTGCAAAGTTTGGTCTAGGCACGCTCCACTAGAACCTCTGCAGCTCCTACCAGGACTCTGGCTGGCCAATCACAACTCTCTAGAGGGGTTTCAAACACATAAAGAGCTGTGATTGGTCCACAATGGTGGGCCAATCATAGTGCTCTATCTGCTTAGTGAACAAATCACAGAGCTTTATCCGCTTTGTGGGCCAATCAGGGCACTCTATATGCCTGGTGGGTGGGATGATGCAACAGAGTGAAACAAGAGTACGTCACATTCATTGTCCAGTGGAATGCGGAGATCATTTGAAAGACAACGGTAGAACCCGCCCCACAACCGAGAGCCGTCAATGGAGTGTGGCCATATTTAGTCTGGCTTGCCAGGCTAGGGTTTATTTAGTTGTCTGAAAATGTAGCACATTTAGAAAAAATACCGCGATAATACAGAAAACTGTGATAATTTTGGCCACAATAAACGTGAGGTTAAATTTTCACACCGTGACAACCCTACTAATATATAAATATCTAGCCCTTTACCCAACCTGTGGAGAGAAAACAAAGGTTTCACAGTGGACTCCTACCACCTTAAAACAACTCGAATATTTGACCCAAAGCTCTGTCTCAGGTCCCCCCCCCATCCAACCTTGAGACAGCTGAAGTCCTGCAGATTCCACAGCTTCATCATCCCGTCTGCAGAGGAGCTGGCCAGAACCTGGTCGACTGGAGAGAAGCAGACCGCCCAAACCCCTCGACGGTGGCCCCGGAACACCCCCAGGAGACTCAAGCCATCATCCCCCGTCAGAGACCACAGCTTGGCGGTGCGGTCCTGGGACCCCGAGGCCAGCAGCTTGTCGTTAGGGGACACGGTGATGCTGTTTATGTCCTGGAGGAGGATTTAAACAGTGGGAAGAAACAGAATTGCATAAAGTAAATGATAAGCATATGTTTAATTAAAATAATAAATCAGGGCAGTAAAAGAATCAGATTCTCCTCCTCCAGTAACATTTCACTACGTGCTGCCGTCTAGTGAACTAGACCAAATTCTTGCTTTGCAAAGTTTGGTCTAGGCATGCTCCACTGGAACCTCTGCAGCTCCTACCAGGACTCTGGCTAGCCAATCACAACCCTAGAGGGGTTTCAAACACATAAAGAGCTGCGATTGGTCCATAATGGTGGGCCAATCATAGTGCTCTATCTGCTTAGTGAACAAATCACAGAGCTTTATCCGCTTTGTGGGCCAATCAGGGCACTCTATATGCCTGGTGGGTGGGATGATGCAACAGAGTGAAACAAGAGTATGTCACATTCATTGTCCAGTGGAATACGGAGATCATTTGAAAGACAACGGTAGAACCCGCCCCACAACCGAGAGCCGTCAATGGATCGTGGCCATATTTAGTCTGGCTTGCCAGGCTAGCCGGCACGTCCATCTGAAGGAATGTCTCGAAGGAAAATGAATGGAAAGTTGCATAACCTGTTGCTGGTGGCGAGATAAACATCTTTATTGTTCATCTGACTGAGTGCGTGTGAGCGGGCGTAGCAGGAAAAACTATCAACCTTTCTTTCCAGTTTGTCAATGAAGGAAAATTTCCATTAGATGATGAAAATATTCTGCATCTGAGAACAGTCCTGCTGCAGAAGCCAGGATGTTTGTTTTTGGCAGAGCTGATGAGCTGTGATACTGTGAAGAATTTAAACAAAGCTACATTAAAATGAAGCAAAAATACTAAACAAGCTGTAGTTCTGTATTTATGAGTTAGGTTTAGATGCTACAGAGTCTGTAAAATCAGATTAACAGCAGGTCTAGTAGCAGAAAATGAGCTAGCCTTGCTGTGTGTCAAAGCAGCAAAAATAAAAACAGAGAGGTTTATTTCATTTTTAAAGGAAAATCTTTGGAATTTTGTTTTATGCTTAAAATATTTAAATTAGGAAAAAGGGTAGAACGCCTTCTCCAGTTCAGGGATGAGGCCCTGCCCCAAGAGGAGTTTAGGTATCTCGGGGTCTCGTTCACGAGTGAGGTAAAGATGGAGCGTGAGATCGATAGGCGGATTGGTGCTGCATCTGCAGTGATGCGGGCGTTGTACCGGTCTGTCGTGGTGAAGAGAGAGCTGAGCCAGAAGACGAAGCTCTCGATTTACCGGTCGATCTACGTTCCTACCCTCACCTATGGTCATGAGCTTTGGGTAGTGAGCGAAAGAACGAGATTGCAGACAAAAGCGGTCGAAATTAGTTTTCTCCTTAGGATGGATGGGCTCTTCCTTAGAGATAGGGTGAGAAGCTTAATCATCCGGGAGGGGCTCGTAGTAGACCCGCTGCTCCTCCACATTGAGAGGAGCCAGTAGAGAAGGCTCGGGCATGTGGTCAGGATGCCTCCCTGGTGAGGTTTTCCAGGCACGTCCAACCGGGAGGAGACCTAAAGAGCCCAGGACACGCTGGAGGGACTATGTCTCTCACCCGGCCAGGGAACGCCTTAGGATTCCCCGGAAGAGCTGGCCCAAATGGCTGGCGAGAGGGAAGTCTGGGCCTCTCGACATAGGCTGCTGCCCCCGCAACCTGATTACAGATAAGCGGAAGAAAATGGATGGCTGGATGGCTTGCTTTTAGCACCCCGTAGTGTCCATTTAGTAGAACCAACGCAAAACCTATCCCTTCGCAGTGCGTTTGTCTTTTTAACACCTTAATCTAACAGCTGAAACGTCTCCCAGCCTTCCTTAGTGTCTACAGGAGTTATTCAATACTAAGTTAAACAAATCAGCTGTGTTCCTGAACAAAAACATGCAGGAAACGTGCTGCAGTGCCAGGTATGTCAGCTCAATTTTCCACTTGAGGCGTACGTCATCATTTTTAAAATAGTCCCCGTAATACCGAACATTTTAGTAAGATGTGGAGGAAGTTGGGACTGTAAAATTTGGATGCTGCCCAAGTACCAATCAGCTGTGTTCACGATCAAAAACATGTAGGGAACGTCCTGGAAGCAGATTCCAGCGCCAGGCATGTCAGCACTTTACCTAGTCCAACAAACCGGACCGGCACTCTTAAGTTGCAAGTGGAATATTCTGGCCACAGGGGGCGATAGAGGCTGGGTGGCCTTTCATTAACCCTGTAAAGGGTCATTTTAGCACAAACTGGCTCAAGAAAATGATTTTAAAATGTGAAAAAGTTGCTAAGTATCCCTTTAAAGAACTCTAATTAAACATTGTCGAATTTACACTTTTTAATTTATATAATTTAAGTGATTTCATGACTTCAGGCACCTTTTTCAGAACCAGAATACTTTAAAGTCTTTCAGTTACAGGAACCAAAACTAAAAACCCAAGTAGGAATTAGAAGGACCTGATGGGCAGGAAGTTTTAGTAAAACCAGTCTGAACCTACAGCGTGGAGGAAAAAAAGCTGAGTTGATGATCGTCACATTTAGAAAACACCAAGCAGGATCATATTTGAGTGTTAGTAATGTAAAACAGCCCCTTAGACAAAGTAAAACCCTTGATTCCATGTTCTTGTTGAACTGTGGCTGTTTTACCTTATCGTGAGCCTTCTCTGTAGAGCGAGGTCTCAGCTGATGGATTTCTGTCGCTACTCTGGAAAACTCTGCAGGCAGATCCCACACCTTCAGCGTGCAGTCCTGACTCCCCGTCACAATGAAAGACGCTTTCATCCTAAAAAAGAAAGAATAAATCCACCATCATTAGATCATTTATTCAAACACTATTACATCATTTAACCTTTGACCTGTCATCTGTGCTTGTTTGTGTTACCTGGAGCAGCCGACGGAGCCCACGGCGTTGGTGTGGCTGCAGCCCTGAGCTACACACCGCACCAGACCACTGTCACTGTCCATCTGCCACACACGCACTGACCGGTCCTACACACACGCACCATAAATACGTTGAAATGAGTAGTCGCCCTCTCTTTCTTATGTGTTATTTGTGTGTTTCTATTCATCCCAGCACACGTGTGTGTACCTTTGCACAGCTCGCAAAAAGAGAGTCTTTCTTGAACACATCCAGTGACAGGACTGTATCTGAGGTAGATAAAGAGATTAATGCCTTCATCCAACCAGCCCATCCAGTCACAAACCTGATTTGAACTAATGCACATACATTCAGGCAGATACCGCCCTCTGCTGGTGGCTCACCTGTGTGTCCATAGAGGATCTGGCAGCTGTTGGTGAGCAGCTCAAACACCTTCAGCTGGCAGCTGTTTGTGGCCACCACAATGTGGCTGTCTTTTTTACCCAAAAACTTCACGTCCAACACCTCGTCGTTGTAACCCACAAACTACAGAAGACAGAAGAACACCAATAAGCCCCCCGCACAGCCTTTCTGCTACACTTACATCAACGATTACATCGTTTCATGTCTCCAGTTTCAGGGTATATGCAGGAATCTCAAAATTAAATTTAAGACTTTTTCAACACTTTTTAAGACCTTGTAAAAATAAAATTAAGACTATCACAAAGAAATAATCTACTGTTAAACACTCATATATTGTTTTTGAATACTGCATTGCTTCGTTTTCCACTTCATGTTGGGTTACGTCACATCCGGGACAGCGAGGCTGTAGCAATAATGCGTAAAGCCACGTGGCACAAAAACGCAAACCGCGTGCATAGAAGAAAAAAATATATATATATATTTTAGTTTACATGCATCTATTTTTCATAGCCACAAACTCCGAGGCTGTGAAAAAAGTGACAACTAAAATAACATTGTTGGTGTGTTCTTGCTGTGTTGAAATTCTAATTCCATCTTTTAGCTCTTTTTAAAACACAGGAAGGTTTTATTTACCTGCAACGTTTCGTTTGCGGCTGCAAACTTTGTCAGGCTGACACCGATGGTGGCGCCACTTCCTTCTCCGTCGAACGAAACGTTGCAGGTAAATAAAACCTTTCTGTGCTTTAAAAAGAACTAAAGGATGGAACTAAAATACCCCCCCCCCCAAAAAAAACAAGGTCCTCACGTGCTGCAGATGTGCATCTATTCTACAGTGGGTTTTGTAGTGACCTCTGACATTTATATACTATATACTGAGTAACTTTAGCTACAGTTACTTTAAACAATTAACTGATTTTATAAATATAGACCGGCCCACTATAAAATAATGAAGGTTTAAGCAGCTTTTAAAGTTTTCACTGAATATTTGTGCCGACTTTCCACAACAGAATGATAGTAAAAGTACCAGAAGCGTCTTTAGATCTATTTATGTTTATTTTCCACTAATAACATCTCATTAAGAACAGATCCATACTGTGTTGCAAGTTTTTCTTCTTGATTTCAAATCTCTTATATAACATGTAGGGAAGACGTGCCTAAAGGGTTTAGCCTGTATGCACCTGAAACAACAACCGCAGCACCTTGTCTGTCAGAATCTTCTTTAGGCTAGGATGGACCTGTCTGATTACTGGGAAAGCTGTTTTTGACCAACACTTGAACCCAACCCAACCCAAGATCTGCCGAGTCTAACTCAAACAACTAGAAACTAGACCCAGTTCCCACCTGTTGCTGTGTGGTGAGTCCAGGCAGCTGGTAGAAGAGTATGTTGTGTTCTGCAGTGACCGTGACCAATCTGTTGGAGGTGGGCAGGTGGAAAAGGTACGTCAGGCCTCGAGGATTGTTCTCTTCATCTTCCTCAGCGACAGGAATGGAAGTAGACAAGAGGGTCTGGGTATAAACACAGCGAGCTGTGCTGGCCTCCCACACTCTCAGTACACCTACAGAGGAGAAAAGTAAACATTTAGAATGACTAGACTCAGCTTAAAAATGAGACCAACTGGAAGGGTCATGAGAAAAACCTTTGCTGCCAGCTGTGGTGAAATGCAGATCCTTGCTTTTCACTCCTATCTGGGATAAATCAGTTTTCTCGGGCAGCAGTACGACTCCTTCTACAGCCTGGAAACAAAGAGAACAATCCGCTCATTTTTACCAAGAGCAAACTCTTTTTATCTAAAGAAAGAATCCAGAAATTACAGTCTTACCTCATAAACTGCAACAGATCTCTTTGCCTGGCGAGTTTTGAGGTCCCACACTGTACAGATTTTGTCTCTCCCAGAACTAAAAGTAAAAGTCAAGAGAAACAGCTTAACACACACGACTAAAATCACTAATCCCAGACGAGCCACGTGATTTATCCTCGGTAGAGTGGCTCGGAGTACCTGATCATTGTGCCACCATTTCTGCTGAAGCTGAGGGAGGTGACAGCGCTGTAGTGGCTCTGCAGAACACACACACACTGACTGGAGCGCAAGTCCCACACTCGAATGCCACAGTCCATAGAAGAGGAGAAGAGATGCAGCCGCTTGATGTCTGGGTGGAACTGGAGCAAGCTGCACAAGCACACCAGGAACTAAATGTTTCTTTTTGATCTGTTAAACATGTCACACTGTTATAGCATGTCTCTATCGCCGTAGAGACTTACTGAACAACACCAGGAGATCCTTTGAGATTATGAGTGCAGTACTGCTTCACCACATCCCAGAGCTTTATGGTGCCATCGCAGCCACCTGCAGAACAAAACATGAACTATGTTGTCTCTGGGGCAGGGATTGAAGGATCACAACTAGCTGTGTCATGTCTGACCTGTTGCCAGGAGGGTAGAGGTGGGATCAAAGGTCATACTGGCCACAGGAGCCGTGTGAATGGCCTTCCAGGAGCGAGTACATTTGGCTTGATTCCAGTCCCACTGCTTCAGCAGCAAAGCCCTGCTGGCTGTTACCAGCATCTGTGGTTAAGCACCAAGAAAACACTGTTTGCAAACACTTTCTACGATCAGATACACCTTCTGTTGCATCAAAATGTTTGAGTGAAGCAGTCACTGATTCAACTGTTGGCTTACCTCATCATCACAGCTAAGTGCAAAGGAGGTGATGTCCTCTTGATCATCCTGCAACACAGGTTCAGACAAACTGGTTAAATGCTTGAGTCAAAACCAGAATGCATCTGAGTTTTAGTGATTAACATAGGGAAGGCTTTATTTCTTCTGTAATCTAGTCTTATCTAGACAGTGGAAAAGATCAAGTGTTTATTGTCCCACAGTGGAGATATTTTGGTGTAAATTATCACGATAATTTACAAAGTAAACAGAAAGATTATTTATACTGGAACATTAAATACTTAGTATGAGGTTGTGGCCACCATAGGGAAGCAGACTGAACTCACATGTTCCACACAGTGGACGATCTTTCCTGTGCTGATCTCCAAAACATTCACACGTGACCCGCAGGTGCAAAAGATGTATTTCTCATCCTTACTGATCTGAAAGTAAAAGAAATCCCACAAACATGTTAAAGAGTTATTTGAGTGATTTTATGTCAAGCAGCTTTTAAAAATATACAGAATGTCTTTTGTAAATGAGGGCTACCGATATTAGGGCATGGTGTGAACTCGAATCTGCGAACAGATGTTTTGTGTACTTATTAGATCATTAATTTATGTTTTTCAAACAACTATAAATATACAACTAAAACTTTAAATTAGCATTAACTTATTTCACACATAAAAATTATTAATAATAATTACTACCAGTGATATAATTGTTAATAATAAAAGAAAACAACTGATGACTATTTGTTCTAACCACTGAAATTGAGAATTTGCTTAAAGTTTAACTCCATTATTCCACCCCAAAATAGCAGAAAGTATGCAAATTTGTAATAACAACGTTTTACATTTGAATGTAAATAAGTTGGATCGAGATTTGAGATGTTTTACTTGTAGTTATTGCTTTCATTTTCAAAACAGCTTCATTTTCTTTTTTGCAGTACCATACTAAGATATTGCTAGTGTGACATTCATCTATTCTCTATATTTTGCTAGCATATCCAATTTGACTAATTTCATAGCATCATTAAGCGAATAACTCACCTGGACCTTTCCTCCTTTGTAAAAAGGCTCGATTTTGCTGGAAACAGCGTAACTAAATAGTAAAAACAGATACAAGCGTCAAAATTAAGGCTGCGCCTTTCACAATGCAGTTTTCCCTATGCTAACAAGCTAGCAACGGTTGTGAAACGTAAAACTTACTTTGTTTTAAACTTGATATTTGAATTCGCCATATTAATTCATACAACCGCTTACTACTAAAAATTTAACACAATGTGAATCAATTTTCACTCATAGCACACGCTGAAGAGAGTAAACACATGGATCCCGAACGCTAGCCGTGTCGCACACAATGTACGTCATCGGAGGTGGTGTTGAGCGTAACCTGGACGCATGGAGCTGTGATTGGTCGAAAGTTTTTCAGCTTTAAAACATTGAAATAAAGTATATTTAACATTTAGATCGGGAGTGTCAAACTTCAGACCTCGGGGGCCGGCATCCTGCATCTTTCTGTTGTTTCCCTGCTCCTTCACAGCCGGTTCACCAGTGCAGCAGCCCACCAAGCTCTCCAGAAGAAATCAGGTCTGTTGAAACAGGAAAACACTAAAGCGTGTGGGATAGCAGCCCTCGAGGACCCGAGTTTGACACCTGTGATTTAGATTAAACATAATCTACCACCTAAGAAGTGAACAGAAAAATCGTGAAGCGGGTCGAGTTTTAATGTGTTAAATGACGAATGGTTTCAATTGTTTTGTCAGCGAGGCCTACAACAAAGGAAGTAGCTGAAGCTTTTCACGTTTTACAGGCCGAAGCGCTTGACTGGTGCTAGAAGAGCAGGGAAAGGCGGGTCCCCATGCTGGCATATTTACTGTTTCCATTTGACAACTCTCGCGCACGGACGCGCGCGCTGTCTTCTTGTTTTGTCAGGAATGTTCATGTGTGTTTTGTGTTGATAACGCGGGTGTGTGTTCGGTGTGTGACATGTGAGAGGATCGATATGGAGTAAACCAACTCCGTTAATGGAAACACGCTAAAGGAGGAAGACGGTCATGGTGAGTAGAAAGTAGTTTCTGTTTCTATGTTTATTTGTTTTCATGTGGGATTTTATTTTCTGATGAATGTCAATTAATTATTTGTTATGTTGTGTGTCTAAAAAAGCTTAAATTACAATAGAATGAACTACTTTCATTGCAATCAAATTTGTGTATTTATTTTACCGGATAACATTTGATTTAATTACAGAATTCTATCATGAAATATAGACAGACTGTATATTTTTTATAGAATTTAAAAGGGAAAATTTAGAAAATGGTAATGAGGTATTATTTATTTTGTAATCATGTGATCAGTCATGTGACTTTCCAGAACAATTCCCTTTTGTTGTCTCTTCTTTTATGCTGAAAACAGGGATCTATGAAACAGGGCTGTCTGCTATAGTGAGAAAATTCTCATTTTTGGTTATGAAATGCGTGCAATCTCTTTCATTAATAATTTCAGGCAGACCCAGATGTGTCAACACAAAGTGGGGGCTATGACGTGGAGCTCTTTGTGGACCCACCAGACTATGATTTGATCTGCACCATTTGCCAAGGGGTCCTCAGGTGTCCTGTAAGAAGTGCATGCCATCATATTTTCTGCAAGAAGTGTATCTTGCAATGGCTGAAAAGGTCCTGAAAATGTTTGATGTCTGAAAAAAAGAAGCATAATAGAAGATGATGCATCCTATGGAGATTCAGTGACACATTGGTATTTAAATCCTGTACAGACAAGAGACATGCCCCTGCTGCAGGAAGCCAGTGAACCCAAACTTGATCTTTGTCATGTTCAAGTTGAGTAAATCTATCGGACGCATGAAGATCAAGGTAGGAAACAGAAAATAGGCTTTTAAATCGAATCAGACAATATTGACTTTTATGGTGTATTGATTTACTTTTTCAAAACTTGGTCCTGCACAGAAGGAGCTAAATAAAATGTCCAAACCAAAACTACTGTTTTCCCAAGATGTAAAACAAATAAACACTTCTCACTCTATCGCTAAGGAAGAGCCCAGGCACCCTGCAGAGAAAACTCGTTTTGGCTGCTTTTATCTGCGATCTCGTTCTTTCGGTCACTACCCAAAGCTCGTGACCATTGATGAGGGTGTAGGAACATAGATCGAATGGTAAATCGAGAGCTTGGCCTTCCGGCTCAGCTCTCTCTTCACCACGATAGACCGATACAAAACTCACTTTATTGCCAACGCAGCATCAATCTGCCTGTCGATCTCATGCATCATACATCTGCCCCTCACTCGTGAACAAGACCCTGAGATACCCAAATTCCTTTACTTGAGGCAGGACCTCATCTCTGACCTGGAAAAGGCATTCTACCCTTTTCCGACTCAAGACGTTGGTCTTGGATTTAGAGGAGCTGATTCTCATTCCAGATGCTTCACACTTGGCTGCGAACCTTCCCAGCTAGATGAAAAATATGTTGGTTGTTAATACTGGCCCAGTTTTTCGTATCGGACCGATACCGATAGATTAAGACATGACTGACATTGGTCGATGCTGATTTTGATCTGAGCAAAATCGTCAGTGTAAATTTAACTCGGATAGTGTTATTTTTAACACTATCGCAGTGTTTCTATAATCCTCACCAGACCAGTGTTAAAATTACACTTTGATAGTGTTAAAAATTTTACTCATTTATAGTGTTATTTTATGACACTTTCCAGTGTACTTTGACATTTCAGTGTTAAAGGTGTCACTTTAATGTGTATTTAACACTAATCAGTGTAACATGTTCACTATATCCAGTGTTAATATTCAGAGTCACTATTTTACTCAAGTTATTCATCAACACCATTATTTAATTAATTTTATTACTTTTCAGTGTGCCATGCCAGGAAGCCACCAGTTACACTAACAGACACTGGCTAACTCAAGCCTTGTACACCTCATGACTGCAATCATTCAGTGGGAGAGGATCACAAGGAGTAGAGTCCAGAGCATGTAGCGTGGACCATGCACCACATTTTTATTGTGACAGTGGACCACACAGCGGTCCCATTCTTTTGACCGGCCTCCTCACTCACAAACATGACATAACAAGCAAAACCACGTTTGCAACAGTGAACAAAGTACTAACCAAGAACAACACAACTCCTCAAAATCAACATGCATAAACACCTCAAAATAGAACAACCTATCTAAAAACATGACTACCCACAATGCACCTTGCCCACTGCAGGTCGCTACCAGTCCAACTTTTAGAATAAAAGGGTGGAGTCTACAAATTAACTCTGCAGGTGTTACAGCTGCTGTGGGAGTTCAGAGTTAGATTTTCAGGAGTTATTTTGTCCTAAATGACACCTACAGAGTTGATTAGGAAACACTCATTTTTAACACTGTGTTGTAACTCTCACGTCAGTGTTACATATCAACTATATAACTCGTTTTAGTGTTAAATGAACTATTCTTGGTGATTAATTGGACCAACACCAGAAAATTAACACTTTTGAATTTGCTGTGCCTTATTCTACTAGTTAAGGGAGGATGGAAAGTGCCATTGTTTGTAATTTATTATTAATTTTGTATTTCTGTGTGCTTGTGTCTGTCAGTGTAAAAATGAGATCCGTGGTTGTTCAGACAGCTTCGCCCTCTCAGAGCAGTACTGCCATAGCATGAGCTGCCAGTACGAGCTTGTCCCGTGCCGGTACCGGGGCTGCAGGGCGCAGCTTCTCCGTAGAGACCTGGACACCCACGCACGCCACTGCGAACACTGGCGCGAGCCCTGCCACATGGGCTGTGGTACAATCCTCACCCACCACACACAGGCTCAGCACAACTGCTACAAGCAGCTGAGGCAGGAATATGAAGCCAGACAGCAGAACCACAGGACCATTGCTGCTGCCTTACAAAGGAAGATGAAAAGGATGCAATGCACCATGGCCCACATGAGGAGACAGATTAGACTCATCTGTGAGAGCCTGGAAGTGATGGATGATCTACACGAGGTGGAGGAGGAGGATCTGGGGGAGAGCAGTGGCAGCTCCAGTGGGACTCCTAGCAACAGCAGCAACAGCTAAAGAAGGATCCTTGTTGACTTGATGTGTGTGTTTATGCTTGTGTTAATTTTCTGAAAATGTGTGTATTTTAACAAATCAGATAGAAGATGGATTAAAGTGTGTGAATTTGAGCTATTTTGTACTGTAGGTTTGGTAGCTTTAACTTTTTGTAAATAAATATTTGACATTGTATTGTTGATGCATCTTGTCTTGATTTAATAGGACAACAATGAATAAAATGTTTTTTTCTTGTTTCATTAAAAAAATAAAACGTTTGAACTTTTTTATTTTGACAATAAAATAATTTAGGAACAAACTGTATAATCCAAATCCCAAATCAACCACACACAAATTATTTCCGCGAAGACGTCAGCAGGGAGCAGCTGTGAGCCAATTTTCCCCCTACACGGAGGAGTTATCGCGATAACACGTTCAGATAAAACTGGGCTGAACCATTTCCCGGGTCTTCTTCCTGTTTTAACGATCACGTAAGTGAGATTCAACATTTTCCCCTCTGAACAAAATCCTCTATCATCTGGCGTATCAGTTATCATAATACATTCGTTTCTAATTTACATAACATACTAACATTCTTTATCATGTTTCCGCACATATTTTTGAGCAGATTGTAATACATTTAGTGTTTTAATAGAAGGATGAACCGGTAGTGCGGCGGAACGTCTCGTGTCTTTTGTGCTACTAAAACCCAATATGTTCTGTTCATAACATAGCTGCATGAGTCTAATTTGAATTGGTTTGGTTTTAAACAGCAAATGGCGGACGACGCCGGTGGTAGAGGAGGTTTTCGCGGAGGTTTTGGCGCAGGTGGCCGCGGTCGGGGCCGTGGACGCGGCAGAGGCCGTGGAAGGGGTCGTGGTGCCCGGGGTGGCAAGTCTGAGGACAAGGAGGTTAGTTTTATGTCTTCCAGCTTCTGCGGGTTTTTTTTTTCTTCCAGCTTTTAATGGGTTGGGGTTAACAGTCTATCTTGTCCGCTTAGTGGGTGCCGGTCACCAAGCTGGGCCGCCTGGTTAAGGACATGAAGATCAAGTCTCTGGAGGAGATCTACCTGTACTCTCTGCCCATTAAGGTACGTTTAGTTGAAAATAAAATGAAGCTAATGAGTCTAAAGCAATAGTTTAGAACATTGATGGGTCTCTAGCTATGAATGAAAGTAGATTTTTAATATCGATGTGTTGCTGCTGCAGAAGTTTTTAACACTGTTCTAAATGGCACCACTGGTTTAAACTCACTGAAATTTCCTTTTTTGAAGGAGTCTGAGATCATCGACTTCTTCCTGGGTTCTGGTCTGAAAGACGAGGTGTTGAAGATCATGCCCGTCCAGAAGCAGACCAGGGCTGGTCAGCGCACAAGGTTCAAGGTGAGCATCTGAAACCATACTGCTCTGCACCGCATTAGTCGAGCTCCCAAATGGTTTAACTTTGCTTTTGTTTACAGGCCTTTGTTGCCATTGGTGACTACAATGGCCATGTTGGTCTGGGAGTGAAGTGCTCCAAGGAGGTGGCCACAGCCATCCGTGGAGCCATCATCCTTGCCAAGCTTTCCATTGTCCCCGTCAGGAGAGGATACTGGGGTAACAAGATCGGCAAACCCCACACTGTGCCCTGCAAGGTGACCGGCCGCTGTGGCTCTGTCCTGGTGCGTCTCATCCCAGCTCCCCGAGGTACTGGGATCGTGTCTGCCCCTGTGCCCAAGAAGCTGCTCATGATGGCTGGTATTGATGACTGCTACACCTCCGCCAGGGGCTGCACTGCCACCCTCGGCAACTTTGGTAAGATTCTCTTTGGTTCTGCTTGTTGTGACTGGGTTTCTCCTCGCTCTGCTCAGCTTCACCTGTTCAGTGGTGCGGTTGTCGTCATCTGGAGAGAAATTAATGAACGTTGCACGGCAGGAAGACGCTGCAGTGGTCTTCTCTGTTCCCTAATAAAATATTCAACATTTATTGCAGTTCTTTACCATTTTGGTGACCACCTTCCGCAGTTGGCAATTCATTGTTTTATTTTCTTTGCAGCGAAGGCCACCTTTGATGCCATCTCAAAGACTTACAGCTACCTGACCCCTGATCTGTGGAAGGAGACCGTCTTCACAAAGTCTCCATACCAGGTTGGTACACTTGACCACTTATAAAGTTCTGATTGTAACATGTTTTATATGTAACTGATGATTGTTGTCTGTTTCAGGAGTTCACCGACCATCTGGCCAAGACTCACACCAGGGTGTCTGTGCAGAGGGGCCAGGCTGTGCAGGCAGCTGCCTCCTAAACATTTTGTACAGTGAAACGCTGAATAAACGTTCTGAAACATCATGTCCTGTGATTCTGCTTTGTGCTTGTTAATGTAAACTGAAAAATACTGATCATTAACTCATTCACTGCCAGCTGTTTCCTGATTAAAAAGCCCTGACTGCCAGCGTTTTCACCATTCTGACTGGAGTCAGAATACTGTGCTCCATGATCATGTAAACGCCAAAACTACCAAAAGATTACACCAGGAAGATTCAGTGTGTTTCTAGTGTTGACCATTCTTTCATAATCCGTTGTCTGATTGTGAAGCTTTTCCGGTTCAGGCCTCACTTTCTTCACAGCAGCACAAAACTACATGGATTTTCTGCTTCCTGATCTTGGGACATGTGACACGGATGAAGATCTGATTTAGAGCTGTGATGTTTTCACGGTGCGAGAGCTCGTTCCGACGGCCACCATTTTAAAAATGCAATTGAAAACCAGTCAATGGCAACGAGCGGTTGGGCGACTTGGTAATGGCGGTAAATGAGTTAAGCTGGCTCTATAGCAAATGCTTGGTATATTACAGGTCTAAATACTTTTCCTGTTAACATCGGATTCTGCCACAGATGGATTTTAAATGTGAGGTGCAATATGATTATTGTTAAAGCACAAAATACCAGAAATATTAAGATGTAAACTTATTCTCATGAAAGTATTTTGAGGGTTAAAGCCCAATGCCAAGGAAGTCCCTCAAATCAACAATTATTGGAAGATTTTATTTCCCGATTTTCCTCAGGTCCAGTCAACATGTTGGAAAGATGCACAGATTATGCCCGAGCTCTAATTAAACGTAATTTATTGTACTACTTTGGTAACTGGAAATTAAAATGACCACAAACCATTGGGACTTTCACCCACAAATGTGTAACTAGGGTAGATGGAAAACTACCCGCAATGAAAACATGGTGAGCTCAACATTAGAAATGGGTACAAAGACAGTTTTTCATCACTTACACTTTATTTTACAACTAACAGGACAGGTTGAGGATGGTTTAGGAGCTCTGAGCCTGAGCAGCTATCATTCGCTCCTTTTGCTTCATTAGACATTTCCTCGCATTAGCATACGCTCCCAAGTCTCCATCTGAAAACATGCAGAGAAATGTTAAGTTCTGTTTTCATTTATTTAAACATGGAGATATTTAAAATACACGTTTCAAAATCTTGAACTTGTTTTAATGTTGCAGTGAAATAAACAATACTCTGTCAGCAGACGGGCACTCACAGCGTAGCTGGTAGTTTTTGGTCACCTCCTCAAACTGCTGTAACTCCTTGGCACAGTTCTGTATGTAGCTGTTACCTTCTCTCTGCTGACAGGCCCCCATACGCTTCTGGATCACCTTCACGATCTCCTGATCCACAATGCTGTGGGAGAACATAACCCACGAGGAGCACTGGTTACTGACGGTCATTTTCAGTAGAAACTAAGCTCTTAACAATAAAATTTTGAGTATCAGGCGTGACATTTAAAGCAGACGCTTTGATGCTCCACCTGAGAATAAATCTGTAAGGCTTGTTACCAGCATTCAGACATCAATTCTGCTTGCTTCACAGCCAGACAGGACACAGTTAAAAAAGAAAGAAAGAAACTAAGCTCTTTTCCTCTTAATCACCTTTGTCCCATCAACAGCAACAGAGGGATGGTTCAGACTGACAGCTGTGCTGAGAAAGGTCTCAAGTTTCCTTCATTACATTTTAGGATTTTCTGTTTTTCATGCTTTGCAGATTTTTATATGGAATGTTTCCATATTTATGTTTGTCCTTACACGAGCCTTTAAATCTTAAATTCACACAAAAACGTCTGTTTATCAAAGCTATAAATATTAATTATTTAACCTTTCTTTAACAATAGACGTCTTGAGATGTCTTATGAGAGACGAGGTCAAGATGACCTGCTAAAATCTAAAAACTGCATCAAAACACACAAAAAATGAAATAAAAGAAGGTTAAACGTCACACTTTGAATACAGATTAGGAATAGCAGTGGCACTCCTGAGCTACAGAAAATCCAGATTAGTTTGTAGCTGGAAAATGTCCTTTAGCTTAAATATGGTCTCACCACTGGGTTGTCATGGCAGCACTGCCTCTTACATATGGCATTTAAACGTTTCACCACTAGAAGAACAGTTCCGTTTAAAGAAGCACACTCGTTCACAACAAGCATGAGAGTCTGAACTTCTGTCAGTGACTGAACTTGTTATTGATGTCTGAGGGCAGCTGTGGTGCTACTCACTAGTCTCTCTTCCACTGCATCTCGGCCTCGAAGTAGCAGGGGTAGTCTCCCTCCACACAGTCCGTCAGGTCGGGAACACGGCGGAACTTCTGATGGTAGTACACCGGCCTGTTTTTCGACCTGATGCTGTCCACAGTCTCTGGATAAATAAACACCGGTTTCAGACCAAAGGACTACGGAGAACACCGCCAATCCTCTAGCACAATGATTTATGGTGCAACACTACATATACATCTTTGTTAATTAAAGAAACAAGACAAGTTAATGAAGAGGTGTAATTCGGGTAAAAGCAATCGTGTTAGCAGTTAGCTTCTCCTACCTCTAAATGTGGTGACGGGCAGGTCCACGGCGTAGTAAAAGGCTTTAGTCAGAATTAAAGTTAGGTTTGGCAATGCTGTTTGTTTATCGACAACCGGAGTCTGCCTCGGAGGCGCGGGATACGCGTCTTTATCGTGGTCTTCAGGCATTTTTTGCTCTGTTTGGCTCCCAAAACAAATCCGACAGTTCGACCTCGACAGAGCTCCTTCAGAGTGGCGCATGCGCACTAGTGTCGACACAATGGCGAATTAGACGTCAAAATATTAAAAATATTCAAAATTATTTAAAGTTTTGTTTGATTTATCTTAAGAGTTTTGATACATGTGTATGTAACTAAAAATAATAAACGTGAGCTTCCTCAACATTTGAAGTCTGAAGGTCGAAGAGTTCAAGTAAGGGGTTGGTCTGTAGTACCTGTTAAAGCCTGTAGATGTCGGTAGAGAGCTACACACCGTCACTAATCCCAGAATATTGTCAAATTATTAATCCTCACGGACCACAAAATGACTTAGATGTTTTTAAATCTAAGAATGTTAAACTGATTTAATGGTGATTTTTATCGCCATCTGTTCTCTAAATAGGGCCAATAGACGTATTAGAAAAAATCTGAACATTAAAATATTAGAAATAAACAACCTGTTAGAGTGACAAATTAATTATACCAGATATGCAATTAGTGAGGTGCACAAAATCACAGATGATCCCTGGCTATTTTTCTGCTGCTTTTGATCCATCCTGTTCTTCTGATAACGACCCAGGTTCCTTAACTTCTCAGTTCAACGAGCACTGCCTCTCTATTCTGGACAACATCTGTCCTGTCAGAACCAGATCAGTTCCGGCAGTGAACCCTACTCCCTGGTTTAATGACAGCCTTCGCAGCCTAAAGCGCCAATGCAGAAAAACTGAGCGTTTGTGGAAGAAAACCCATCTCCACGTCCATCTGCTGCACCTAAAGGATCTTCTGACATCCTTTAACTCTGCAGTCAGAGACGCTAGGGTTTCCTATTTCTCCAACCTGGTGTCCCAGAGCAAAGGGAACCCCAAGGTGCTGTTTAACACCGTCAGCAGCATCGTCTCTCCTGCCACTCCTACAGCCTCCATCCACTCTGTTGCAGACTGTGAGAACTTTCTGTCTTTCTTTGTGGACAAAGTCAATAAGGTTAGATCTAGCATCTCTCCTTCAGCCTTATCGCTGCCTCTCCCAACTCCAACTAGGCCCATCATCCTGGATAGCTTTGCTCCTGTTTCTTTGCCTGAGTTAACCAAACTAGTTGACTCTATGAGGACCTCTGCATGCCCCCTCGACATCTTACCCTCATCTTTGTTTAAAAGTGCTTTTCAGTCCATCGGTCCCAGCGTGCTCTCTATAATTAATGCTTCTCTGGTTTCTGGTCAGGTCCCTGCTTACTTTAAGAATGCTGTAATCCACCCGCTTCTTAAAAAACTGAGTCTTGATGCCTCTCTCCATAGCAGCTTCAGACCCATCTCTAAACTTCCGTTCATCTCCAAGATCTTGGAAAAGGTTGTGGCTAAACAATTCACAGCTGCTCTTGATGAACATAACATCTATGATAGCTTCCAGTCAGGTTTTCGTAGAGCTCATTCTACTGAAACAGCTCTTCTTAGGGTCTCTAATGACCTTCTGACTCACAGTGATGCAGGGGACTGTTCTGTTCTGGTCCTGCTGGACCTGACTGCAGCCTTTGACACTGTTGACCATCACCTGCTACTGGAGAGGCACATCCTGAGCTCCTTCAAAGGAATCTCCTACCATCTTTATGCAGATGACATCCAACTGTACATCTCCTTTAAGCCCCATGAGATGTCTAAGCTGCAGCTGTTACACACCTGCTTAGACTCTATCAAAACCTGGATGGCTGGGAGCTTTCTTCAGCTGAATGAAGATAAGACTGAGATCCGCATCTGTGCCCCAGACAAGCTGGTTCTCAAAGTCAGAGACTCTCTTGGTCAACTTGCTTCTCACACCAAACCTTCCGTCAGGAATCTTGGCATGACCTTTGACCCAGCTCTCACCCTGGATTCTCATGTCAGTTCTCTTGTTCGCTCTTCCTTCTTCCATCTCAGGAACATTATTAAGATGAGTCCCATTCTGTCTCGCTCTGAACTTGAGACAGTTATCCACACCTTCATCTCCTCACGCTTAGACTACTGTAACTCTCTTTTCACGTGTCTGAGCAGAACCTCCCTGAACCATCTGCAGGTGGTTCAGAATGCCTGTGCTCGGCTTCTGACCAAGTCCTCCAAACACACCCACATCACGCCGCTTCTCCTCCAGCCTCATTGGCTGCCAGTCAACTTCAGGGCTCATTTCAAGATCCTGGTTCTGGTCTTTAGGGCCTTACATGGACAAGCACCATCTTACATTGGTGATCTTCTTAGTCCCTACACCTCCAGCAGGTCCCTGAGGTCCAGTGATCAAAGCCTACTGGTTGTGTAGCACCAGGCTAAAGACCAAAGGTGACAGATCATTTGCTGCTGTGACCCCCAGACTCTGGAACTCTCTTCCCCTGAGCCTGAGATCAGTGGTCTCCTTTAAAAAGCAGCTGAAGACTCACTTGTTCAAGCTGGCTTTTGTATGACCTTCTTCACCACTCTCTCTTTATTCTGCTCTCCCCACCTATTCCATCTTCCTCAGGATCCACTGATTTCCCTCTTTCCTATTCACTCTCTGTCTTTCTTAATTTTTTTTAATCACAATTGTCTATTTTTTGCTCATTTTAAATATATTTCTAACCATTTTCTAAATTATTTTTTATATTTTTACATTTTTTGTTTTTGTGAAGCACCTCATGATTTCTATCTTCAGAGGCGATATAGAAATGATTTCTTCTTCTTCTTCTTCTTCTTCTTCTGGTAGGTAGGTTTTAATGTTGCAAATCTGCAACACCTGCCTCCAGAGGGTTAACAAACTATTTAACAGATTTTATAGAAACTCAATTATCTATTTGAAACTGTTTCTGTGTGTGTTTATAGATCTACATCTGTGGTGGATTCAACGGACACGACTGCCTGCCGTCAACCACTGGACATTAATCCACCCTATGAGCAGCCCGCACAGTGGTGTCTGAGTCATCGCGTTTGCAGATTGTGTTTATGCAGTAAGTGCTTTTTACCATACCATACCATACCATACCATACCATACCATACCATACCATACCATACCATACCATACCATTGTTTATTTATATAGCACATTTAAAACACTGCATGGGAGCTGCCCAAAGTGCTGCACAGGCTAAAACAAAACGCGACCATTCTAGGGAACTAAAACAGAGGATAACAATACCAGTCAAAGCAGATAAAACATGATGAATACTAAAAACACATTAAAACAATGACACAATAAAACACTAAAACGAGTCACTGTCTAAAAGCCAAATCGTAAAAGTGGGTCTTTAAACGAGATTTAAAAACCGCCAGAGTTGGAGCCTGCCGAACTCCAATGGGCAACGAGTTCCACAGCTTTGGGGCAGCGTGCACAAATGCTCGTTCACCCCGCGAGGAGGGCGTTTGCGTAGTCAAGGCGAGAGGTAATGAAGGCATGGATGACTGACTCCAAATGCCTCAATTTCAGGATTTGTCTGAGGCGAGTCAGGCGGCGAAGCTGATAAAAAGCAAGACCTCACTACGGAGTTTATCTGTGGGGCCATTGTGAGTTCAGCATCCAGCTTTACACCAAGACTTGAAACACACTGTTTGGGGTTGAGGGTTAAAAAGTCACAAACAGGGTGAGAGCCATAGTGGTTGCGGGGGTCAAAAACAATAAACTCAGACTTCTTTTCATTTAACTTTAAGAAGTTGGATGCCAGCCAGCCCTTCACGTCATCTAAACATGCAGCAAATCGCGAGCCTGCATTCTTCTCATCCATTTCTACGTATAGTTGACAATCATCAGCGTAAATGTGATAGCTCAGGCCATGCTGATTCAGGATGTTGCCCAGAGGCAGAAGGTAGATAGAAAACAGCAATGGCCCAAGAACGGAACCTTGTGGCATCCCCCTAGGCAGTGGAAGACAGGAGGATGCACAGTCACCAATCTGGACAGAGATGGATCAGTTTGATAGGTAGGAGCGGAACCATTTATGTGCCACCCCCGTCACCCCAACCCAAGCCGATCCAGTAAAATATGGTGATCGACCGTATCAAAAGCCGCTGAAAGGTCCAGCTGGAGCAGCAGTACCCTAGACCCAGAGTCAGATGCCACCAGAATGTCATTTAGCACCCTAATCAAAGTAGACTCAGTGCTATGGTGTGGTCCGAAGGTGAACTGAAACACATCCAACAATGAGTTGCTGTTCATATGAGCAGAGATCTGACCATGCACAATTTTCTCAAGGACCTTCGAGAGAAACAGGACTTTCGATTTAGGGCGGAATTTCTCATAAGTGGAGAGATCCAGACCAGGTTTTTTCAATATTGGCTGAACAACCGCATCTTTAAAAACCTTAGGGCACACTCCAGTGCTGAGGCTAATGTTAAAAATGTTCATAAGTGCCAGGCTCAGTGCAGACACCGAGTCGCTCACCAATTTAGCCGGGAGGCAGTCCAATGAAGAGCCAGCTGGCTTTGTGGAGCTAATCAGTTTCATCAAGTCAGCAAGCTGAACTGGTGCAAAGTCCGAGAAAGCAGGTGGGTCAGGCAGCTTACCCCCAGTCTTTTAGGCTGTCGTCAGATTTGGAATTACTGTTATACAAAGTACACAGCCTGACAATGCAGATTTTGAGTTTTGAGTTCAGTATTTTAGATGTTTTCTTTTATGAAAACATCTAAAATAAACTTCTAAAAGATCAAAAGCTACCATTTAGGTCAGACTAAATAGACTTTTACTCCAACAGGTCGGCGGCTTTGACTGTACTGAACGTCTGCGCAGTGCTGAGGCCTACAATCCGCAGACCAATACTTGGGTGGCCGCGTCACCTGTGCTTACTCCATGCAGCAGTTTTGGCCTGGAAGTGATTGAAGACAAGGTCATGATGGAGGCTTCAATGGCTTCTCCACCACTTTCAATGCTGGGTTCTACGGTACTACAATCAATCGGTGGACTAAAATCTGCAGCATGAACATGTTCCACAGCGCTTTGAGCTGCTGCGTGATATCTGGACTTACAAATATGAAGACTTATGCTTACCCTCGAAAAGCTCTGCCTTTAGAAGAGGAAGAAGAGGATGCGTCCTTGGGCAAGACCCTTAACCCACCTTGCCTGCTGGTGGCGCCTGTGTACGGCAGACTCGCCTCTGCCAGTGTAACCCGGGGCAGCTGTGGCTACAATGTAGCTCATCACCACCAGGGTGTGAATGTGTGTGAATGAGTGAATGGCTGATTGTGTTGTAAAGTGCCTTGGGGGTTCCAGGACTCTAGAAGGCGCTATATCAATTATAGGCCATTTACCATATGGCTTGTTGGGAGTGGCTGAATATTTGAATTTTATTTGTGTTTTTGGATTTCTATACAATAATTCAAACACATTTTAGATTTTTAAAATTTTACTTCACAGAGAAATCCAGCAGTCACCATGCAACATGACTGCTGGTTTAAGCATTGCTGGAAAGACGGACGGATAAAGAATTTACTCAAACTGCATTACCATAACCTTAAATCTCCAAGGTGTCAAAGCGAACCCGCCAATGCTTGGTCTCCAAGAACGAGGCTCTGCAGGTCCTCAGAAAGGACCTGGAGTATCCCGTGTGTGAGGCCAGAAAACAATATTCTGGTGGCCTCCTTAAAGTAATCTGGTTGGATGCAGATTCTGTGAAATCGCAGTAACTATGATTTGATGAGGCCTGCATATGTGTATGTGCATATATGTGTTTTGGATGGTAACTGGATTTGAATAGAAGTGTGTGTGCGTTTGTAGGCTTCAAATAGACTTTGATATCCAATTTGTGTGTCGTCTGAAATTGTGGGCCTTTAAATGTTGTGGTGTCTAGGAAGTCAATTTAATGGGGACTGGTACTGGATTTGAGTGTGATTGAGGGGTGGTGTGAGTTTAGGGTCTGGAAGAACTGATGGAAGTCCTCTCCTGAGTGAGTCCAAACCCCCACAGATGCCATCCAGGTACTTGTAATAGTACAGGGGCTTTTGGGGGCATTTGCTGAGAGCCTCTGTCTCCCACTGTGCCACGAATGTTTGCACATGCACGCACAGCGGAAGGGTTTCATATCCCTCTCGCCGTCTCCGAGGTGTCGAAGTGACCCCTGAACACAAAGAAAACCCATCCACCAGTATCCCTGGGGTCAAATGTAGCTGGGTTAGGCATAAATTCAGTTACTAAAAGGAATGGAAGGCAATATAAGTTCTAAAATGGATAGAAATACAAAATTTTGTGTGTGTGTGTGTGTGCGCGTGTACTTGTCTTTGTGGGTTTAAGTGGACAAATTTAAAAAATAACCTGTTTTGTGTGGATGGACTTTTTCTGTCGGGTCCTGCTCGTGGGCTGAAGCCAAACATTTGACCCCGGTACACTGGTGGATGACATTTCTCTGCGCGCACACACACACACACGCACACACACACGCACACACACACACACACACACACACACACACACACACACACACACACACACACACACACACACACACACACACACACACACACACACACACACACACACACACACACACACACACACACTAAATCGCATCAGGGTCAAATGTACCCTGAGCGCTGTTTACAGTAAGAGCATGGACAGCGGGAGGGTTAAAAAGGCTCTAACAGCATCAGCATCTTCATTTATGCATCCAGATTTTATTATTCTATTGCACCAAATCCATGACTTTAAAGGAGGATTTCAGTCACAAACATCACAGCTGGAGGTGCTATCTCTGTCTCACTGCTGATCTCAGATCAGCCTCAGAAGGAATCTATCCTGCTCTGGTTACACTGAAGATCTCCAGGGTGACCACAAAGCAGCAGAGTCCATCAATTCATCATAACAGCTGCACAACAGCTACAGGTGCTGGCCAGTAAATTAGAATATCATCAAAAGGTTGAAAATATTTCAGTAATTCCATTCAAAACGTGAAACTTGTACATTATATTCATGCAATGCACACAGACCAATGTATTTCCAATGTTCATTACATTTAAATTTGATATTCATAAGTGACAACTAATGAAAACTCCAAATTTGGTATCTCAAAAAATTAGAATATTCTGAAAAGGCTGAATATAGAAGACACCTGCTGCCACTCTAATCAGCTGATTTACTCAAAACACCTGCAAAGGCCTTTAAAAGGTCCCTCAGTCTTGTTTTGAAGGCACCACAATCATGGGGAAGACTTCTGACTTAACAGCTGTCCAAAAGACAATCATTGACACCTTGCACAAGGAGGGCAAGACACAAAAGGTGATTGCTAAAGAAGCTGGCTGTTCGCAGAGCTCTGTGTCCAAGCACATTAACAGACAGGCGAAGGGACGGAAAAAATGTGGTAGAAAAAAGTGTACAAGCTCTAGGGATAACCGCACCCTGCAGAGAATTGTGACGACAAACCCATTCAAAAATGTGGGGGAGATCCACAAAGAGTGGACTGCAGCTGGAGTCAGCGCTTCAAGAACCACCACGAGGAGACTCATGAAAGACATGGGATTCAGGTGTCGCATTCCGTGTGTCAAGCCACTCTTGAACAAGAAACAGCGCAAGAAGCGTCTCGCCTGGGCCAAGGACAAAAAGGACTGGACTGATGCTGAGTGGTCCAAAGTTATGTTTTCTGATGAAAGCAAGTTCTGCATTTCCTTTGGAAATCAAGGACCCAGAGTCTGGAGGAAGAGCGGAGAAGCACAGAATCCACGTTGCATGAGGTCCAGTGTAAAGTTTCCACCGTCAGTGATGGTGTGGGGTGCCATGTCATCTGCCGGTGTTGGCCCACTCTGTTTCCTGAGGTCCAGGGTCAATGCAGCCGTCTACCAGGAAGTTTTAGAGCACTTCATGCTTCCTGCTGCTGACCAACTTTATGGGGATGCAGACTTCACCTTTCAACAGGACTTGGCACCTGCACACAGTGCCAAAACCACCAGCACCTGGTTCAAGGACCATGGTATCCCTGTCCTTGATTGGCCAGCAAACTCGCCTGACCTTAACCCCATAGAAAATCTATGGGGTATTGTGAAGCGGAGGATGCAATACGCTAGACACAACAATGCAGAGGAGCTGAAGACGACTATCAGAGCAACCTGGGCTCTCATAACACCTGAGCAGTGCCACAGACTGATCGAGTCCATGCCACGCCGCATTACTGCAGTTATTGAGGCAAAAGGAGCCCCGACTAAGTATTGAGTGCTATACATGCACATTCTTTTCATGTTCATTCTTTTCAGTTGGCCAACATTAGAGAAACAAACATTTTTTCATTGGCCTTTAGAATATTCTAATTTTCTGAGATACCAGATTTGATGTTTTCATTGGTTGTCACCTATAAATATCAAAATTAAACGTAATAAACATCGGAAATACATTGGTCTGTGTGCATTGCATGAATATAATGTACAAGTTTCACGTTTTGAATGGAATTACTGAAATATTTTCAACCTTTTGATGATATTCTAATTTACTGGCCAGCACCTGTATGTCTCTCCAACACGACACCTGCAGCCTCCACTACTCTGACAGGTACTCCTGAGACTCCACAGAGGACTGCTGGGATGAAGAATGAACTGAGGAATGTTGGGATGCAGGTGGGATGTCCATGCCTGATGTCATCAGAGGCAGGTATAGATCGTCCATGTTGGGCATGACAAAAACCTTCTGTTGAGAGTTGAAAGAAAACACAATGTGTTTGATGATTAATGCAGATTGGTGAATCCACCTTGAGATTTATGTGGCAAACGGACTCGCTGATAGACTGACCTGAAACTCACACTGCAGTTTTTTCTCGATCCACTCAGTCACATGAGTGAAGGTGACCTCCCTCTCTCCAAGCATGGGTCGCACGTGAAGGTCTAACCTGGGTGGCACTCGGAAACTGTACCTGAAGCACAAAAACCCTTACATACATGGGAGAAATGCAGCTTGAGGGGAATTATTTTATTATTTAAAATGAAATAGGGGAAAGAACTGTACTGTACCAGATCCTATCTGTAGGTGGAGGAGGAATGTTGACAGCCAGAGTTCCAGAAAGCTCCTGGACTTCAACACTGAGCATCAGCGGCATGTTGGAGAACTCGGTGATCTTCTTCCTAATGTACTCATTTTCTGCAGCCTTCTGGAAGTACTTGGATTTAGCAATTTTGTCCACAAATCTGAGGATTTTCCTTCCTGTGCTTCCACCTGCATGCCTATGAAGGATATGGAGGACATGTTACTTTACCAATTCTGACTGAATATGTGAATTTCTGTAACAGAAAACACAGATGAAGTTGCAAATTTACCCATCAGCTGCTGCAAGAGAGTTTTTGTCTCCCGGAGGCCCCTGTGACTCAGATGGGAGTACTTCCTCTTCGTCAGAAGATCCTGCACTGGAAGACTCTTCATCACTGTCAGCTAATATGCACAGCCTGGGCTTGGAGCTGAAAAACACACCAGTAGACACCGTGAGGTCTATACCCATTTATTCTTCCCCGCCAGTACGCTTGTGACACTTTTTCCCTCCGTGGAACTAAAACGGGCCTCACCCCTCAGGCAGAGTCTCTGGAAAGCTCTGAGCTTCACCCTCTCCATCTTTACCCAGCTTATAAAGGTTCATCTTAGTCTCCAGGGTCATCTGAAGGCAGCCTGTGTACACCAACTCTAGCTCCAGCCACAAGCCTTGGAAGTGAAAACACAAGAAGGGATTTAACGAGGTAGCTAACAGCGAGCATTAGCAGGTTTTTGATTAAACTGTGTTTTGCACATAGATCAGTAACACTTAAAATCAACATGTTGCTGATGGCTAAGCTATTTAGGAGGCTTACTAATCAGATAATGGAGGACTGCTGCAGTGGGCACGAGCGTTTCTGTTGTGTAACAAATGAGATCATGGCCTCAGGTAACTGCTGGTGTCTTTTTTTTGTCTGACATATTAATGCATTTAGTGCAATGGTCTACGGATGTGTTTGGTGAAATAATGGGTTTCATTTTGTAACCTAAATACCATGTCTGCTCTAATCATTGGTTTCAGAATCAGAACAGTTTTACTGCAGTAAAACTGTCTTGGTTTACTTTCCTGAAAAACAATACAAACTTGCAATACGATTAACAAAAAACTAGGGAACTTTCCTCTGAGAACAGCAACACAGAAGGATGCTGACACCTAACTCCAGGGATGCCATCTTTTCCTAACTGCTAGGAGTGATTGGGGGGTGTTCTGGTGTAGGTACCGGATCTGCTCGGGCTGCCAGAGCGGCTCGGGTTCCTGCGCCTTCTGATGACGTCTGTTCATTTTTATTTGTTCAATAGAAACTTTAATTTACATTTTGCCGCATTTCATCAATTGGAATTTACCGGAGGACCATCGACGTCTGAGGAGTCACGCCGAGGTCGCATGCCTTCTGCTCGAGAGGCGACATTTACAGTAATGTTTTTTAAAACTAGCAACAGTCACAACAATATTGTGACTACCCTGAAATGTACGTATATACTGCCCCCTAGTGCCAGGAAACTACACTTTTCCACTTTAAGACCCACTACTAATTCATTGTTAGCATTGTTAGCTCAATGGTAACCTCTAGCCTGCTTCACCAATATTAGGGTAAAACAAAAAGATAGTGTGGCTTCGTATGATTGGAATATACTTGCCTTTTAAGGCGCGTACGGGTGTTTAAAATGGCTGCCTCGCGTAACTTGCACTGTAGCGTTGTAGTGCGCGTGCTCCGAATGCTGCAATATACAAGTGACCAGAAGGTGGAGTTGGCAAAACAAGTAAGACACATTTGCCATGGCCACTCCGTCACTGGTTTAGAGGTCTTTCATACTATCTGGTGTATTCTTTTCTGCCGTGATTTCAAAATTAAACAGTTATGGCGCTTTCACTTCTGGGCCAGCACGGACCAGACTGGGTAGCCTTTAAAGTGTTCACATCTAGGTGGCCTTGTATTTTTCCGTGCTCAACCGGCCGGTTGTTCGGCCTACATACCAAGGTGGTCTGCTTCAGGCTGAACACACACACACACACACACACACACACACACACACACACACACACACACACACACACACACACACACACACACACACACACGTGTATCAAATGTCCCACAGGCACTTTTTAATTATATATTTATAATTAATGTAAAATTATGGATATTGTTTTTAGTTTTCAGCAAGTTGTTTAAAAGGTTTCTTCCCATCAAATGTCTTTTTTTTAAATTATACGATATCTGGATCATTTATCTTCGCGCAAAGCATCATGTGAAGGCTCAAAACTGCAATCATTTGTACCTCTGCGGTCCAGTGTTGGCTTCGACGTGCTTAACACCTGAGGAAGGCAGGTGCCCATGTCCAGATCAGCCAGAGTCAGCTCATTCATGAAGTACGGTAGCTGTACAGTCAGAAGGAGCATCTTTAGTAGAGGTGATGTGATAGTTAAAAGACCTAAACAATTCAGTTAAACAGCTAGTTTGTGTCAATGTGTGTGCACCATGGAAATAAAATGGATGCTATGGGTCAAAGAGAACATAAAATAGGCTGGAGTGTGCTATGTTTTCGGTCTTTGACACATGCACGCGCGCACGCACGCACGCACACACACACACGCACGCACGCACGCACGCACGCACACACACACACACACACACACACACACACACACAAGTAGAGCTGCAGTGATTATGTGATGGTTGCAAAATCCTTTGACCTTGTGCACAAACTCCATCTTAACATATTTCGACCTAGAGATAAAGTCTGCAGAGCTCCATCCTCTTTACTCCCAGCTGGTGAAAGAGCTGTGTTATTCGCTGTTACACTTTGAGTGATGTGGATAATTAAGTGAATAAAAATGGTCAGAAACATCCAATCCACTCCCGTCTCAGCCCTTCCCACCTTGATCTTGCTCAGCTTTTTCTGGATCCTGTGAGCAACCTGATCTGTCCAGTATCTCTCTCTAAGAAAGTCCCAGAAAATCCTTCCCACCAGGGAGTTTACCCAGGTGGGCTGACCCTCTGCAGAGCATCCCCCCGACTCAAATACTGCAGCAGCATCTACTCCAGCTTCACCTCCAGGGTTGTGTCGTAACTTTAACAAAAAAGGTGATGATTGAGATTTTGCATGAATTTAAAGTTTGTGAAATCTTGGATCTGATTTGAAGAGAACTGTTCAGCTTTATTTTACCTTATTGCAGGTTGAGGGGCTTCCTTCGTTACTGCAGGGTGTGGGGGTGGGGTCACATCCTTCTGAGCCAATCAGCAGAGCCATGTAGGCGTTGTAGTCCAGGAACGTTTTAACTGACAGGTCGAGGAGCTCCTCTGTGCCTTCTTTAACAGCTTCTCCACCACTCTGTGTTTCTGTGAGAGAGAAATGATAACGTATCACTAAAGCCATGATTTTTATATTTTAATAAAACATAAAGTATCCACTAGATTTATACCCCCACATCATCACAAACCTGTGCTCTCCTGACTGCTCACGACGCTCTGGGCTGCAGAGTTGGAGGCCGACACAAAGTGCCGGAACCACTCCTCTTTTTCTCTTCCAGTGCGACCAAACAAGTAGAGCATAACAGGAACCAGGTGGTCCAGGTCTGAGGGGTTCTCTGCCCTCTCTGTCTCCTTTTGCCCTTCAGCCAGACTCTCCTCACCCACCTCCCCTTCAGCTAGGGTGATGCAGATGGGGTACTTCTTGTTCCACATCCTCTTACGAGCTAAACCCTGTGGCATCAGAGACACCTGGGGGAACATGTGACAAAGAGGAGATCTTTTTGCAAGTAAAAATGATAAGAATGCCCAAATCATCACCATCCACCACCGTGCCAAAAGCTGGGATGAGCTTCCAGTATCAAAATAGAACTGAAGCACACTGACAAAGTTCCAGCTTTTAATTAGCAAACATGGCCGATGCTTTTGACACCATCATTTTTTCATTGGCTTTGGGAGTCTGGTCGGAAGCTCTGGAGCTGACATTGGGGTAATGTTGCTGAGGATGTTAAATGTTTTCCACTCGACATTTTTCTGTTTAGAAAGCTAGACTTCAGATTGTTTGGAAGTGACCTTTAACCCTTCCCTCGTGACCCAACACTTTCATTCTCGTGTTAACATACGGCTGTATGCTCCAGACCAGAGAACTGCCCAAAGTCAGGTATTCAGCAGCACCTGGCTGCTACTTTCCCTCTCAGATCCTATAAAGCAATAAGCGTGTGTGCACTTCAGCTTTAATTGGAATCGTTTTAGAAACAGGAGAATACTTTTTATCACAATCTCATGCATAAAACATAAAAATTCGAATAAGGCATCATTTCTTATCTTTTTCTGAAATGAGATTTTGTTTAAATGAGATTGTTTTATGTTTATTCTGCGATCCTAATGAGAGTTAAAGCCTGCTTTAGTGGAGCCGGTGGGTGAACGTTAGTCAGATCATCATCACTCTGTCCTCCAGGTCTCTCATCTCCGTGTTAGATGACTATCTGGGTGCAGAGAGATGAGTGTGAGGACCTCTGGTGCAAGGTCACCTTCTCTTTTTACTTTGCCTCTCTTCTCCCCACGGGCAAACAAATTACATTTTCTTCTCTGCAACACACTGACCGTACTGTTTGCCAGCTGATAGGTGTATGATTGTGAAAACACAGCCTCGTGAGCCGCCTCATCAAAAGACGCCCACCGGGGGACGTTGGCACGAGGGTAGGCCAGGTGCAGCCGGCTACCTTCCAGTTTCACATGAACAGAGTGAGTCATGGAGGGGTGGAAAGTCTCCGGGTCGTAGCTGTGAGCCTTGTTCATCCAGCCCTGACAGAAAAACACAAACTGATTCAATGAAATTTTACTGTTTGAGTCAAACTTCAGTAACATAGTGATAACAGGCTGGGTGTTAATTTCTCAGAGCAAAATGTAACACTACAGCTCAGCAGGAGGGGAAACATGAGCTGCAGCTGTCTCTGTCAACAGTAGAGGTGATAATCCTGATAAGCATGCTTTTATTGTGAAAGGCTGAGGTGCTTTTTATGCACAAATTCCTTTGTCATGATTGGTGTGACACTTTTCACATTGTCTCTATAAATATGCAAACACCGTTGCGGCAGGCTTATTTCTATGTAGCAAAAGGCGTTTAACAGCAAAGCAGAAAGAAGAAGCGGCAGCAAACCGTAACATTTACTCCTGGGACTGAAATGCTCGTTTCAGTATGTTAATATTAAAGTGCAAGTTAAAATAACGTCTGCATTTAAAGATGCCATGTTGACCTCCTGCACAGAAGTCTAATTTCAAATGTGAGTCTGAAAGTTCCTTTCCCCCTGATTACTGTATTACCTCGAGTATTTCTGTGCCTGTGAGGTTTCCGTCCAGCGGATCCACGGTCATGGTTCTGGCTCTGCTTCTGGACCCCCTATGTGCACGTCTTGGTGCGAACACGAACACGATCACCAAACCCAATAGGAAGCCACATGCTATCCCCACAGAAAGACCGGCCACATACGGGGGCAGGGGCAGCACAAAGAGCCCATAAGCCAAAAGGCCTACAGGCAGGAGCCAGTATAGAGGCAGAGCTGACCTACGCTGTGTCCTACTGGATCCGTTCTGGAGCTCCACCATCTGAGTCACATCACTGCGGGAGAAGATTTCCAGATGGGAGCGATGTTCTGTAACCAGTGTTTCCTTTTGGATCCTTTTGGGTGGAGTTTCACCTGCGGCTCTGTGCTCACTGTCCCTTCTCCTTCTCCACCTGAGATCAGGATCATCACTGGTACCAGTGCCCTCTCTTTCACAGCTGCCCTGAGAGGCTGGAGAGTCTCCTGAACCAGACCCCCTCATCTGCTTGGGGCTTCCAGAGCTCTCGTCCCCCATGATCTTACTCAGCATGCTCAGTGGATCCTGCATGGCCTCTGAGAACTTCCTCCTTGTGTCCTCTAACTCTGTGATCAGCGAGCTGCTCCGGGGTTCGGTGGGGGATGTGCTGCCTGTAGATGGAGGTGATGTCCAGTCCTCATTCTGGTCCAGTGTCTCTGATGCAGGCCTGTCCTCTGGGATCTTTGGATGTAAATGCAGCTTGGAGTCTGACTTGGAGAGATTGACCTCCGGCTCGACCCGGCGGGAAATTTCTGTGCTGAGGGACTTGACCAGGCTGAGGAGAGGCTTGCCTCTCAGGGTGCTGCTCTCTTTGGGCTTCAGCTCTGTGGAGGAGGACTTGACCAGCCCGGTGGTGATGATCAGGTCAGCTGATGATGCTGACAGATCAGATAAAGAGCCTGGGGACGAGGGGGAGTGGGGCAGGAAGGAAGGCTGGGAGCGCCGGCCTCGGTTCAGTTCCAGGCTGCAGTCAGGCCAGCGCTCCCTCGTTTGGGGTTTGTCTTTGGAAAAGGCCACAGAAGGGCTGTCGTCAAGGCGATTCAGGCTGAGGAAAAGTTTGCTCTCATCCATGATGACGACTAGTCAGGAGATAAAGTTAGGAGTGATTCATACGAACTGATGTTGCAATCTGAATCGAGGCATTGCTGTTGTTGTGGTCATACCAAACCCTGAAAGTATAAAGAGAAATAAAAAAGCTTGAAGCAAAAAATTGCATCTTTCAGATCTCATTTCTGTCATTTTGTCTCCCCTAAGTCAAAATTCCTACTTTTTCTGCACCTGCATACTTTACAAGTTCTGCAAAATCATTTAGCAATTATTCTGAAATTAAAACTGTTCTAAAACAATTAGACATGACCTTTAAAAGCACGCAGATCTATAAAAAGACACAATCAGACACGTATCATGGCAGGCTCAGTGATACGCGGCCAGCCGACAGACCTGCATGATCCGCACTCAAGAGTGGATTACCTGTAATCCTCCTAACTAAAGAGGCTTTTATATCAAGAAATGAACTCACTTGGGACACAAGTTTTAACTGAATCTGTGTGTTCTAGAAGTCATTTACGTTAATATTATAAAAGCAACATAAACTGAGCATGCTAGCTCATGCATATGATGTCCTCACTTCTCTGCACAGAGATCATAAAGAGTCGATTAATTTTAGCATCAAGCTCATCGGGTTTTAAGTCTGATCTAATGAGCTGTGAGCGCTGCTTTGCTCCACGGTTCAGCTGCTGCAGACAGAGCTGCATCACCCTCATCAATATCTACTGGAGTCAGTTTGGTGTCCGCAGCCCAGAGGAGAGCAGAGTCAGCAGGGATTCTGGACGCTTTCACCGTTAAAATATTATATAACACTATGACAGATGAGGCAAAATCAGTTTTTCCCATGGGAGCAGAAATTTTTTCAAAATCATGAGTCCCATGATCCTTCCTATTTTTGATCTAGCTACTAATAATAAGCTTTACTGAAAATTCATGTTTATATGCTGAATATATGAGGAAGAAATCCTAGTTTTACTCCTTGGTGAAGCTAATATGTGTTTATAGTCGTCGTCTTCCTCCGCTTATCCGGGTCCGGGTCGCGGGGGCAGCATCCAACTAAGGAGCTCCAGACCGTCCTCTCCCCGGCCTTCTCCACCAGCTCCTCCGGCAGGACCCCAAGGCGTTCCCGGACCAGATTGGAGATGTAACCTTTCTAACGTGTCCTGGGTCGACCCGGGGGCCTTCTGCCGGCAGGACATGCCCGAAACACCTCCCCAGGGAGGCGTCCAGGAGGCATCCTGACCAGATGCCCAAACCACCTCAACTGGCTCCTTTTGATCCGGAGGAGCAGCGGTTCTACTCCGAGTCCCTCCCGAATGTCTGGGCTCCTCACCATATCTCTAAGGCTGAGCCTGGCCACCCTACGGAGGAAACTCATTTTGGCCGTTTGTATCCGCGATCTCGTTCTGTCGGTCATTACCCAAAGCTCATGACCATAGGTGAGAATTGGGACGTAAATCGACCGGTAAATCGAGAGCCTGGCTTTCTGGCTCAGCTCCCTCTTCACCACGACAGATCGGCTCAGCGTCCGCATCACTGCAGATGCTGAACCAATCCGCCTGTCGATCTCCCGATCCCTCCTACCCTCACTTGTGAACAAGACCCCGAGATACCTAAACTCCTCCACTTGAGGTAGGACTTCTCCCCCGACCCGGAGTTGGCAAGCCACCCTTTTCCTGGTCAAGAACCATGGTCTCAGATTTGGAGGTGCTGATCCTCATCCTAGCCGCTTCACACTCGGCCGCGAACCTACCCAGCAAGAGCTGAGGGTCAGAGCTGGATGAAGCTAGGAGGACCACATTATCCGCAAAAAGCAGAGACGAGATTCTCCTGCCACCAAACTCGACACACTCCACACCACGGTTGCGCCTTGAAATTCTGTCCATAAAGGTAATGAACAGAACCGGTGACAAAGGGCAGCCCTGGCGGAGTCCAACCCTCACTGGGAACAGGTCCAACTTACTACCGGCTATGCGGAGTGTGATCCCCCTATAGTTGGAACATACCTTCAGGTCACCCTTATTAAAGTTGGGGACCACCACCCCGGTCTGCCACTCCACAGGAACTGCCCCCGATGACCACGCAATGTTGCAGAGACGTGTCAACCATGACAGCCCTACCACATCCATAGCCTTGAAATACCCAGGACAAACCTCATCCATCCCCGGGGCTCCGCTGCTGTGTATGTGTTTGACTACCTCAGCAACTTCTGCCCCCGAGATTGGACAGTCCATCCTCAGGTCTCCCGGCTCTGGTTCCTCCTCGGAATGTGCATAGGTGGGATTGAGGAGCTCCTCAAAGTATTCCTTCCACCGTCCGACTATAGCCTCAGTTGACGTCAGCAGCTCCCCATCCCCACTGTAAACAGTGTGAACGAGTTGATGCCTTCCTCTCCTGAGGCGCCGGACAGTTTGCCAGAACCTCTTTGGAGCCAATTGATAGTCTTTCTCCAAACTCCTCCCATGCCCGAGATTTTGCCTCGGCAACTGCCATTGCTGCACCCCGCTTGGCTATCCGGTACCTGTCTGCTGCCTCCGGAGACCCAAAGACCAGCCACGCCCTGTAGGCCTCCTCCTTCAGCCTGACGGCTCCCTGAACCTCTGGTGTCCACCAGCGGGTACGGGGGTTGTCACCACGACTGGCACCGGCCACCTTGCGACCACAGCTAGCAACAGCCGCCTCAACAATCGCAGAGTGGAACAAGGCCCACTCGGAGTCAATTTCCCCAACTGCTCTCGGGATGCGGTCAAAGCTCTGCCGGAGGTGGGAGTTGAAGACCGTCTTAACAGGTTCTTCTGCCAGGCGTTCCCAGCAGACCCTCACTATGCGTTTGGGTCTGCCAGGTCTACGCGGCATCTTCCCCTGCCATCTGATCCAATTCACCACCAAGTGGTGATCAGTTGACAGCTCCGCTCCTCTCTTCACTCGGGTGTCCAAAAACATACGGCCGCAGGCCAGATGATACGACTACAAAGTCTATCATCGACCTGCGACCTAGGCTGCCCTGGTACCAAGTGTACCGATGGGCATCCTTATGTTCGAACATGGTGTTCGTTATGGCTAAACTGCGGCTTGCACAGAAGTCCAATAACAAAACACCACTCGAGTTCAGATCAGGCAGGCTGTTCCTCCCAATCACACCCCTCCAGGTCAAGCTTCATTGCCCAAGTGAGCACTAAAGTCCCCCAGCAGGACAATGGAGTCCCCTGATGGAGCACTATCTAGCACTCGTCCCAGGGACTCCAAAAAGGGTGGGTACTCTGAACTGATATTTGGCCCATAAGCACAAACAACAGTCAGGACCCGTTCCCCGACCCGAAGGCGCAAGGAAGCTACCCTCTTGTCCCCCGGGGTAAACCCCAACACACAGGCAGAGAGTCTTGGGGCTAACAAAAAGCCAACCCCAGCCCTCCACCTCTCACCAGGAGCAACTCCAGCAAAGGAGAGTGTCCAACCCCTCTCAAGGACTTGGGTTCCAGAGCCAATGCTATGTGTCGAGGTGAGTCCGACTATATCTAGCCGGTACCGCTCAACCTCTGCCACAAGCTCCTGCTCCTTCCCTGCCAGCGAGGTGACGTTCCATGTCCCAAAAACCAGTTTTCTTGTCCGGGGATCGGACCGCCAAGGCTCCCGCCTTGGTCTGCCACCCGATCCACATTGCACCGGACCCTTCAAGTTCCTCCTGCGGGTGGTGGGTCCACAGTTGGATGAGCCCATGTATCCAGTTCGGGCTGGGCCCGGCCGGGCCCCGTGGGCGAAAGCCCGGCCACCAGGCGCTCGCTCACGTGCCCCAATCCGAGGCCTGGCTCCAGGGTGGGACCCCGGTAAACTTCCGGGCCGGGTACTCCGACTCTTTAACTTTACCTCCATGAAAGATCCTGTGAACCGTTCTTTGTCTCAACCTTCACCTAAGACCAATTTGTCATGGGAGACCCTACCAGGGGCACAAAGTGCCCCAGACAACATAGCTCCTAGGATCATTATGGCACTCAAACTCCTCCACCACGATAAGGTGACGGTTCAAGGAGGAGGTGTTTATAGTTGCAAAGAAAATCAATAAATGCAACAAAATGTGCAAAACACAGGAATAGTGAGTTTCCTTTTTTTTTTTAAATAGTGAGTTTCCTTAAATAAACTCAGATAAACAAATGCTATTTTGTGTAATCATTTGTCTGAAAACAACCAAATGTTCATCTGTTGATACAAATAGGTGTCTATAGACAAAAAGGTTAAAAAACGTGCAGGTTGAAACCCAGATAGTTTGTTTCTGAGGCTGCAAAAGATAGGAAAGTTAATTTCTGCTGTTTGAATTCACACTGAACAAAAATATAAATGCAACACATTTGTTTTTGCTCCCCTTTTTCATGAGCTGAACTCAAACATCTGAAAATGTGTCTACATACTAAAGACCCATGACTCTCATTTATTGTTCTGAAATCTATCTACATGTGTGTGACCCCAAAATTCCACCATCTCCGCTCCGCTCCACCCCCGCCCTCCGCTGCCGCTTGCTTCCGAACTCAAATTATACTATACCCACACTGCAACGGCTCTGCTCCGATGCGGAGACCTGAGGTGTGCAAACAGGCAGGCGCAGGATTTTCGAGATCTTGCGATACAGTCCGAGCAATAAACGCGGAAGTTAGATCCAAACACCCGTTGTGTGGGAGAAGCATCGAAAAGAACTGTTTAATCTGCCCATCATTTGTGTTGAGAGATCAGCAGTGTTTGGATCAACAAAGTGTGACTTCTTTTGATAGTGGAAACTGTATTTATGGCTTCTTTTTGTGCATTTAAAGTTCAACCGCCATTGATAGTTGTTAAAAGTTGTTAAACCTGTTCATATGAAACAAAAAACGCTTTTTGTTTATTGATTTATTGTGAAATAACAGAAGTTGTGCTTGCTCCCTTTCCTGTTGGGTAGTTGTGGTTTCTGTCCATTGACTGCAGAGGTGCTCCGGTGTCCGGCAAAAATAGAATCGATCCTATTTTTGCTGGATGGCGGAATGGCGGGCAGCGCACTGCACCGCACGGCCGCAGTAGTGGAACCGCTCTGATTGACTACAATGGGACCGTTTTTGCTGCGGAGTTCGTGCCGGAGTGGTGCGCAGCGGAGCGGAGATAGCGGAATTTTGGGGTTAGTGAGCACTTTTCCTTTTACCAAGATAATCCATCTCACCTCACAGGTGTGGCATATCAAGGGGCTAATAAGACAGCAGGAATTATGTACAGGAGTGCCTTAGACAGCCCACAATAAAAGGACACCCTGACGTGCACAGTTTTGCTTTATGGAGGGTGGTGGGGCAGAAAGCCAGTCAGTATCTGGTGTGGCCACCATTTGCCTCACGCAGGGCAACATCTCTGTCACATAGAGTTGATCAGGTTGTTGATTGTGGCTTGTGGGATGTTGAGTCTACTCCTCTTCAATAGCTGTGAGAAGTTGCTGTCTTATATGTTGATCCAGAGCATCCCAAATATACTCAGTGGGTGACATGTCTGGTGAGTATGCTGGTCATGCAAGAACTGGGATGTTTTCAGCTTCCAGGAATTGTGTATTTTTGTAATTTGTATTTTGTAATTTGAATTGCTTTTATTGTTGATTTATTCAATATATTTACCTACAACTGTACCATGTTCAGCGCTTTGGGCTTCCTGACAGGGTTGCGGAAGGTGCTTTATAAATAAAGCTTTGATTGATTGATTGATTGATTGATTGATTGTGTACAGATCCTTGTATGGGGTTGTGTTATCATGCTGCAACATGAGGTGATGGTCATGGATGAATGGCACAACTCTGGGCCTCAGGATCTCATCATGGTATCACTGTGCAATCAAAATGCTATCAATAAAATGCACCTGTGTTCGTTATCCATAACATGCACCTGCCCATATCAGTACCCCACCGCCACCATGGGCCACTCGTTCCACAACGTTGACATCAGCAAACCGCTCACCCACACAATGGCACAGATGCAGTCTGCCATCTGCCCTAAACAGTGAAATCTATTTTGTGTGGTCCAAATAGCAGGCCTAGTACACTACCAATTCTAAGCAAGCTATTGGAAAAAATTGTCTTTGAGCAAGGGCAAGATTATTTATCCAAAAATTATTTGATTACCATGTCAGCATGCATACAGATCTGGTCACTCCACCTGCACTGCATTAACTCAAATAGTGGACAGCTAGTTAACATCAATTGACAACTCCATGCTAGTGGGTACAATATTATTAGATTTCAGTGCTGCCTTTGATGTGATTGACCATGGAATTTTGATTTCCAAACTAATTAGTTATGGTTTTACCTCCTCTGCTATTAAATGGTTTAAAAGATATTTGTCAAGGAGATTTCAAAGAGTTTATTTTAATGGTGCATTATCTAAAAGTGAACCCCTGCAATGTGGTGTTCCTCAAAGAAGCGGTCTAGGGCCTCTGCTATTTTCGATTTTTACTAATGATATGCCGTATGTACTAACACAGGCTAAACTGACGATGTTTGCTGATGACTCAACTATATATTATGCTGCTCCCACATGCTTTGAGCTTCAACAAGTTTTGTCCATTAAAATGGACAGAGTATATAGTTGGATTGCTGGAAATAAATTAGTTTTAAATATTCCAAAAACATTGAGCATGATATTTAGTTCAAGGTACAGGTTATTAGCTAATCCCATATTGAATTTACAGGTGAATGGTCAGAATATACATCAAGTTAAAAAGGTAAAATTACTTGGACTTTGGCTTGATGGCTCACTGTCATGGTCTGACCACATCAACACTGTCGTAGCTAAGATGGGTAGAGCTGTTGCCCTAACATGCAAGTTTTCCCCATTTCTCAGCTCACATGATAATGATAAATGATAAATGACCCGCACTTGTATAGCGCCTCTCAGAGTAAGGACTCCAAAGCACTTTACACTACAGTGTATCAATCATCCATTCACACACACATTCACACACTGATGGTGATGAGCTACGATGTAGCCACAGCTGCCCTGGGGCGCACTGACAGAGGCGAGGCTGCAGAGCACAGGCGCCACCGGTCCCTCCGACCACCACCAGCAGGCAAGGTGGGTTAAGTGTCTTGCCCAAGGACACAACAACAGAATTCTCTGTCCGGAGCCGGGATCGAACCTGCAACCTTCCGATTACTGGACAACCCGATCAACCAGTTGAGCTACTGCTGCCCAATATATGTACACATATGCTTAGTCGTGTTGTTTGTACACTTGTTCAATGTCATTTGGATTACTGTTCAGCCATATGGTCAGCCGTGTCCAAAAGTCTTTTATGCTAACTACAGGTAGCTCAAAACAAGGCTGTGAGATTGGTTCTTGGTTGTCATCCAAGAACAAATACCAAAGATATGAATGACCATCTTTGCTGGCTAATGGTTAAGCAAAGACTATCTGCTAATATGTCATTTTTTTAAAGGATTATTGATACTAGAACACCAACAAGTTTTTATAACCACATAATTTTTTGTTCAAATGTGCATTCCAAATTTACTAGAGGGGCAAAGAACCGACAGATTAATTTGCCACAACCAAAGACTAATTATATGAAGAGAACTGTTCTGTTTAGATCAATTTTTTTGTGGAATAATCTTCCACTTGAGGTTAGGAAAAATAAGGATAAGTACAATTTCAAAAAGAAACTAAGATCGTACCTGTCTGCATAATTGTAACAATATCCTGATGAGTTAATTGAGGGGTTGTGTCATAATATACGTGTGCAATCTTATTTGCTGTTTGTTTTATGTTTATAAGATTTATTTTATTGTTTTGTTTTAATATTTGACAGTTTTTGTAATACAATGTGTGTAATGTAAGTGTTTTTAATGTATTATTTGGACCCCAGGAAGGCTGTCGAGTATCCGTCAGTTGATGGTGATATTTTATAAATAAAGAAATAAAACTGGGATTCAACTGTGAACAGAACGCCTCTCCAACGTGCCAAACACCATCAAATGTGAGAGTTTGCCCATTCAAGTCGGTTACAACGGACTGCAGTCAGGTCTAGACCCTGATGAGGACGATGAGCATGCAGATGAGCATCCCTGAGACGGTTTCTGACAGTTTGTGCAGAAATTCTCTGGTTATGCAAACCGATTGTTGCTGCAGCTGTCCGAGTGGCTAGTCTCAGGCGATCCTGGAGGTGAACATGCTGGATGTGAAGGTCCTGGGCTGGTGTAGTCACACGTGGTCTGCGGTTGTGAGGCCGGTTGGATGTACTGCCAAATTCTCTGAAACGCCTTTGGAGACAGCTTATGGTAGAGAAATGACCAATAATTCCACGGGCAACAGCTCTGGTGGACATTCCTGCAGTCAGCATGCCAATTGCACACTCCCTCAAAGGCTGCATCATCTGTGGCATTGTGCTGTTGCATCAAACTGCACATGTCAGGGTATCCTTTTATTGTGGGTAGTCTAAGGCACACCTGTACATTATTCATGCTGTCTAATCAGCCCCTTGATATGCCACAACTGTGAGGTGGGATGGATTATCTTGGTAAAGTAAAGTGCTCACTAACACACAAGTAGATGGATTTCAGAACAATATTATAGAATTATGTTTTTTTTTTGTATGTAGACATATTTTCAGATGTTTGAGTTCAGCTCACAAAAAATGAGAGCAAAAACAAAGTGTTGTATTTATATTTTTGTTCAGTGTAAAACAGGCTCCTGTTCTTAGCCATACTCAGGACTTTAAAATTTTAGTTTATAGGGTTAGGTCCCAGTAAAACTCAATTAATTATTTATGTTTGTGTTTCCCATAATTTGGAATAACTGACAATTTTGACTTTGAATGCCAAAATAAACTTTGTATCCATCCGTTTTCACTTTGGGACATATTTATGAGTTTATATTTCATAATAAGGACTTAGAAATGCTAAATTATTACTGATTTAGAAAGTCATAATTATGACGCAAAACTTTTAATTATAACTTCGCAAGTCATTATTATTGCACAAATTTTTACAATTTATTCATTTTCAATGGTCAAATGAAAATCTTAAGTCAAGAAAATATTTTATTAAAGACATTTTGCTTTAATAAACTCTCCTATTCTTGCATTTGCTTGCATCATGCATATTGCTACCCAAAAATTTTGCTCTGTCCTTTAGATAATTGAGATAATCAAAAGAAGAATGCATGACACTGATTTAAATTCAAATGATCCAGTAACAACATGGAGGAAGGGAAAGTGCTTAATCCTGCAGGTGTGATATGTTCTGTCCCAAATTCAGGTGATGCCAAAGCGGGTCTTTATTTTGCCTGTGTGAGCTGAACCTTGGGTATAGCTGAGTCAGACGTGAACACAGCCTCACTCCAGTCAGTTTGGTAACCCATATTTACGACTTTAGAGGAGAAAGCATGGTGAAAAGTGCAAACATTTTCACTTTTATCCTTTTAAATTATGACAAAACTGTAAATGTCCCATTCTGTGCACCTCTTGATCAGTGTTTGGATTAAGAGAGACAACAGGATAAAACTGGAACACAGATTTATTTTATAACATGATAAAAAAAGAAACACTGTGGTGCACCAGAAATACTAGAGCAAACAGAAAATCTGTAAAATGTTGTGACCCTGCTGTCTGAAGCATTTGCTACTGACAGAACTTTCACAGCTGAGAGTTTGATGTTAGAACATGCACTGTGACGCGGTTGCAGCAGTAATTAAAACAAGAATGCTTACCAGAATCAGGCAGATGCCTACTGGTGCTGGATGAGATCCAGGTGGAAGGGAGAATCGTTGTTCTGCAGAAACGCGCTTGAAAGCTGCAGTGTTGGTTCTGAATGCTGCAGAGCCCAGTGTGCTGCTGCTGCAGACTCCGGCAGCTGGCTGCAAATATGCACCCAGCTTCCCCATCAGAAGCTCGTCATAAACAAACTAATGCATGGAAAAAGTCCGCGGAAGAAATAAATCAGCTTTAAACCAAACGCACAAATAACATCGCACCGTTTGACGCCATCGGTTCCGACTGGTAAACCCAGCTAGCGGGGTGTGTAATGCCTTTACCTAGTCCTGTTGTAGAAGGGACGAGCATTTAAATCCAGATTAAGATGTGAGAGGTCACCGGTTAGTGGAGCTGCTCTTTGGCCATACTTTGGCGGGATTCTGACGCCAGAGTGATACAGGTAAACAGCAGCTTTTATCGGACACACCTGGGTGAGGAAGTTGAGGGCTTCCAGCCCCACCGTAATTCGAGCTCTGCTCCATGACCCCCCCACCCCCGCGCGCGCCAACGTTATGAGAAAAAGGGACATCAATGAAATCAAATAATCATTATTGTTGGTGACGAAAACAACTCTGCTGCTTCCTAATGATGCATTTTTAACACTGGTGTTGTGTTATTGTAATAAGTTTTAATAAATGATAAAAATGCGACAAAAAGACTTGGAGGTCAACATTTCTATGAAATGATGAAACTTTTCACGTTTTCTGAAAGAAATAAATTGGTTCAGGTTAAAGTTGGTTCAGGTTAAAGTTCATTTTTATTACATATAAAGTTAAAGAAAGGGGCTGTTCAGGTAGCTGCTGTTGATGGTAACCATCGGCATTAATATTATGGACATCTACTTTGCATAGACTCCAATGTCACTTTTTTGAGCCCAAATGGGAGGTGGCCACCACCGCCATTTTGACCGTGTCACAGGTTCCGTCAATCCCAGACAATTCCAAAAAAGGGAAGAGAGGAGGAGCTGAGGGTGGGGCTGTAAGGCTGGGGTCGACTGACAACACCCGGTCGAACTAGCTATAAGCTAACCTGAAGCTAACCCAAAGCTAATGCGGAGGTGGGAGCTAAGCTAACGGAGGTAGCAACCTAGCTACAACCGGAGTTAACTGTGCACAACACCAGAGCTTCTGAGTCAGAGACACGCCAGGCTGACCGCTGGGTAAAACCGGGTGGAACACAGAGGTCTCCGGTCTCGGAGACCTCCACAAGCCGGCAGCCGTACAGTACACAGAAGCCGCGATCAGACAGATACGTCGAGCTGCTGGGAGAACCAGCAGTCAGCCCGCCGCAGCAATCAGAAGCCGCGATCAGACAGAGATGTGCCGAGCTGTGGGGATAAGTGGTGTATTTTGGCGGTTCTGGCTTGCTCTAAGAACCAGCCGTCAGCCCGCTGCAGCACACAGAAGCCTCGATCAGACAGATGCGCCGAGCTGCTGGGAGAACCAGCCGCCAGCCCTCCACAGCACACAGAAGCCGGAATCAGACAGCGATGCGCCAAGCTGCTGGGAGAACCAGCCGTCAGCCCGCGCAGCTAACAGGAGCCGCGATCAGACAGAGATGGACCGGGCTGCAGGGAGAAACAGCCGGCATTCCGGGTGGAAAACAGAGGTCTCCTGAGAGCTCCACAAGCCGATAGTCGGAACCCAGCTCCACCAACATGTTATATTTCAACCCATTTTCTAAAGTGCAGCATTATGTTAAATGCACTGAGTTTTACTCTATTACATTTAAATTTCATGGTTAAACAGTACATGTTAAAATCTAAGCTCAGCTCGGCAGTGACCTAAAATACATAAATATAATTTTACTTACCGAAAAAAATGAAGTGGAGACTCCTTGGACGCTCTATGCCACAGCAAGTAATTTTGTCCAACAACTGCACAAAAAATATCCAAAAAAAGAATACACAAACACAGAGACTCAAAATCCCGGAGCGGTTTCCAAGCCAGACCGAGGCTCTACTGAGGCCTTTCCACGGAGCTTGCTCTGTGGTCACGTGGGTCGGATGCTCATTAATTATACAGAATTTTAGGCTTTTAATACACTTAAAGAGAAGAGTGAGAAAAAAATTCACCCCCCTCAGAGCTGTCATGAGTGTAAACTAGATAATTTAAACAAAAAACATGTTCTGGTACCAGGCTGTAAACATGTTTATTTCTGCTGTGAAAATGGCATTTTTAACATGGGAGTCAATGAGGATTTGCTCGCTTCTGACACCAGCCCCCAGCGGATGAGGGTGGAACTGCAAATTTTGGTATTTCCGGGTTTGACTCAATTTTAAAGCTGCATTGTGGGGGCCTGATGGTAACACTGGAGTGCTGCACAACAACAAGGTACAGACTGTGATAAATGTATTAAAGTTAGGCTCCGCCCATTTGGGTTACTATGACTGCAGTGCTGTACAACTATGGAGCTAGAATTGGGTCAATATTCAATGTAACTTGTACCAAGTTTTGTAACTTGGAACATGTTTCATGACATGTAACTTTGGATTCGTAACTTGTAACTTTAGTTTTCTAACTTGTAATTTTCAATTTGTACTTGTATTTATTGTTTTGTAACAGGAAATTTTCATTTTGTACATGTATTTTTTATTTTGTAAAATCAAACTTTTATTTTGTACATTTACTACTCATTTTGTAACATCGAACATTCATTCAGAAACATGAAACTTTCGGTTTTAACCCAACAGACTTCCAAAATAAAAAAAATCAATGTCGTCGTCGTTGTCTTCGTCTTCCTCCGCTTATCCGGGTCCAGGTCGTGGGCAGCATCCCAGTGTACAAGTTTGAAATCAAAACTCTCAAAACACACATTTCATTCTACAGGATCTGTTACAAGCCATCTTCCCAAGCTGGCCTAACTCTTCAAAAGATGTTAACGTCTCAGGGTTGACTTGTATTTCTATTTGTGTGGGCGTGACACCAGCCACTCTTTAAAATGCCTGCACACTGTAGAAGCTGATTAGCAATCACTGCTAACCTAGACTTTGATTCTGGCAAAACCAACTTTATGCAGCTCAAGGGAGACTCAGTTTACTTACAATCCATGTCCATGAAGCTTATGTACACTTCAGGTTAAGACTCTTGCCAGCTGTTCCTTTTATGCTGAGGAGACCACTGACTTTACCTGTAGCCTAGGATGGAGGAAACACTTATATCAATTACAACTAGGGATGGCATTTACAACCAGCATCTCACCTTTGCTCGGTTACCGACAGGAGGAGACCCCCCTCGTGAATGCTTTTTTCGTTCCACAAATCCGAGAAACTAGGTTTTATTTCACACAGATGAAAAAAGAATAACAATCCAAACGAAACCCCGACTAAGTGGGTTAACCCTCTGGGGTCCAGGGTGCAATTTGCCGTTTTTGACTAATTTAGAGTTTTCCTTTATATTTCCAAAATAAAAACCATAACCACTGCCTTATGTGACATCAATCTTTTCAGCACAACCTGGACTTGATGAATTTATACTTATTTTTTATATTTGGACATAAAGGGGTTGCATATTAGACCTTAAATCACTCAAAAACATAAAATCAGAATTGGAAAAAAGTTGTTTATTTTACTGTGAAACCAACAAACATTTATGACGAATGTTTTTTATAATTTAGAATGGTAATCTAGACTGTACATTTATAAAACATATGACTAAATATAGCAAATAACAAATTAAAACTAAATTATTGGGGGGGGGGGGGGGGGGGTCATGGTAGAGGACTGCTCGTACGGCACCTGGTTCTGCTGGAGGTTTCTTCCATATTAAAGGAAGTTTATTCTTTACACTGTTGCTACATGCTTGCTCAGTGTGAGACAATGCTGAAGAACTGCTGTGCTGAGTCTACATAAAGTCTACATAAAGCAGGGGTGGGCAATCCTAGTCTTCGAGGGCCGCTATCCAGCAGGTTGTTTTTCTTCTCCAACACACCAGACTCTGGAACTCTCTTCCCCTGAGACTGAGATCAGTGGACTCAGTGGTCTCCTTAAAAAAAAAACAGCTGAAGAATCACCTGTTCAAGCTGCTTTTGAATGACCTTCATCACCACCCTCTCCTTATTCTGCCCTTTCTAATTGAATCATTGCTATATAATTAAAATGATTTGTATGTAGCAGATCTGTTAAAAGTTTGAGAAGGAAAAAAAGTTATAAAAGTAGTCTTCTTTTATATTGAAAATTATTTTAGATTACAGATCCCAGACTCTAGTCAGGTTTGTCATACGAGGGAAATACTAAGGCACTGGAAAGCACGTCATCTGTGTCAACAGCCTTTCTGTTACTCTCTAATGAGTCGCCCGTCTTTCGTTGCTCTACAAAAGTTGCATTTGTGGATATGGAAACCATTGCTTCCTCGTCAGTCAGGTATTTTTTGTAGATTTGGAAGAAAGCATGCATTTATAACATTAATGTGATCGCCACAGCAATGAGAATAATAACACAAAAAGACCTGTTCTGACAATTCCTTTTAATCATTGTTTTTAATCTCCACAGCAAGTCTCCTTTGATGTAATGAATATGCTCAAGTTTCAGATGAGAGAAAAGCAAAGAACACTGATCAGGGAGAGGGAGTACAATGCTGTGGAGAGCGAGCAAGCCAACACGCTTACACACGTCGCAGAGGGGTGTCACATTTATCTTCCTATGCAACAGATTTTTTTTTACTCTTTTCTATTTTTATTTGCTCTAATAAACAACTTTGCTCCAAAATCACCATTTCCAGAACACCACATCAGTCAGCTGCAATATCTAAACGAGAAGCTTAATGAAGAGAATGCTAATCAGGAGCATGCTAGCAGAGAGCAGATCAGTGAGCTGAAAACAAAGTGACACATAAGAGCTCAAGTTTGGAGTTAAAACACCATTAAAGCTTTAAATGACTAAAACATTTTGTCTACTTTTCTCTTGGGTTGCAAGTGCATCTTAATGAAATTTTAATCCAGAATAAAGAGCTGAAGAGTTCATCCACACTAATGGAGAGGAAAGACTAGCTTGCTGAGGAAAATGGGGTTGTCTCCTCTCGGGTAAGAAAACACCAAGGAGATTTTCCCTGTAGGAAATTCAGTGATAACATTTATCTTATGCTTTCAGGGTTTTTCCTTTGTTTTGGAAACTTGCCTGTAATGAGCACATGGGAACAATTTCATTGGAGGATGTTGATGTATTCGAGGCTCTTGGATGTTAGAATCTTGAAGGGTCTCGAGATCAAAGAACTGAACAGGTTGAAAGTCTTCGTTCCTCTCCGAGAGCAGCTGAAGAAAGCTTACGGTCCAAGGAAGAGCTGTTTGCAGAGCAGCAGCTACAGAGCTCTCAGCACCTAGAGGCCCTGCAGATTCAGATGGGAACCTCCCAGGAGGAGGTGAAGAGACTGAATATAGAGATCAGTGCTAGAGAGGAGCAGCTGGTCCAGATGAAGACTGAGACATCTAAACAATCTGCATCACTGCAGCAGGAGATCAAAGCTTTAAACGAGCA